CAAAATTACGAATTAATGCAACCGGCTCACCGGGTGGCATTTTCGTCATATCATTATTATTTGCCTACCGCATAAAGGTGCTAAGGGTCACCTAATTTATGTGCATAATTTGCTAGAACAGTTTCTCTTTGAAATTTACTCCGCAAAATCAATGCGGCAGTCAGGATTTTGGACAACACGAAATGGCTATTAAATCTAAGTAATTGGTTTCGCCGCAAAAATAAACTTTTAAATGATTTACTTTGAATGATTTTAGACGCAAGAAATGTGCATCTAGGAAAAACTTAAGGATCTGCCTAGAAAAACAAATTTCAAATGTTCCATACCATGAGACCATATATAAATAATACAATATAAGAAATAATAAAAACTAAAATTCTTACATTCAGATCGTTATTATTTATTAACACTTTACTTTTTCTATATATAGTTATAGACTGCTCTAAAAGTATTAAAATTCTAACTGCTCTAAAAGTATTAAAATTCTAACTACTCAACATGAGGGGTGTATGTGACATGATGAAATGTGTCTAGAAAGTAGCTTTCGAGTTGTTCACATTCTTCATATTAATATATTATTAAACGAGCACTTTATGATAGCCATGACCCAACTGAATAATGGCCATAACTTATTTTCCTTTTCTAGCAGAATAAGGTTTTTAAAGATTAAATTTAATTAAGAAATTACAGATTAGTATCTTACATTTTGGTAAATTGTGTTCTTCGGTTGATTTTTTTATGCAGTTTTGAGATTTGCATTTTCATTGCTTGATGATAATTTTGAGAGGCTCCAGGAATCGAATCGAACCTTGTTATAATATTTGTATCCTATGTAATTATATAAAAGCAATAAACAGTGACCAAATATACTTAGTTGAAAATATAAAATCCATTTGTATGACTTGGCCACAGTAAACTCGATTTCAGCTAAAACTGTTTCTTTAATACAGTGCAGATTTACAGCCAATATTGATTTTGTTGGGCAAATTTTATTTAGAAGGAGGCGGGTAGTAGCAGGAATTATTTTCTTTGTTATACATGTCACTGCTAATGGCAAATAAGAATAATAAGGGATTGTTTTATATTTTTTCTCAACTCTTCTACCTATTTTTTAAGGGTAAATCGTTCGCTGGAGTGTACTTTGTGAACTCAGTTTAATCGTTTATCTTTCTTTAAACTAAGTGGCTGCGAAATAATTTGAGTGTTTTTGAAGGTGACCGTGTATGAGTTTAATAACAATAAAATAATAATGGCATTTTTAAAATGTCACACTCTTGTGTTAAAGTAAAGCATTTACACCTATTGCATAGAATATATATTTATTGTTTTATAAATAAATAATAACTCATCGCGTTATAATAATAATAGTCAGTTAATGATTTCCGTTCGAATTTTAACTTATCCTCATTTATACAAATGACCAAGAGTAAGACAGCATTGCTCCATCACTTTCTCTAATGGAAAATTTGCCTTACTTTTCTATCAGGCTTATGCCATTCCACTTTAGATAGAGTTCACTGCCTGGGGAGCATAGGACAACTTTCCCTTTTAAGACGTTAGGTGCGCTGAAGCTTGAAGCCCCGCTAACCCTACAAATCAATCGTGTCCACGTATACTGACCGCTTAACGAGAGGGGTCCGTCAAGTGACCAAGGTTGCAAATTATGCTCCGGTTTCCGGAGTTAGGAGGTCAATGGCGTCTCACTGCTTTTAATCACGCCATCTACGGCGGGCCATTAGGATTTGTCGTGTGTCCTAGACGGGTTTTTATGTTTGAGGTGCCTTATTGAAACTTTTTGACCTCGGCGAAAGCACGCTAAAATATGCCGGTGATTAAAGTCGATGATAAATGATTTAATTTAAAATCCACATTTTTATTGCGTTAAAAAAATGTGGAGGTATTACTTTTACGCAAATAGCGTATTTCTATTATTATATTTATTTCAGAAAACCGGTTGGTTTTGCGTCTGGTACTTGAAATTTAAATAAATTAAAGCAAAAGTTTGGTTATTATACTATATTAAGGCTATGCGCGTTACTAGTTTAGGTATGGTCTATTCATAGATACAAGAAAGTGAACAATTGCTTTTGAATGACATTATCCAAGGGTGGTCATTAACATACAATGAAATGTGGGAGACGCCCCACATTAATAATTACTTCTGGCACTAGTCGACTTCTGTAAACATTCTCTTCTTCGATGACATGTTCTACACATTTTTTCTAATTAGATGCACATATTTTTGCTACTTTACTTTTAATTAATTCTATTGCCCCAGAACTAAATTTCGGCTAGGTGTTGTTTCTTCTTAAACTGGGTTTTATCTGACCCCATATCAGTTCTATCCGATTAAAATTGCAGTGCTATGGTGGAAGGCGGATAACTTCTTATCAAACGTTTTTGTGTTGGAATTTTCAATTATCAAGCAAAAAATGTTGAATGACTTCTTTAGTCGATGATGAATTCGGTATTTTTGTCGCTTGTGCAAAATGGTAGCTCGCGTTGTCCATCACGACAACACTGTTTGTTAGACTATTGGGAATCAATTTTTCAGAAAACTATTTTTCAAAGATGTCTGCTGTCATGTTTTCGTAGTAGTCAACCTTTACTTCTTTGACATATTTTGCAGAAAGCAACAAAGCGTTATCTACCCCACTAGCTTCAGAGCCCGCATGTGCGCCCTTAAACTTAGCCTGATCTTTTGAAGAATTATTTACTTGTTTAATATAACGTATGATTGATTGATTGCATTTGTAGTGTGCGCCTTTAAAAATTTAATAACGAACTGGTGGTCAGAAATAATTTTGAGGAAATTGTTCTTATTCCTGTTGCCATAAAGCTTAATAAAATTTAACTCTATATCCCACAATAACACTAGTGGATTAAAAAAAAAAACAAAATTCGACCCAATTTGGGACACCGGGTCATGGCCGCGCGTAGTAGACCAACGACAACAAACACATCTACATAACCGGAGGAAATGGGTCATTTCGTAATGTCCCAACTTGCAAATTAATCTTGCGTCCCCGCGACGTGTCAAAAATTAACAACCTCGAAAACTCACGGGTCAATCATACGCCCTAAATGTTTATTTAAAAGGGCCAATTTTTATGGCCATTTTATATGCAAATGCCGATTCGTATATGCGTTGTTGTTTTCTTCGATAAGAAATTCTAAAACCGGTCACGGCATGCCGTGTTGCCGGCAATCCTTCATATATGACCTTGGCCATCCCCACCGCCGCTCATTAGCGAAATCATTTTTACATTCCTTATCGAGGGGAGGTGATTGTTGGTGTTGTGTGTTAGGGTTCGTTTCAATCGTTTCCCGTGGTTTAGCGAAAACGCGCGCTCCGAAACGGTCTTAGTTGGATTTTGGCTGGTTGCGGCGCGAAAGTTCGGTGACAGAAAGACGTCGCAGATGCTGAATTTTGACTTTGATGCGGATACCGCTTTCGCTGTCGTTACCGTACCGAATATGGTAAGGACACTACTTAAGATCGTTTAGAATAACGGATTAAAAGATCGAACTTGAACTCTGGACGACTCGGCTTTTGACAAAACAATTTTCTGGTTCTGCAAGATCTTTTAGAAATATAACTTAAGCTGCAAAATTGTAACAAGTTTTTTTTAAAACAACACACTAAATAGCTAAAGTTGTTAGGACATTTCGAAATAGCAAAATTAGGAAATATCATAAATTCCATTTCTTTAACTAAACTTAGCAACGCCCGCTTCGGCGAAATAACCTGCTTATTGTTAAAAAGTTACCTACCTTGTTGCTGTTGTGTGCTACGGTCAGTCCAATTTATTTTCGTCCTTTGCTTTCACTTAAGTGTTGTGCACACATGAGAGATAAAGAGAGAGAGAAATGAAAGTCTGTCTCGGTAGAAAGGTCAGATGTTCGAAAAATCCCTCTAGTGTGTACCCAAATAATACGGTAGGATTAAAAAAGCCACTGCGTATTTTATAAAAAAAAACTATTTCTTGTTTCGCTGCAATATTATCTAAGCAGTAAATCTATAATAAATTTTGGAGTTTTAGAGAGGCATTAACCAACAAGTCCTTGCTTATACGGTCAATCTCACTCTGTGGATGCTGATTGTTGGTTTTAAAAGAGGGTGGTTAAAAGTTTATTTTTTTCGTATTTATTAACATTTTCCCAAGATATTCGGTTTGGGCTGTATTTTGTATTTTGTTATTCCTCTTTAGTTTTTTCTGGGAGAACAATCCGATTTGATAATGTATTCTGCCTAACGCAAGTAATCGGGAAATATCTCGGCACCAATATACCAATACCGTACCAATTAACAAGCTATGGGCGAAATTAGAACACACAAATGTAAATCACACGCTTATTAAAGGAATAAAAAATCTGTACGACTAATCAACATCACCAATTAAAATCGGAAAATAGTATCGAGAGAATTTGAAGTCATAAAGGGGTTATGCATCTCACCCACATTGTTTAAAATATATGTAGCAGAAGCTTTATGCTCTTGGAAATGGAAATGTAAGTTTAGGTACAGTGATTGATGGAATTATAATATACAGAGTGTTCCATTTGATATTTTCACGAAAATTTTTCACTTCGACTCACCCTCTATAGAAATTCGAACTAACACAAGTATAGGTACCACTTTATAAAATTGCTGGCGTAATAAAATTATAGCTGTCGGAAACGGCATCAAAAATGTAAGATGTCAAACACAGGGCGGGGCATTTTTGATGAAAAAATGGTTCTAAATCCAAAAACCCTCAGATCATAAATGATTGGATATAAATGGCCGTATCTATTAATGCCATAATATACAGGGGTTTTCATTTAAAAAGATATAAGTTTGATTTCCCACATATTTGTACTTCACCCTGTATATGAAAATAATTTTAACACACACCATTGCACACCGTATATAATATATTTTATTGATTTCTAGTCGGTTTCTTTATTAGCAAAAAAGTCCATATTTTAGTTTTCAAAGAGAATCGTTTATATTACAGGCTGCGAGTTACGGAAAGAAAAATGGGATTTGGTATGCTGCACCAGGAGGTCAAGGCTGGAGTAAAGCGACCAGCCGGAAAGCCTCCATAGTGGAAACCGACGCTCCTCCACCAGGAGGTGGCGCTACCATTAAGCCAAGTTCCGGGCGTGTTATTAGGATAATTAATAATATGGACCATACTGTACAGGTAAGAAAGTCTTACTCGGGGAAACTGGAACCTGTGGTGGAAGATCAAGAAACTTACGTTTATAACCACTTGAAGAAAGTCTTAAAGTGTAAATTACAAACACAAATGAGGATGTGATCTGGACAAGAGAGAACCTTGCAAACTTGTTCCGTTCGGAGAGACCAGTTTTTTTCAGTTTGGATACAAAGGCAGTAGTACCATATTACAAACGCTTCAACAATTTCTTGATCATTTTGAGTTAAATTTTTATTTTATTAACAGGATTGACTTGAAAACTCTTATTGGCGCTCTGTTCATGTGCCACAATGTTATTATTTGTCTCTTACCTATAAAAATTTAGCTGTTTTGACCTAGTTTCAATGTATGTTAAACTTGCAAATTGCATTTGATATTTAATATGCATTTAGATCGACTCACCGATCCTTGACGAAGTTCGCGTGGCGTAAATGTGGATTTATAGCTCCTTTTTAAAGCAACAATCTTAGATTTGATGCCGTATACAACAATATGTTATTAGGGCAATCCAAATTGTATAGAATTGCACACTTAGTAGTTGGCCTACTCTAGTTTCGAGGAGGCGTATGTGCAACAGAATGTAAGCAAACTGTTGTTGAATAAAAACCAAGTTCCAAGTTTTAATCTTCAATTTCGATCAATTTTTTCTGTCAATTTGCTAGTCAATTAAAAATCAACAATGTTCATATTTTAAACATTTCTTTATGGGACAGTCTACTTCTGCATTGCTTTTTAAATTGAATTTAGTTCAAGGTTTAGGGTTGAGGCATTAGTTAAGGTTGTAAATATCCTACAAAGATCTTTGAAACAACCCAACCGTATACCGGCTGGCGCAATAGTGAGACAAGCACGATATCTTCCATATTTATGGCAACAGAAAAGTTTAAATATGAAAAAAAAATCTTTTGTTTGAACGGAAGTTCAGTCAGAACTTTACCCCATAAGAATACAAAATAGTTCTCTGTAAAATCAAAATAAATATATGGTATAATGACTATTCAATAAAGATTATAATTTTTCTAATAATATGTATTACTTATAAAATGTACATTTTGAAACAGAAACAATATCGAACAAAAGAAATAGTTTTGAAAATATTAACCTTCAAAACGATCAGTCAGAGACCCGTACTATGTTATATAATTGAAATTGCTCTTTGAAGTGGCTATTCGAAAATTCAATAATATACTGGGTGTCTCATCTAAGAAAATGGAGAAAAGTATCATTTTACGAAACGTGGCAACACCGACTATTTTAAGAAAATATTTTAAATTTTCGATAGATAGAAAAAAGTTTAAAAAGCTAATAAGCTACCCAGCAAAGATGGTTTAAACATATCCCGAATTCTGAAAATGATGGCTAATAAGATCGAAGCGGTGCATCACAGACCCATACTCAGATATATAGTTTAATTTGTCTTTGAAAGGACTATCCAACAATACAATAAAATATAGGCTGTTCTGTTTAAAAAAAATGTAACTTTGTTTTAGCACACTGTGTATAAAAAAGTGACTATTAGGAAAATAAAAAAATAAAGGTCATTTTAATAGAAACAACTTTTGTATCTACTTTTTTTTGTAACCCCCGTAAGTTTCAAGATGAGGTATAGGCCCCTCTTAAACAGCCCACCCTGTGCAGTTATTTGTTGCTCACTTTTTTATAATTAAGTAATGACAAACTTTGAAATAATGAACGAACTTAAAATGCTTAATTAAAAATAAACTCAACTCAGCTGTTCAACGTGTCAATATTTCCTAAAATTTGTTGTGTAATTTTTTTGTTTGTGTAATTGTTGTGTAATTAACTGGGCATATAGTAATAGGTTAACGCATCTTTGTATACATTAACCGAAGTAAAACATTGTTTAAGGTAACACCTTATATACATTCGATTTTCTTAATGCCCATTTTTGTATTATAACGTAGATTATAAAAAGCATCTTATGAACATTTCAATCTACAGGGTGTTTCAAAAGAGTGATTGTTTAAAGTAAAAGGTAATTGATTATATAAACGTTGAATCAACAGTCAACCATTACGAGGATGTCGCGCTATAAAGTTAACGTTTTAGTTTCTTCTTAATTTGATTGGTATTAGTATTATAAAAATACACTTAATACATATTTTTTCACTTTTTTGAATGATCAGGGAAGACTGAATTAGACTACACTTATCATGTTTCCTTACTGAATTCAAAGTAGAACTTAAGCATTAACATGAAAAAATTAAAATTTCGTCTTTTGCGTTTTCTTCATAAACTTAATCTTTAAATAAAGAAAATAAAACATAAAACACTGCATGTCGATTTTTCTTTTCATTAAATTTATTTAGAAAGAATGAAGAAATTGCTTCTTATATTGTTTATACTTCCATAGAATTTTTTTTAAGAAAAAAAAAATAAAAACTTTATTTTTCAGGCTTGTTGACTTTTAACCGAATTTAATCAAGCCTTTAAGTTTTATGTATTTGTTTTCAAACACCCTCTATATTTTTTGTTTTATATCACTTTTAAATTGCGTTCAGAAAGTTTCCAATTTATCGCAATGTATGAAAATTATTTCTAATTAATGACTAATGTATAATTTATTCAAAGTGCTAATTCGTATTTTTATTTTTTACAGTGCCGAGTGTTACTAAATTTACGCACCTCGCAACCTTTTGAAGAGGTTCTGGAAGACTTGGGTCAAGTACTAAAAATGAACGGAGCTAAACGAATGTATACGGTGTCCGGTCAAGAAGTGCGAAGCTTTTCCCAACTTAGGAACGAGTTCGCCGACGTGGATACTTTTTACCTCGGTAAATAAACTATTGGGTTGTTCGGAAAGTCATTTCGTTTTTTTTTTTTGGGGAACATGAAAGACAGTTTTCGTATAATGAATAAATATTTTATTAAATTATATATTGGCCATTCTGGTCCAACACCTTTTGCCATCTTTCTGGCAGTAACATAATTCCCCTCCCATAAAAGTTTTGGTCCTTGCTGGCAAAAAACTGGTTCAGGTGGTTTTTGACATCTTCATTTGAGGTAAAGGTTTTGCCATCCAAAAAATTTTGCAGGGACCGGAACAAATAGTAGTCGGAAGGCGCCAGATCGGGAGAATATGGTGGATGTTGCAGTACGTCCCATTCAAGCTGTAAAAGTTTTTGGCGAGTGACCAAACTTGTGTGAGGTCTCGCATTATCCTGGTGGAACACTACACCCTTCCTGTTGATTAATTCGGGCCTCTTCTCTTTAAGTGAATCATTCAATTTGTCCAGTTGATGACAATAGACTTCTGAATTAATCGTTGTATTGTCCGGCAAAAGCTCAAAAAAAAAAACGATTCCTTTGACATCCCACCAAACGGAGAGCATCACCTTTTTTTGGTGAATGTTGGCTTTTGACACGCTTTGAGTCGGTTCATCTTTTCTGCTCCATGACCTCTTGCGTTTAACATTGTTGTATACAACCCATTTTTCGTCCCCAGTAATAATCCGCTTCAAAAATGGATCATTTTCTTGACGTTTGAGGAGCGAATCACACACGTCAACGCGACGACACAAATTTCGCTCCGTAAGGACATGGGGTACCCACACATCGAGCTTCGAGAATAAGCCCATGCCTTTCAAATGGCCATAAACAGTCGACAAATTTAATCTCTCACCGATCTCTCGTGTGGTTATTCGCCGATTTGCATCAACTAATGCCTTTATCGCATCTTTGTCAGCTTCGACCGGCCTTCCAGACCGTGGTGCATCTTCGACACCAAAATTGCCGGATCGAAATTTTGCAAACCAGTTCTGGCACTGGCGTACTGTTAACACGCCTTCTCCATACACATCCGTCAATTTTTTTCTCGCTTGGACAGCATTTTTACCATTTCTGAAGTAAAAAAGTAAAATATGACGAAAATGCTGCTTATTGCTCTCCATATTTAAAAGGGCACCAACCAAAAACTACTGAGTAGAATTAATAGAACTTTTTCACACACAAGCCTTGCAATATCAGCTCTCAAGACATATAATGGTTATGCGACTTAAGTGTGAAGTTGGTTTCGAAAAAACGTAATTAAGTCCTCTGACGGGAAAAAACGAAATGACTTTCCGAACAACCTTATACAAATAATTGCCCTCATTCTGCGTCACCACATCGATTTAAAATTTAAAGATGTTCATTTCGTAAAAGGGGTATCTTTCGGCACTGTAAGTCTTTCTTTGGTTTGAATACTACCTCTGACATTGACCACTAGGGTAGCCAGTCAAATTTTTCAAATCATAATGATGTTTTCGGTTTCAGATACTTCTCCAGGGGTCGGCACAGTGGTGAACGCACCGCCGGTAGGTGTAATGCTTTCCCCGGTGAGGAGGGGACGATCGAGAGGTCCCCAAACTGCCATCGTAGAAGATATAAGCAAGCAACGCCGGGCGAGAAGTAAAAGCAGACCTCGGGCGCTTTACGCACCTGAAAATGAAATTATCAGGACCAACGGTAAGACCATCTGATTACTTATTAATTAATTTTCTTGGTCAGGGCTCTGATACCTAAGTCAAAACAAACTTCAGTACACTGTTACTGTTAAATAACTTTTGATTAACAAATCACATTTTATCCACACTATTAATTCTAAATGATCGCTCCCAGTAAGCTCTCGGTAAATACAGGATAACAGACGGAATGAAGAAAAGGAGAAAAAATCACCGGAATTGATGGTTCTCAAAGAGTCCGTGATAGTTCGGTAGATTTTCGTCGTACTGACTTATAAAGCGACGCATGCTCTCTTGCGACAACTTCACTCCCTGCGTTGTTTTCATTTTATTATATTGTCCCTCTTTTCCATTATCGAAATATGAAAATTAAAAAAAAATCTGGTTGCTCTGATAAACTCATCATTTCATAGACTGGCGATCATTTTAAATTATCTCCAATATAAAGGTCTCCGGTAAATAGGCATTTTGAACCGATTTCGAAATAGTTAAAAAAATTAAACCAGTACAATAAAAAAGACGATTACAATAATTAATAAAATTAATAAAATCGCAAATCAATCCCAACATGTGAATTGGCTTTTTATGTGAGTTAGGATAGTTGATTCTGAAACTCGTAAATCCAGTGGTGCAATATGATTTAAAAAATATCCATTATGTTTTTTTTCTTTCTTAAATACTTACTAGAAAAAAATTGAAGTTTAAAAATTTGTGCATATAAAAAACTATTACGACGAGATTTGTATTAACAATCAATAATTAATAATTCCTTAAATATCTACCAGACTTTCATTAATACCTGGTATGTTCCGTACCCGGCATCAATTTTCTGGTTGGAGTTTTTCTAATTTTTCTATATTTGAATGACTTATTTACAAGTCACGCGCTCATTTCCGCGAAGAGATTTAGTAGAGCTCGTTTTAAAACTTTCTTCGTTTCGTAAAATGCAAATTCTTTCGTGGCATTTAATCATTTTCACGCAAAATCTCAATCGAAACTTTCACGGCATGTATTTTTAAAAATTTCACGCAAGTTAAAATTGAACAAATTGCGACAAATAAATGAAACACCGCTAGATTAAAATAAGATTGGGTTAATTTCTAATCTAGAGATTATTGCAGACGATAACCTTTATCAACAAAATTCTTCTTGGATATTTCTAATTTACACCCTGCATTAAAACTATTCCACCAACTCTCGGAAAAAAATTAATGTTAGAAAATTGACAAAACGTATTTTTATGAACCCTTATTATTTTGGACTCTTCGATATACAATAAACTAAGTCCTAAAAAATTAACACTAAAATAATAAATGACCACCATCAGCTACGACAAAAGCTACGAATTAGAATAAGAAACATTTATCAATATGCTTCTTCTTCTTCTTCTACTTCTTGGAGATCTGTCGATCTGTTAATTCTGAAGCTGCCTCTGCATCTTTTCCTGCGATGTGGATTGCCAACTATCTTTCCACCTTTTAGGTGGTCTCCCGGGAGGTCTTGGGCCGGGCGGTTTGTTTTCCAGGACTATTCTTGGAAGTCTGTTCTCGTCCATAGGTCTTACATTGTTGTACCACTGCCTCTTACGTTGTCTTCCCCATCTCACAATATCTTGTATCCCGCACTGCTCTCTGACATCTGTGTTTCTTACTCTGTCTCTTCTTGTTTTCATCTCTGCTACCCTTAGCATTTGTTTCGTCTTATTGGTGTCTTCGCAGACTTCCTTGCCATATGTCACGATGAGTCTGATACAAGTCTTGTAGATTCTAATTTTTCTGATAGTGCGGATGCTTTGTTAATCTGGCTCCTTATGTCTTTAACTGTCTGATTCCTCCCGGTGTTGGGTTATTTCCAGTGAATTGATCTCCTACCTTGACCTTTGTTATTTAGGTTGTGGATTATTTCGTTATGTTTGCTGGTGCCTTATTTTCCATTAATATCTGTAAAACGTCTCCCAATCGGACCCTATCAAATCCCTTTATTAGGTCAATGAAGCAGATATACACTGGCATGTGTACTCTCTAGGTATGTAGGTTGATGATGTCAGAAGATGCCCGATGATGCATAGTGCCTAAAGGACAAGATTGAAAGTTATTTCGAGATGATGGAGTTTATTTAAGCCCTAAGGAGCCTAACTATAATGGGAGGGGACTGTGCACAATTTTTCTAACATAATAAAAAAAGTAAAGTTGGCAACGTCGCCTCCAAAAGAAATAAATATTACAATGTCAACCAACGATTTTGTAAAATAAGTAAATTCAATTGATTTAGTTATTCTTTACAGATTACACATTATTGGAAGTATTGAAAGAGGAGCCCGTACGGGTGACTGTAAAGGGACTACGACGCACTTTTTATCCCCCCATTCATCATGCGCCAATGGATAACACGCCACCAGAGAAAAAAATGATGCTGGAATGGGTGTATCCTTTAAGAACATTGTAGATAACAAACTTCTTGTTGCGAAGCAACTACTCCGTAAAATGCCTATAATATTTCAAATATTATACTGTTCCGCTGTTTTAAATAATATAACACATCAACCAAAATCATGCATTTCTTATAATTTACAGTATAAAATGCGGCACGTGCATTTCGTGTATGTAATTCATATTTCATTTGATAAAACATCCACAAGAAACGTGGTAGTGAAATTTTACATGCTGGCCCATTGACACGCAATAGCTGACGTCAGAGTGTAAGTTACTTGAGACTCGAAGCAAACTATTTGGACGAAATCTCCATAAATGTATCCCAAATGCATCCGCTAATTAAACACTTATCTACATTGCCATAAAACACGAATTTAGGAAATAATGCAAACTTATTTTTAAAATTTGACCTTCTAGTTTGAAGTTAGTAATGTTTCATATACGTGGAAATTTTGTCCTCGAAACCAATGTACGCCTCAAATAAGGGTACGTGTGGATATATTAAAAACATGCCGTTATACACGCAGGTGGAGAATTTCGAAGAAAAAATTTAAATACCCCCACTGAACAAAGGTATGGAAGGATGGATGGATGATATTTTTATATCATGAAATATTGGATTTTAAATGTTCTTGATTTTACGTTCATTATAATCAACCGATATAAGCTGATCAGTGATCCTTAAAATAATATTAGATACGGGTATAGGGGGACAGATTCCAGGAAAAATTTATGGGTGCTTCCAACTGGTGAATTGCTTTATTTCGTGGCCGCTGTTGCAGTAATGTTCGATAGGGATGAAGAGACACAAAGACATTATATAGGACATACTGAAGACATCCAGTGGTAAGTAGCTTAATATATTACGAAAGAAAATAGCGCCCCTTCCCTATAGCGAAAACATAACATGATTGATATTCATCATATCATATTATTATTCATTACCATCCACAACATTGACTTACCATCAAACGGTGTTTCCTGTGATCCTCTACCCTCGTTCCATCTTGTGGTGTTACTGGCAAGTCTTTTATCTCTATCCACACGAAATGAAGATGCATATCTTCATTTCGTGTTGTGTGCTGCTGACGAAAAACAGAAGACTTCACAAATACTGAGCTTTTTTAGAGAATTATCTGCTTCTGAACTCTCAACAGCATCAATGAACGTGCCCGGTGTCTGGTTATAATCTCAAAGACCCTCTACAGGCTTCATCCTTAATTTTTTGAGAAAACTGTAAATACAAAAGTTTTGGATTTTATTTTAAACATGACAGAATGGTTTTTTCGCCGTTATTGATATGACAGTTTTGAATATTTTTCAGAATTTTGTTATTTGCATTTTTACTCTAATTAATATGATAATTCTTTTTTAATGACATTATAAAAAATTAACACTTATTTAATCTCACTATCTATAATTATGATTCAAAAATAGAGTGTTCTATTGAAAACAAAAATAACGTGGTATTATCCGATGTTCATTTGCTTAATGGTACAGGAACTCATGGCCGGTGAGGGCAAATGTTGTTATTTAAATTCTGTATTGTTAAATACCTTTATTTTTGAATTTGCAACAATCAACAGAAAGCAAAGAAAAGGATTTGAACTATGCTATGTAAACTCAACACGTGAAAAAGCTATAATTGAAAACTACTTTAGGATTATTTTTTACTTCTTTCTTGCGGGAATTTACTTTGAAGCGAAAAAACAATTCATTAAAATGATAAATAAGCTATTCTATAGACCAAGAAGTTGATTTTTATTTTATAAAAAAAATAGAAAACATTAATACAATGTCTTTGTTGAAACATCATTGTTCATTAATACCCTATTTCATTCACCATAGACGTTTATCAAAATGGAATTTAACATCACCTCATATTCATTGTCACAGCAATTAATTGCAATCTAGTATTATGCAAACGGAAAAGAATACTTGTATTATTTCATTAAAATACTATAAGGTTGTTCGGAAAGTAATTTCGTTTTTTCCCGTCAGAGGAATTAATTACGTTTTTTCGAAACCAACTTCACACTTAAGCCGCATAACCATTATATGTCTTGAGAGCTGATATTGCAAGGCTTGTGTGTGAAAAAGTTCTATTAATTCTACGCAGTAGTTTTTGGTTGGTGCCCTTTTAAATATGGAGAGCAATAAGAAGCATTTTCGTCATATTTTACTTTTTTACTTCAGAAAAGGTAAAAATGCTGTCCAAGGGAGAAAAAAATTGATGGATGTGTATGGAGAAGGTGTGTTAACAGTACGCCAGTGCCAGAACTGGTTTGCAAAATTTCGATCCGGCAATTTTAATATCGAAGATGCACCACGGTCTGGAAGGCCGGTCGAAGCTGACAAAGATGCGATAAAGGCATTAGTTGATGCAAATCGGCGAATAACCACACGAGAGATCGGTGAGAGGTTAGATTAGTCGAATTCGACTGTTTATGGCCATTTGAAAGGCATGGGCTTAACCTCGAAGCTCGATGTGTGGGTGCCCCATGTCCTTACGGAGCGAAATTTGTGTCGTCGCGTTGACGTGTGTGATTCGCTCCTCAAACGTCAAGAAAATGATCCATTTTTGAAGCGGATTATTATTGGGGACGAAAAATGGGTTGTATACAACAATGTTAAACGCAAGAGGTCATGGAGCAGAAAAGATGAACCGGCTCAAAGCGTGTCACCAAAAAAAGGTGATGCTCTCCGTTTGGTGGGATGTCAAAGGAATCGTTTTTTTTTGAGCTTTTGCCGGACAATACAACGATTAATTCAGAAATCTATTGTCATCAACTGGACAAATTGAATGATTCACTTAAAGAGAAGAGGCCCAAAATAAACAACAGGAAGGGTGTAGTGTTCCACCAGGATAATGCGAGACCTCACACAAGTTTGGTCACTCGCCAAAAACTTTTACAGCTTGAATGGGACGTACTGCAACATCCACCATATTCTCCAGATCTGGCGCCTTCCGACTACTATTTGTTCCGGTCCCTGCAAAATTTTTTGGATAGCAAAACCTTTACCTCAAATGAAGATGTCAAAAACCACCTGAACCAGTTTTTTGCCAGCAAGGACCAAAACTTTTATGGGAGGGGAATTATGTTACTGCCAGAAAGATGGCAAAAGGTGTTGGACCAGAATGGCCAATATATAATTTAATAAAATATTTATTCATTATACGAAAACTGTCTTTCATGTTCCCCAAAAAAAACGAAATGACTTTCCGAACAACCCAATAGAAATTATTAGTTGAAACCATTGTAGCAATTATTTTAAAGAGCTGATGATATGATATGATGATATGATGATGATGATAATATAATAATATGTTTTTGATGTTTATGTACGACATTTACATAAGAAATCGCAAAAATTTCTTTACCAAGATAAAGGGATCTTTATCTAGAAAGACCAGCACCCTTCATTAGAGGTTTGGAAAGTTCTTTACCAGTACACTTTACCTTTGATATTGCGAATCGATTAAATTCGGTAATGTGGGAAACATTTTCTAGCATTATACTTTGAAAGAATGCGTTATTGATTTCAATTGCGTAGCGAACAATATATCACCAATTGTTTATGAAACATGAACAATGGAATGCGCAGGGCATTTTGACTTTAACCAAAAAAATATGATAGTAGCCATAACATTTTTTATTTCATTGTGATGACGGATTGAAATTTATTTTGTTTTGCTCAATTCTCTTCCAAATGTGAATGATAAATTATGTATACAACGAATAACAATTATTTCAATATGAAACAGTATGGATTTGCATCCATCAAGAGAGATGGTGGCGTCAGGTCAGAGGGCTGGAAGGAATAGAAAAACTCAAGCGCACATAAGAATATGGAGCACGGAGACGTTACAGACGTTGTACGTTTTCGGAATGGGCGAATTTGACGTTGGAGTGGCCGCTGTCGCTTTTTCGCAATTGGTACGTTTGATGCTATCAATAATTAACCTAATACATCATTATTGTTTTCTGGATTACAGAGAAAATTCTATATTTTTCAAAGAGTCGATACTTGTTATTAAATTAACTACTATGGGCAGTTTTTTTTCGAGACATTCGAAAAGCATTTTTTAAATTAGAGAAAATTAATATAATAACAATAATAATCGCTGATGTTGTGGAATTTAAGTTTTAAATGAATTATCATAATTTATCCAAAAAAAACTGTTAACCTAAAAACAAAATATTTATTGATCCATCTGAATTCTGAATTGATATCTGTACGGGGTTGATGTCCATTCCATTACTTGGTAATATAACGCAGCAATGATTTTGTTTTTGTTAGAATGGAGGAAGTTACGTCCTAGGAGTTGATGCGGGAAGAGAGAGCATTCTTTCGGTTTGGCAATGGCAGTGGGGCCATTTGCTCGGAAAAGTTGCGGTAAGTTTATTGTTAACTTAAATTAGCTACTGCCTCAACTTATTCACGTGTCCCATTTAAAACATATATAAATATATATGTAAACATATAAAACAACTTAAAACTTTGTAGTTTAGTATAGTACAAATATTAAGGGGATTGCCGATTCGGGAAGCGTTTTAAATACATACCAAACATTTAATGGTAATCCAAAGTGGGTCATTAAAAATCTTTTTTTATTACAGAATGATCTTCAGTTGCTACAAAAAACTTTAAATCTTTCAAAACTATCAACTTGCATTCCAAATTTTATACCGTAACAGTTCCCAGATGTTTTATAACATCCCGACTGTTCAATATAATCTCACCAAACATGAAACAATTTTCTTAGTATTAGAAAAAAACAGTGGATGGGTTTTTAGCAGTTTATTCTCGTAAGGAAATTAATGCTCAATTAATGAAATTACTGAGCAAAAGCACAGTGTTGCGTTGAATCACTTCGGAGCATTCCCCTAGCAATGAAAGTAATTATTGTTTTGGTCCTATTGTATATCTGATATTCAAATTTTTATATTTCTTGCAACGTATCGTGTCAAAATAATAAACGATCCGGACACGCGAATCGAGGGGTTCGCAATAAAATGAAAAATCATTATGCAAATTTTGAACTATCGACCCAAACTTGCATCTCATGTTTATAATAATCGAAAATGAATAATTTGCAAATAGATGCAAAAAAGTTTATTCCAAAAAATTTGTAACTAATTTACCTTTTAATGTTGTGTATTAGTTTAATTCGTGGTCAAGTCATATAAAAATTAAAAAAGTTTTCAAGCTATAAATCCTTAGGCTTAAAGATTTTTTTTATGTTTTTCGTTTTTTTAAAGTATCTTTTAAATGCTAAAATTGAAAATCGATGGGCTGAAAGCAATTTTCCTTAAAATCGCCAATTTAAGAAACGGGCAATGAATTATTTACACATAATATGTATGCAAGTTCGTATCAAATTGATTTTATTGATTGATTGATTGATTCATGTAGATAATGTCAAAATTTTTATCACAAGTCTGATGTGAAATTTTAAACGGGATTTCAATCAAGTATGTAAATGTGATTCTAGATGGCGTTTAAGTTTTATTGGAAAATCGGAAATTTTTCTAGAGACGCACAAGTATTAATTTGAAGAAAATAAGACCAAAAATACCCCGGCCGTTACAATCAACCGCGGGCGCAATATTTTTTTTAGAAAAATTCTATGAAAATGCTTTTACGGTGTAGAGAATATTTGCATAAATGAATACTAACAATTTTAAGTGTTGTCTCTTGTTCGTATTGAAAATATGTAGGAAAAGCAAAAATAGGTTGTTACTTTTTAACGAAATTTTCTAGATAAAAGCTTTATAGGAAAAATATTTAAGTAATATAATTACAAATAAGAATAAAAAAAATAAGATTACAAGGTTTTTTTTTTGGTTCCCATTTGCATATCCTGAACGATACTGTGAGAAAAAGTAGAATTATTGTTGGTTATTGAATATAATAATTTTTCATAAAATTTAAATATTTTTTTTTTAGTTTACTAGGGGCAAATTAAATTTAAATCTTAATTTTTAATATGTTTAACAGGATGGTAAAGATGCAATATTTTTTGGTAACTTAAATTCATCATCAAAAACCAAAAATTTTATCGTAAAAGTAGAATTGTTTACAAAAAAATTAAAGAAACAGCAACTATACAAAGTGCATAAAAATAAATTCCAAATAAATGAAGCATAATTTTTGCCTTAATCTTTTAGAAAATCTTTTGAAAAATATTGATATATAGAAAAACAATTTTTGAATTATGAAATAATAAAATTTTAATACACTAAAGTGGAACTTTATACACTTCCTATTAAGGATTTTTCTGTCCTGGGATTAGATAATATTATTTCTCTTAACTTCTTGTAGTTTTTTCAGTGTATATTTATGCATCTAATTACTATGGTTGCTTGAATTTTGTATGCTGCAAACGAGTATAAAAATTCATTTTTTCCAGACTTTACAAGAAGAATTGACTGGCGCTGTCTTCCATCCATTGGACGATAACCTCATGATAACTCACGGAAAGGGCCACCTTACGTTTTGGAATAGGCGAAAAGATGGCTTTTTTGAACGAACTGATATAATCAAACCGGTGAGCGTTTTAGCATTGATTTTTTTCTCTTGTACAACGTCAACGTGCTATTCTTGTTTATGTAGAATCTAGCAAAACAGAAAACAAAATCTGATCTGAAAAAGCAGTGATTTATATATATGATATAGGAATATGAATATCACCACCGGATTCATTAACCACCGATTTTAATTTATTTTAATTAAGATTTTCGGTCTCTTTTCGGTGTAAAGTCAGTAAATAAATTTAAGAGCGTTTGGGCAAAGTGTTCTCGACTCTACTAATACATAATTTGTGTGCATTTTACTGTCTCCGATAATTAGATCTCTAAAAAAATATTAAAACACAGTTTAGCTATTCTTCCAAAACGTATATTTTTAAAGTTTTTCACCTTTTCCAGCCGTCTAGGACACTTATAACCTCTCTACAGTTCGAACAAGACGGCGACGTCATCACGGCAGACAGTGACGGTTTCATAACGGTTTACAGCGTCGACGCCGATGGGGCTTATTTCGTGAGAATGGAATATGAGGCCCACAACAAAGGTGTAGGGGCCCTGGTGATGCTCTCAGAGGGCACTTTGCTCTCGGGAGGTGAAAAAGATAGGAGGATAGCGGCATGGGATTCATTGCAGAACTACAAGAAGATCACGGATACAAAGGTGTGAACCTACAGTCTTTTAAAAAACGGCATTATATTGCAAATCGAATTTTTGAAGCTTCCGGAACTATTCGGGGGCATTAGGTCAATATATCCGCAACGACCTGGACGAAACGATGGGAACATATATGTGGGTACAACTAAAAATAACATCCTCGAAGGTTCTCTCCAAAGGCGATTTAATCAGGTGAGTGTGATGAAAGAATATCTCGATCCGCTAGAAATAAATATCTGTTAAATAAATAGTGTTATCTTTAATAGAATCTTGAAACTCTCGCCCATGCAGAAGTGTTGAGGGGGGGGTTGGCACGAGATAGTAGCAAATACGTCTCTCGGGTAAAATCCTCCGCACATCCTCATTTTAGAAAGGTTAGAAAGCCACAGTTGTGTCCTCAAATTCGGAAAACTCAATATAAAGTTAGTTGTATACTTTGTCTCGAAGTATATCGTCTTGGCTTTTGACGGTAATTATCGCAATAGCGGACCGACGGCAATAAAAAATCAGACCATCTGACCAGATGTTTTGAATTATAAAGAATAAATATTATATTATATTTATTTAGATATAATAAAAATGATATTAGTACTACTAACTGAACATACGATGACACTAGATATATAGAAGTTACCAAAAATTACCTAAATTTTATTCAAAATATATTTCTGTTTCCCTCTCAGAGTCGCCATTAAAATTAATTACAATGTTATTTTGTATGCAAATGTAAGAATCTTCAATTTTTAGAATGTGTTGCATTTTTTCAGCTCTCAACAGTTATATTATTACTTAAAGTGGGAGTAGTTATAAAAGAAGATCCCATCTGTTCAGCTAAATGTATGTGGTACATATTGTTTTTAATTGAATATGAATTTCATACTTCTAAAAGTTGCCCTTTCCTCTAACCGAATTTAAAATAAAGATCATTTTGTAAAAAATAAATTGAATTTCAGTTTTTGTACTTGATTAATTTGGTGTGTTTTGTGGCTGTGATAGCAATTTTCAAAAGTTCCACGCTAACATTCTTCGCAAGCAGTAGCAAACAGTTTGGTCCTTCTTCTGATCCAGCATGTGCATAGTGATGCGTTTTCCTTTATTTGAAGGTGCTTTTGACTGACACTTTTTACTAGAATCAATCCATGGTTTGGATACTTTGTCGTGAGCATCAAATCTCATCTAGGTCAATTGTACATCTATTCTAGGTTGTTTTAATTTTCCAGAAGATAATTAAATCCCCAAGTGCACAATCTGTGCTAAATCATTTCCATTTGTTGGCAAGGCCAATAATTATATTGGTTTTATCTTCTTCTAACTTTCTTTTCAGTATCTCCAAAGTAGGAAAAACCTGTTTTCAAGGAAATATATTTTCCTTCTTGTTTACTATCCTTTATCGGTTGAAAATCATTACATTTTTTGGTTACTACATTATTGGTTGTTGGGAGAGAGTCCGTTGAAAGCCACGACGATATACTTCGAGACACACTGTACCTACACTTTAAAGTTCTTTATGTTGAGTTCAGCGCTGCCTGCTCAAAGAACGCGACACGAGCCGTCACTGATGTCACCCTTCATTCACCGCTTCTAATGGATGTGCGCAAATTAAAGACACAACGTATATACGGCTCATAACAACACTCATGTATACATGCTGCTCATGCGAATACGAGGGTAAAAAAAAAATTAAAAAAAAAGATTTTTACTTGCAACTCTAATAAGTAGTTCCTCAGATTTATTCTTGCCTGTCAATTGTCGACTACGACAATAAATTCCAAAACAACAAATGGTCGCTGTTTCGTTTATTTATTTAACTGGCCACAAACCTCATCATGGCCATCAGGTGCACATTTTACACCATACGTATAATACTTTTTTTTAAGGTAAAACCCAACTAACGTTATTATTAAAACAGTTATAGAAATTATTTTGATAGTCACTAGATGCAACTAGTAAGGAAAAATAAATGAAGCAAATTATTATAAAAAATGCTTACCAATATTTGATCAATTTAGTTTCGCTATTTTGTTATCTCTTTCTGCAAAGAGTTTCGACTGAAGAAGCAGAGGAATTAATTGATGTGATGTATCAACTATATATTTAGAGCTATTGCGGAATAATTCACTTTGTAGTTCACAATTTTTTAATCATATAAAAACAAAAGCGTGTATTTTAATTCTTTAGTGTACAATTTTCCAAAAGTATTGCGGATCTTTGTATTTAGGTACTCAACTTAACATTACTTACTTAAAATTAAATTATTTGAAAACTTTTTACAAGTAAATCGTATTCCGTATCCAGTACGGTTTAAATCCGACTATCCAACGACTAAGTAAAAGAAACTAAAATAGGTGAAATATTTATCATTACAGAAAAAAGGTTGGTGACAGCCATCACAAAATGTGTAAAAGTACGTACCTGTTATCCTCGTATAGCATCGCTAGTATTTGACGTCTTTATGTTGATGATTCGAGTCATCAGCTGAGGTTTAAATTGCGGTAATTTCCAGATTGTTTTCGGACACGGCAGACAACTTTGGGGTCTTTCAGTTCATCCGGACGACGAAGTATTCGCGACGGCAGGTCATGACAAAAATATTGCACTATGGCGAAAAAATAAACTTATATGGACAACTCAGGTGAGCAAATTTATGTTCCCTATAGTAGCGGCGGTTGTTAAAAGTAAAGTTCTAGTACTTGCTTTTCATTTCCATTCTTATGGTGAGTATCTTGCATTTACATTTATGTTTTATATAATTTTATATCAACCTAGGCTTAAATTAAATGGACGAATGCAATAGAAAGGTCCAAATAACTGATCGATAAAATTATACTTTGCTATACTTCTGCTAGCTGCACTGGTGTAAACCCCCAAATATATTTCAACAATAAACCGCTTTCGGTATATAAAAGAAATAGGGTTAGTTGAATGAACGAAATTCAAAAAATTCTAACTTTTTCACAGACAAGTTAGACATTGTCTATTTGATTTACAAAGTTATTCACGCAATTGCTTATTGAAAGTGTACTAGAAGACTAAATATAAAATAGTTTTTCAGATACCTTGTATAATTTGCATGTATTCTTATTTTCTGACAATTTTCAAACAATTTGTCGATACCTACCTACTTCCTGTGTTTTTTTTTATAATATTTGAATTTTATAAAAAAGTATAGGAATTTCTGAATTAATAAAATAAAGCCATTTATTAATAATACATCTTAATAAATTAAGTTTCAATTAACATAAAATTTACCATTCTTGTATTCTTTGTATTCTTCCGCAATGCATGTACATCAATCTTGTCAAAGATACCTCAAAAAATGTCCTTCTAATAAAAAACGTTTTTTTGTAATCGAACGTCCTGTAACCCTGACGTCATTTCCTGTGTCTAGCTAACCAACTATCCTGGTAAATTTCTAATACGCAATATGTCTCGTTAACCCTGTATAAAAACTGCTTATATATTAGATTAATCCTGGCAAATATAAATTAAATTGAAATTAGCAAAACTTGTAGGTATCTTTCGAATGCATATCTTTAAGTTTTCATCCATTTGGTGTCGCCCTGGCAACCGGTAGCACAGAAGGGCACTTGATAATAATCAACTCCGAATCGGGTACCATCGTAAATACAATAAGAGTATGTGGATCGCCGTTGAATTGCGTCGGTTTTAATCCAAGTAAGTAGGAAAAAAAATAAAAAAACTGCTGCTATTTTTACGCTGCTCACAAAACAGAACAGGACATTACAATACAATAGAATTATTTTTGTTTGCAAAAAGGTGAAACCTAAACATTTTTTTAATTGAGTAATCAAAAACCCTAATTGAACTAAACATTTTGTTAAATATTTGCAAGAATGTTTTTAATACCTAAATATTTGTTTTTAGATAGTTACATTATTAGTACTGCAGGTACTTAACGTCAACACGACAAACGGACTAGACAAATGCCCCAACGCACCGGATAACATATATAGTAGTTGCAGCGAATATCTAATGTATCTACATTACACTATATCGTACCACAGAAATTATTGTTTGGTTATTTATGAAGGTTATAAAATGCATTTCTTCAAAATAGAATGTAATACATTTACGGAGTCTTCGAAAATTAAATTTCCAATCCCGTGGCATATTGATAAATTTTATTATAAAATAATTATTTGTGAGCAACACTGACCTTGTACTAATATTACTTTTAATATTAAGGAAACCGGTAAGTATGCAAATACATGTATGAGTCAAAATCTATAAATTTTTGCTCACAACAGTCCTTCAAGCTCGTCATTCATTACTCTAAGGCAACTCTTCTGCGGTGCAAAGATTTAATATGTATAATTGGAGCGTCCCCAAAATGGTATGGCATAAGTTAAACAAGCATTATTTCAATATCAATTGAAAAGTTGATTTTTAAGCTCAAGTTTAAATAGCAAATAGTTTTCGACATACAATAATACTTTGCACGCTTTTTTGACCATTCTGTGCAAACAACTGCACACTGGAGCAGTGGTAAAGAATAACATATTTAATTATTTTTTTGGCTAATTGGATATTTGTTCTCATAAAATGCAAGTTATAACTAAAAGAAATGAAGTATCTAAACCATAAATGTCCTGTTATTATTTAGGCAGAAAATTCGTTTATACTGTACAAAACTAACCAATAATTCATCTGCGGTTTACTCCTCCTGGTCACCGAATATCTACGGGTGCGGCAAAATGATAGGTACTATTTGGGATGTTAATAAAAACGGAATCATATAAAGCAAACATTTTTTTAAATTATTTTTGAAATGTAAATTTTATGTCATTTAGGAACGTTATTTTTAAAAAATGATGTCTTTTAAGTGACGGCCATTATTGTCGATGCACTCTTGTAGGTTCTCGCGGAAGCGCATCATTACCCGATGGATCATTTCTTGGGGAATTGAGGCAATTTCTTGTCTTATGGCTGCCTTTAATTCTTCCAAAGTCCGCGGACCATGTGTGAAAACTCTCGCTTTCAGGTAACCCCAAAGAAAAAAGTCGCAAGGCGACAAATCAGCCGAACGTGGCGGCCAGCCAAGATCACCCCGTAAAGGCACCACTTTGTTTAGGAACATTTCTTGAAGAAGATTTAGTGAACGACACGTTGTGTGCTATGTAGCACCATCCTGCTGGAACCAAAGATGTTCTCTTTGATCGTTGTTCATCTCGTTCACTTTTCGACGCAGGAAATTGTTAAGCATATCAAAATATCGATCTCCGTTGACTGTTACCGTCATTTCATCTTCTTCGAAAAAGTAAGGACCCCACACGCTGAACTCCGAGCTTGCACACTTTTAGACTGTGAAGAAGTCGCTCATGAAGTTCCTGTGGACTATTTGCTGACCAATAACGGAAATTTTGCTTATTTACGGTACCCGAGAGGTGAAAATGAGCTTCGCCGCTAGATATGAATACAGGACCTCTGGGAATGTTTTGAAGAATATCCCGGCATAAATTTGTACGGGTTTCAAAATCTTTTGCGCTTAATTGCTGCACTACCATCATTTTGTACGGATGCATTTGGAGTTGTGTAAAATTCTTCGAACACTTCTATCGGAAATTCCCAAGGCAGCTGCATGCTTACGAGCTGAATGCCTTGGAGACTGTTGTACGGAAACTCTTACTGCATTCACATTTTCCGGCGTTCTTACTGTCCTTGGTAGCCCAGTTGATTTTCGGTTAAGCGTAGAATCTGTTTCCCTGAAGTCTAAAACCCACCGACGAATTGTTCTTCCATCCGGAACGGCGCCATGCCGACCAACATCAAACTGATTACGAAAGGCGCGCTGCATCGCTATTACAGATTCCCCATTTCTAATAAACTCCTCGACAACGAAAGCACGATGCACTCCGCTCCAAGCCATGTCGATAACTGAAAATTGCATACTTTTCTCTGCCTAACGGGAGTGCGTACACAGTGTTGCCGGTTTTACAAACCGAACAACCACTATTTGAAACCCTGCCTACATTTTTGCCGCACCCTGTATAGACCAATTAGGAAGATATACGATTTACAATTTTTAAAATCAGACATTTCTTTATAGGATAAAATTGTACTATGTTAAAAAGTTAATATAACTTTATTAATATTTATAACATATCGTTATTACACACTAAAATTATAATTAAAAATTTCATCATCAGAATAAAAAGCATCTATTTTTTTTAATAGCGAACAGTTCTAGGCGTTAACTTCTGGAGGTAACTTGTTAGACCCAAAAGCGGCAAACAATGATCCCAATTTACCATATCCAAAACTACAAATATTAACCCACAATTTTTTTTTTAGCTGGCGATCTGATTGCCATAGCTTCGCAGAACGGAAGCATTTATCTATTTCGGGTGAGTCGCGACGGTTTCTCCTACAAGAAATCAAACAAGATCCGGGGCTCGCAGCCTCTAATGCAGATGGACTGGAGTTCTGACAGCAATTACTTGCAGACAGTGACAGCCGACTACGACCTAGCCTTTTGTAAGAATACTTTACTGCAGAGCTATTAAAAACAAATTAGAAAAACATATCAGCAATCTTCCATTTAAAAATATTCCCATTTAGCAGTTACTGATTAATCATGAATGTTAGGTTTTAAAGTAAATCCCTTTCTAAAAAATTATTTTACATTTATGGGGTATACTTTAATCTTTACAATGACGGTGATATAAGGCATCGACCAAGTACCATATTATATGAGCCTAATACCTGCCAAGATCATTTAATGTTTTTCACAAAACTGAGGAGATAGGTATAAGAAAACAAAATGCACAAATCACACAAATTAAAAATAGGATACTACACAGGCCGGAATGTTTAACATTTTGAACTGAAGCCGGAGTACCATGGGAAGTAGAAATTCAATTTTAGTAGACTTTATTCTTTTACCGGTTTTCGGGAATAACCCTGCACAGCGTAACGTTTATATTTTTTCTAGGGGACGTTAAATCGTTATCGCCAGAGAAGAGTCCAATTGCTATGAAAGATGTTAAATGGTACACGCACAATTCCACAGTAGGATTTATGGTTGCAGGTAAAATTTGTAGTTTTTATTAGTTAACATAGGTAAATATACCCTGTGCGAAAAAAAACGCATCATGAAGTGCATATTTTCAATCGAATTTGCTGAGAAGGTGCTGAAATGAAAGCAGGGACGGGCGATTATCTACGAGTATATTTGCATAGGTAAAAAAATAAAAAATGAAAAAATTGTGGTTTATGCGAACAAGTGGTTAATGACATTACCCGCCCAGTCTGAGTACACTATGACAACATGTAAATTACAAATCATTGGTATAATATGTTATATGAAAACATGATTGTGTTAGCAATGAAATTATCTCTCTTGGAGGGTTCCGTTAAGGTCAACATAAATTATATATACAAAAGTACACAGTGAAAGGTAACTGAAAAAACGCATCACAGAAAGAATGACCTCGAAATATTCACGTTATTTAAGGCATGAAAATATTGAATATCTCAAAAATGGGTCTATAACGTCTCGCATCCGTTATGTCCAGAATTTGCCTTTTTTTTAAATGCTAACTTAAACCGGGAAAAATTCAAAAATATTTTTCTTTTGAAAAAATAAGAGCGTTTAAATTAAATTTGTATTGAACAAGTTAAGTTTCGCATCGCTGCGCATATATTATTGAAATAAACTACAAGTGATTTCGAAAATAGTTATTAATTTTTTAGAAAACTTTAGCACTATATAATTTTTTCGATATAGCGTTTTTCGAGCATATAATAGCACTAATAGTGAATTTTTCGTGTAGAATATGTATTTATTTTCAGGCATGTGGAACAATCGTTTCTATCCGATGACTTCCCTGATCAGTACGGCGAGTAGATCAGCTGCCCATGATCTGTTAATTACCGGTGACACCGATGGTTATCTTAGACTGTTTAGGTATCTTTCACTCAGGGTTGAAATAACGGATATACCTATAATTTTCTAAGTATTGTAGGTACCCCTGCCTGAGTCCAAAAGCCGAATATAATGAAGAAAAAGTCTACAGCGGCACCGTGGCGTGCGCGAGGTTCCTCTTTAATGATCGGAATATCGTAACGGTGGGCGGTACCGATGCCGCTTTAATGTTATGGCAACTCACGGAAGAATAGCATAGACCAAATCCTGTGTATCTGCCGGCGATACAGAATACGAATCGGTGGCGAATGGAGAGAAGCGAAGACGAATCAGATTTCGAATCTGATGGCGATAGTACGACATTTGAGGTTTTAAATTTGCATTACTAGGCTAAAGGGCGCCGTGATTGTTGAGCGCCCGAAGAATGTGAAGAATACAATGCTTTAATTATATAAGTAGATCACACTAAATTTGTACGAACAAAATTAAGATGTTTGCCAAAAAGGTTCCTGTTAATGTGAACGGCGATGGACAATATCAATTTCTTGTCTATGCGGCTCAATAAAACTAATATTTAACTAACCAAAACCATATCAAGATTTTTCGAGAAGCTTTCTGATTCTATGAATGCGGTAGAAAAGCATTTTCTCTTTCCCAAGGCAGGCGAAGATCAATTTGAATCTGATTTTGTACTTACGAAAACATCCAATAAGATTGCCACACGGTTAGAGCGCACAAGACAACTTAAATTTATTGCAAATATAATTTTCGAAAAGTTCAATTCGAGTTTCATTCTTAAAATTGTGCACACTGTGCCTTCCTATGCGTACTCGTTGAAAGAGAACTTGTTGACTTGTTGGAATAATTGCATTAAACCTTTTTGTAGTTTTATAGTATAGACTAACATTTTAAAAAATGTGGGGTCTTTAACGAATAGGTACGAAATATTACACAATTTTTCAAAATGAAAGCAGAACTAGATTATCGATATAAAAAATTTCAGCCCAGGGAGACGCGCACTACTCAGGACTTGGCGAGATTAAAATTAACTGTAGTGGGTTGATAACAGGTTCACTCAGAAATTTTATTATGTCTTGTTCCAGTTTTTTCAAAAAACCACTGCAGGCAGGAACATTGTTATTAAAGTAGTATAACTACACAATACAATTGTACAATTACCGCAAACAACTTGAAAGTTTTTTTCAGTGCGATTGGCACAAATATGCAGGGTAATTCAAATTGTATTACTATTATTAATACGTTTGTTGTTACATAGGTATTTAAGTTGTCGCTTCAACTACGCCAACGTTAAGAATGTATTTATCTAAATAAACCTCGACTTCTTTGTTCTGAAAATTTGGCAAATTATATAATAGTTATAGTAATTATTGGGAGTGCTGGAGCAAAATCACAAATCGATAGTAATCGTTGTCTTCTCAGGTGTTGAACTGAGTCTTTCTCTTTTCAAAAATCTCTCTGCCTTAAAACTTCGCTGGTTACCTCAAATATTACCTACAAAATCAGAAAAAAACCCGCCTTCTTCATTATACGAACCCGCCTGTCGTTCAGAGAAAACAATTTGCAATAACTCTACCTTTCGCTAAAATAACGGCAACGCATTATTTTACCTATCCTCTTACTTTTTTAGTACCTCAAGTAATTACGAAGTATATAATAGATTTTACAGAAATGTTGGATATATTTTCGTAACGAAACGGATGCAAATAAAACATTATACGAGTTAATAAAACCACTTTAGATGAAATTAAATTAGACAAACAATGTACAGATAAAATAATACCTCAAAAACGCGCAACTGTATTATTTTAAAATTACGAAAAAATTACCGGTGCCTAAATGGCCCGAAGAAAATGTGAGAGATGGTCTCCTCAAAAGAGCTTTCGGGTTCATTTAAAATTATAATTAATTCCATTTAGTTTAGTTGATAGAATGGTGGAGCAGCAGCAACCTAATCAATTAATTTACTTCAAATTAGAAAGTAAATAAGAACTAAAAGTTCAGATTTTCACGAAATTATATATTATGACATGACAATTGTTTCGACAACACCGTGTCTATATAATGATTTCTTTCCTTCAGCAAATAGATTTTTATTTAAATACGTGCAATCAATGTGTAAAGCAGACTATGTTAGGATCTATCTAAAAATGTCACTTAAACCAGTTTTCCAGGTTTGCCTAAAATAGCTGCGAACCACCCTGTATATTCTCTAATGAGACCAGAAAGTAATCGAGAGGCGACTATCTCTCGCACACATTGAGAAACTGCCAATAGATATACCATACTTACTAGATAAAGTATCTAGAGTTTAGAAGCTTTTTGCAAAAATAACTAGCTTGTACCAGTTATTCATGGATATATAACCTATAATATCCGGGAATCCAATGGTTTTTATAGAACAATTTGCAATTGTTGGGAATCGGAGATCGGAGAAAAAGTTTATAAAATAATATTGCAAGCCACCTGATCTTTTTACACTGTAAGTTTGTTTTTACCATCGTATGCTAGTGACGGCTTCCGCCGGAAAACTCAAATAATATATATATATATATATATATATATATATATATATATATATATATATATATATATATATATATATATATATATATATATATATATATATATATATATATATATATATATATATACTTAATTTAATACATAATTCAGTTATTTTCATTACCTCTTGGAAAACAAGAATCAACAGAAGAATCAGAAGGAAAATAAATGTCCCGGAAAACATTTACATAAAAAATAAAAATACTACTTAATAAGTCACTAACATAAGATATTCAGCACGATCTCAATGATTTTATTATCAGTGTCAACTTCTACAATTGGTCGGTCCATAATTATAAATTATAATATATCATCTCATTAAAGTTGTATAAGATATTTACTAGGAGTATTCTGTATATATACAGGGCGAGTCTCCAACTGGCAGTATATACAAAACATTCAAAGTCAAACCTAATTCCCGATCCTCAACGAAATATTAATTCTTAGGTAATTAAAATAACATTTCAATCAAAGTTTTTTACAAACCATTTTGGTTATGAAGGGAAACTCTGTAACTCTTATTAAATAACACACAATTTTGCACAAGTAGCTCGCTCTGTTTATAGTCCGCTAGAAATAGACCCGACTTTAAGAAATTAATTTTTTACAAAGAATTGTATATACTATAATTCCATCTGATAAACATATGTGGCTTTCATTGTAGTTCAATTATAGTCATTTCGATAAAGCAATTTTTTGCATTTGTTTTTGTCTTAGTTAATAAATTGCTATTTGAAGTTTATACATGATGTCTTTTCTTCCTTTGTAAACTAATTTTCCGGTATAGCTTTGCTAAAAAATATCTACAAAATTAGTATAATAGAATTCACCAAAAGATATATCGTTTTTACAACCTTTTATGGTTTTGACTTTGGAATGAGTTTAAGCCCAGGCTGTTGTAAAACGGAAGGGACCATTCTTTTCAGCACGTGTAGCAGAAGGATAAGGTCGTATTTACGATGTTACCTTTACTTTACTGTTGCATTTTAAGACTAATGGACTAATAATAATCAAGGAATCTCACGGAAAAAACTCTGCACAAATCCCACCCACTTATTGAAGGTTACAAAGAGAAACCCAAGCGAGGTAGGCCTGCGGTAAGACTTCCAAGAGTATGTATACACGTTTATGGTATGGTAGTTCCATGACATTATTTTTAGCGGGAAAATGTTGTTTCGTGTGCATACACAGAAAAAAATTGGGTCAATATAAATTTCTAGTAAACAAATTCAAATTAATATTTTGATCTCATTGATACCAATTAAAACTTCTATGATTCAATTGAGTAATAACATGGGTATTACTAATAATGATATCACCAGTGTTTAAATAATTTAGAACAAAGTAAGTCATGACGGAACCGACTTTTGGTTCTTAAAGTGGAACTTTAAGACGTTAACCTAAAATGCCATGCGCTATATGCATTAAGGTGAAGGAAACACATATAAAAAAAAGTCATTTTCATTGTTTTTCTACTGTCACAGGAATAAACATCTTTTAAATATTAACTAAAGCTTCACACTCCACTTATATTATTATTAATACCTTTAAAGCAATTTTTCATATTTACATAAATTAAATAACAATTGATAAAAACAATCTTTTAAACAATTTGTACAAAAACATACGACAATTGGCGGCTTAAGTATTATCCATCAATCGATTTTGTGAACTCTGTGAAACTTCAATCTTGCTGAGGTTAGAGGTACCCTCAGTCCTATCCCCTAGACCACACTTCAAATCCATAATTTTCGCTTCCTCATTTAAATTCTCACAAATTTGTTTATTAATTTCATTGGTGTCATCGGAACACTCACAATACCGACCCTCGAGCATATTTGTGTAAACGTGTTCGATGTTTAGTTCACTGTTTTGAGATTCATATTTATCTGTGAATCCCCTATAGGATCCACTATTTGTTGGGTTACTCGGAGTTGCTCTCTCACTGGGAAACATTGTGCTTTTGGTGAAAACTTGAATTGATCGCCGGAAGCCTGCAGTTTTGTGCTGAGGATACCCCAGAATTTCACTCTTCGCAAAGCCAACAGCCGGCGACAAGAGGTACTCCCGAAATTTATCTGGGAAAAATTCTATTGTGTTGTAGTTCTTATAGATTACTTCCTGGAATTAAAACGACAGAATTATCAGTACCGTTCAATTATTAGGTTCAACATAAATAGATAGAACCGAAGAAAAAGAAAAAACATTACTTAAACATAACCAAAAACATAATATGTAATTTAAATAAGCTTACAGTAAGTTTTTTCTTGCTCTTGTAGCTGGCCCAATTTTGAGGTTCCAGAATCAATTTTCCGCCCGGTCTCAACTGCTCATACATCCTACGGAAACAAAGCTTAAGACCATTATCGCCCCAATTTAAATGAATCCACTTTGTGATGCTCAGACACAAAATCACATCAAACTGAGGTTGTTCTAAAGCCAGAAGACCCTCATCTTCCAAAACATAATTGCACTAAAAATAAATCTTATGTAGGCATTTCCGGATAAATCTTAAGTAACAAATATATAAAGTAAAATCTAAAATAATTTTTAAAAAAGTTTTTTAACACTACTGTACTACTTCGTATTTCCAGCCCCAAGATTAATATAAATCAATAGAAAAGTTGGTACCAAAAAATTTGTAAATGAAAGAAACTCAGATGCAACAAAACACGGCTAATTTAATTCATAAAATACGCCGCCAATTTTGTTTTTAATTTGCAATATGTATTCGTAAAATTACTAAGTATTTTTTCGCTATTGGTGCTTAAAAAAAACTATTATTGCGTTGCACCAGGTGTTTTTTTTTAATTAAACATAATTTTTGAGATAAGCCTTTGAATATTACAATAACGATATTGTAGTTCGACAAGCAAATGAAGGTTTGTTCTCTAACGCTACAGACAGGTTAAAAAGATATATATTAACGCAATTCAATAGTATTACCTGCTTATAGCAACTAGGAAATAGCAACTCACCTGCTTAAAAGTGACATTGTTAGGGAAGCCCCGCCCTTTGTGCGTATCGTGAAATCCTGGAATGTCAATTGTTCCGTATAATATAGGCATAGAAATAGGGAAAAACTCACTGCTACTTTTTATTTGAGTATTTTTTGCTTCCGGGGTATTATTGGGAGAATTTTCAGATGTTTTAACATAATGTTTGACATTCTTCCTTGCTATGTTTATCAATCTTGGATCAATATCAATGCCAGTAATATTACGGGCTCCGAAGTCTCGAGCAACGGATAATGTAACATGACCTATGTTACAGCCTATGTCTAAAATATCTTTGTTTTCAAACAAGTATGGGTGATGTGAAAATACTCTGAGTCTGTGATCTACTTCATTGTTAGGGTTCCTGTAACCGTAATACCTGCAAATACATGAGATTCACACTCGACAATATCTAATGAAATCATCAACGACGTTGCAAATAAACTGGCCAAAAAGCGGAAATCCATTTGCATGATTAAATATTAATTCACTTTATTATTAGCACAATCTATCTAGATCAAAGTACTTTAAATCTGTTTATTTAAAATAAATAAGAAAATATCTTTATGGTAAAAAAAAATATACAGGGCGGACCAGACTTTCGGGAGCAAACTCTGAGGGTTGATAGGAAACTATTTTTTATTAAAAAATTTTTTAAGTATTTCTCCTAAATCGCTTCATTTCCGTAATACGGACTATCACTAGAGTTACTAAAAGTAACAATAATAATTTAACAACCCTTTTTTAGTCATTCATAATTTTTTAACTCAAGCTAAAGCCTTCCCTTTTATTAATAAATAAAATTAACAGAAATAAATAAAGAATCTCTAAAAAAAAAAACATTATTCATTGTTCATTAAAAGCGATTTAAATAGATTTCATGGGCTTTATTTATTATTTTTTAAATTTTTTTATTCCTTTAAATTGTCTATATATTGATTTTCCCATCAACTAGAGTTTTCCGAATATATTATATTTCAGCACATTTCTTGGTTGTGATTTTGAGACACTATCATCCCAACTGCTGTATTTGATTCGGTATTTCAGTAGGAAACAATATTCACATTAACTTTTTATGCTGAAACAATTTTTGTCCTTTGACGCAAACCACGCGAGTGCTCCGACACCAGACAAAATGTCCCCCCGACAGCTCTAAACCGACTGGTCGCAACGTAAGGCTGCACACAATAACCTGAAACCTAACCCCCCAAGCTAACTTACCTATCGTAGTTCCCATACTGAAACTTCTTGTTCTTTTCCTTAAAAATAGGCATCTGTTCATCTCGGATCTTGTTTTGTCGTGGTTTCGCCCACTTTACTGAATTTGATCTCTTTGGCCACGCCCCTGGTTGCGGTATGACCGGACTTACAATCTTATCCATTGAATTCTTAAACTTTTTTACTGGATGAGGACCCTCTTCAGATTTTCTCTTTGGTCTCTCCTTTTTATCTTTCCCTAAATTGATTAACAGGTTTCTGCAGGTCTTCGGTCTTACATCGGCACAAACAGGATCCTCGGGAATCTTTGCTGAATCAGTTGAGGCTTCTGGAGTTCGAGCCTCAGAATTCCCACTGGCATCCGCGTCCAAACATTCGGTCGAAGCGGATATCGTTCTGCGTTTCTTCAGACGTTTCTTCCGGCCCTTTTTTACTGGAGAACAGAGTTGCTGCTCGTATTCCTCATCGTTTTCGCAATCGATCAAATGCAGTGGATCGGGCATATTCGGAGGTATGATCACATCGATAGGCATCTTTCTCCTGGGGGGGGTGGGTACTGGGGAGGACTTTGGCGTTACTGCGTTCATCGCCCTGTTGATTTCTTCGTCCTGGAGACTGTTTAAGTTTAACGGGTCATTTATGTTGCCCCCGAGCAGGAATTTCGTCGGCAGTACTGGTTTCGCGTTCATCAGTATGCCGCATCCCGAGAAACTCTTTGACCGCTTCCTTGAAGAGCGATCGTGTTTATTTTTACGCTTCGAATGGTTTCCTCCAAATTTGTTTGGACAATTTTTACTGTTTGGCAGTTGCACTTTAACTTCGTCTTTAACTTCCAATTTAACCGCCGCGGGTTCTAAAACTTCAATAGTGGACATCTTCTCCGCGATCTAAAAGATTTAGGCATTTAGTAGCATCAAAGAGTAAAATGTGCATAGCGAAAACTTGGTGTGTCATGAATAACAGTTTCTATTTTCCGATAAAGTTTATTTTGCTCAACATTATTTAAATATCTGGTTGTTAAAAATTGTGGATCTACAGTTTATAAACTATATGCTCTCTTAACAGTATCTGTATAGCTGACCAAAAGATTTATTCAAATTAGTGTTGGTACTCTATCCTTCGATAAGTATTGTTAATTTGTACCATTTTAGGGCAAAGATTTGTTGTATATTCTTTTATTTTCTTTTGCTATTGTAATTTACTATTTAATATATTATCCACCACTCTGCTTATTATTATTATATAAGACTTTGGAGTTCGATAATAAATGAAAAATCTTATGAATTTAAATTAATTAATTTCTTTAAAATTAATTGGCACTTTAAATACTTTATTTTATTTTCAAGGTGTTTTATCTTGAAAAACAGTCTTTAAGTTTTCATTTTCTACATATCTTAATCTAAGAAACACTGTTCAATAATTCTTAGGAATTTGGAATTAATGATTCAACGGAAATATAAAAAAAAAAGTTTTTCTTCTTTTTCTTTCTGCATACAATCTATTTTATGTTTTACATTTTTTTAAAAGACCACAAAGAGAGCAAAATTTTTGAAATAATTCTTGTTGGTATTCAAAGCTTTACTTCAACACAAAACGGTTTCTACATATCCTCCTTAATCTAAGAAACACTGTTCAATAATTCTTAGGAATTTTGTATGAATGATTTAGCTGATAGAGCGAGATAAATATCTTCTAAAATTTGGATTTTTCTTACTCCAGTCTAGTCTGCTTTTTAGATACCCCACAGAGCATAGCGTGTCCTGTTGCTATATTAGATTCACATATGAATTGTCAGACAGTTGTTCCCTTGATCAAGAATCCTTATGTTAATATACATTAAAAATGAAATATTAAAAAAAAGCTTTTCTTCTTTTTCTTTCTACATATATTCTATTATATGTTTTACATTACATTACATACCACAAAGAGCAATTTTTTTTAAATAATTCTTGTTGGTATTCAAAAATTTTCTTCAATAGAAAATAATCAAAAACTAATGAAAACAGATTTTACTTTTTCAAATGAAAATGGCGTAAGAACAAAACTTAATGAGATAAAATTTACTCTAATTGATGTTTGGAGGTGGCTTACCCTTTTTCCTTCAAATATATTTAGTCTAGTAAATTTGTGATAAAATATTATGGACCAAGTTGATAAACGACACTTTCGTCACGAGCTTGTTTTAACACCAGCGGAGAGCAGAAGTCGCTCCCAAAGTACCGGCGTTTTAAAGTGATATTTTGCGCACACCTGATCACTGCATAATTGGGTAGTACGAATAAAATTATACGCAGAGTTGTTCAATAGAAAAACATCAACCTGTGTAAATTTGATAATTACATATGTTTTAATTCATTCATAAATTCTGATAAAAGAACATCATTTTTTTGTTTACAATTTTTGAATCTATAGGTACGGCGTAAAAATATAAGGGCATACGAATTAATGAATCGATATGCGTTTTCTTACTGAAAAACCCTAATATAACCCAACAAATATTATGGTACATCTTTGACCGTGTATTAAATTGGATATATGTGTACCTCTACGGAGTGACGGAGTGATAAATATACTAATTTCAAATCTTGAATCTGAATTATGGAAAAGTAAAATTTATCATGCTCTCTCAAATGTCAAATAAATCAAAAACCACAGGAGACAAAAATGATAAAATATACAAGGTGTCATATTTTAGCATTTTAATAACGGCGCTACTCACACAATCAAAAACGATTTCGCGTCTTTAAGACTTCCTACCTCTCAGTACTTATATTAAAAGAGCGTAAAATAGTAAAAAAGTAAACGTTTAAATAGTCAAAGTCCTTTCCAAAATAAATATTCACTTTGGATCAAACGAAAATACAAGTGCAAGTTTAATATCACATACCTACCTATTGAACATATAAACATTGACAAATATTTGCTACTCTACAATCTAACCAATTTGTTAATCAGATTTTACAACTTAATTTACAATTGAAGCTTAGTGGACCTGCAAAATACCTGTTAACGTAATAAAAGGCAAGTTAAAAAAATTGCTTATTCGTTCCTATCGCAGTAGGAAGTAATAATTTATTAAAGATTACTTGACTTAAAAAAATTAAAACAAAAATGAACCTATATATATTTTTAGAGAATATATTTTATATGTAAAGCGGCAAATTAGAAAAGAGCAGTAAAATATTGCTCGTGTATCGTTCTTATTTGTATTGCACGTGAAGTAGAAACAACAATAACGACTATAATTTTAATAAATAATCATTTTTCTAGTTTTGATCACACCAATTGTCAATTTGCGGTTCATGCAATAAACAAAAAATTTGGAATTCGAAGACTTGGATACCCCATAAAGATTCCCGCGAAATAATTGTCAAAGCGCATGCCCTGCAAACTGAACATGTATGCCACTGCAGAGCTAAGAGAACGGACATGTTTTATATTTAAATTAAAGCCCCAAAAGCTTCATAATTGAGGATTTACTCACCTTAAAATTATCTTATGACTTCAAGAGCACCATAAAGGCAATTTTCGGTACAGATTCCACTCTAACTTCCGTTAAAATCTGTAACGTTTCTACGCATCCGCCCAACAACGTTCTATCGAAACGACTGCAAATCGCTGCGCTTCCAAACTGGCCTCCATTTTAACAATCCAACGATTTATCGCGACCAGTGACGAAAAGAGCCGATCAGATACACTCAAATAATAACTTAATTTTATGCTCATTTTCCAGTGGGGTTACGGTTAAATGTAAAAAAAATCTCGTTAAAAGAATTTAAAACATCTTTTTACCGGAACTAGTATTTCCAAGATCTTACTAATGCCAAGATTAGGAATGTGCATAAATATGCAGCAAATGAAAATTGGAACTTTCATAGGTAATAAATGCAGTACTCAGTTTCGCACACAAACTTGAAATTTGTACAGATTTGTGGAGAAAGTCTCTGAAAATGTATTAACAGAGATTGTCTGATTACGCCTAGTGAAAGAAATGGCTGCAAATTTATAGTTTTCAATAACTTATTTTAAACAGCTCCATAAAAGGCGGGAAAACAACTGACTTCCGCTTCCAAAGTTCAAATAAGTACCTTATGAATTCATCCAGTTACCTGTGACAATTGCCAAAAGACTAAGAAAAAGTAATTGGGTTTCTAAAATAAAATCAGTGAATCTTGTTAATTTCACGAATATTGTTTTGTCTCTACGTAAGAAAATAAACTTTGGAAAGGTATGTTAAATTAACTATATCTAATTAGAACTCTTAGAAATTTACAAGCAATCATCTGAATAACGTATACTGTGACTATCTCCTAGCATGTTAAATTTGCTAAGAAAAGTTTTTCATCAATTTTTCTTTCGCGTTTGCACAGTGTAGTACCTGAATTATTTCATGTGCTTTGGCACAGGGAGCTCTTAAAAATCATCTAAATCCTCCGATTCATTTATCTAAAGAAAAAATATATTGACTTTACGAAAAAAACAAGGAGGCGGATATTAACTCATGAAAATACCAAAATGTTGAATTGCATTATAACATTATCACGCATTTATTGTGGAGACTTTTCATATAGATTGCTCTATTCTCTTATATCTCGTAATTTTGTTATATATATATATATATATATATATATATATATATATATATATATATATATATATATATATATATACATATATATATATATATATATATATATATATATATATATATATATATATATATATATATATATATATATATATATATATATATATATATATATATATATATATATATATATATATATATATATATATATATATATATAAACAAGTGTTATGTACTTGCATGAACAAAAAATGTATACAAATTTTAACAGGCGCTGACTAAGTTGAATACTGCAGGGTGTTTCAAAAAACGCTTCGCTAATTTCTAGGGTAAATAGAATATTAAAGAATGAAGTTAATTTGAGTCCAAAAACTCCTCCCTTAAAAGATACGGCTTTGTAAAATTGTTTTTTGTTTTATTATTTCCAAAATGGCTTAAGTTACTTAAATAAAACTTAAATTTTGTATGGGTTAAAATTTAAATTCAAAATAATTTACATAAGATAGTTCGTTCTCACTTATCAAAATTATTTCAAATAATTTATTAACTCGGTCCAGTACCAGGAGGCGTTTTCGGAACATGTGTATTAACTAAACTAACGTTATTTTTATTATTATGCTAATTAACCTAGAAATTGCCGGGACGGTTTTTGAAACTCCCTGTATATTATTTCTATCTATAATACTTATGGTTAATTATCTAAAGATTCACTAATTTAAAACGGAAAAAACATTTTAATGTTAATATTTTAATATTAGCAATACGATAATTATGCTGAAATAAACGATAAGTAAATTGTAATAAAAATCAATAGATAAATAAAAACCTTCCGAACAATTGTTTGAGTAAGTTTTTGTATTTACACACATTTAAACTATTTTGCCTTTATAATACATAGTACCTAGAATACTCGAATTTACAATAATTATCCTAGTCAAATTACCTATTTTAGCTTTTAGAAATCACGATATTTTTTATCAGGAATCTAAAGCAAAATAAAATCTATTTAGCTTATGTAGTCCCCTGTTCATGGAAACCAACATACGTGGAAATTGTTATTAAAAGTTCCTTTAAAAAGAACTGCACATTAAATTTTACTTTAGTACTTTTGAATTATGCTTTTTTGTAAATACCCAACGATAATGTTATGCCCATATAAAATAACTCCTTTTCTAGCACTGAAAGATTTTTAGTCGGTAGTAAATAAATATCTAAATACCACACTGATCTTTTCTTAATAGCAATATTTAAACTTTGAAAGTGTTTTTTTATTGGCAAGATGAATGAAGAGGAATTAAATAAATAACTTTGCACTGAAATACTTCTCGAAATCTCAAAACCGAAGGGAGAATCCAGATACAATTAATTTGATATTTTTTTTGCACGAAAGTTCGAGAGTTGGGGTAGGGGAGGGTGGGGCAAAGAGGTTCACCTCAAAAATTACGCAATTTTTTTTTTCGTTTTTTCTTCTAATATAAATTTTTTTAGAAGCCAAAATTTGGGTAAATTTAGTTAAAGTTAGTCAAAAATAAATCGACTTGATGGTTAAAAATCAAAAAAAAATTATTGCCTCACCCTCCCCTACTCTTTTCACGTCCATATTCTTATGCACGTGAAATTAAAAGTCCTGTCAAACAAACCAAAATACATTGATATAGTATATAAAATCGTATTATCTATAGGTATATTGAATGTCAACTTTTTAATTGAATCTTAATTGATTTCAGTGCGAAAATATGCCTATGCTCAGAAAACCCAAAAAAACGCTTCTCTCGCCATTTGAAAATTCGAAAAAAATGCATATTTACTTAAAAGAAGATTATAAAGAGAATCTAAGAAACAATGAGGCGAATCAATATCTACGACCAAAACCAACCAAAACGGTTTCACAATTAAATAGTAGTGTTCAACTAGACAAAAATAAAATCAACAATCACGTTGAACTTACTAAAGTCCATTCATTCAACGTATCCGTAATGCCGGATTGCTCAACTAATGATCAATTTAGGAATGTTGATAAGGAAGCTCCAAATCAAGAGAAATTGAGACAGTTTCCAGGTGAAATAAAATCAAAAAGGAATATCCTACAGCACGATGAAGTTGATAATGCACTAGGTTACAAGGAAAAACCTTCCACTAAAAAAACTAAGAAGAAAATAATTGAGCAAAACCTAAACAAAAACTTAGTAGAGTCAAAATCGGACGAACTTATTGAATTGGCAGAATTAAATATGAAGTTAAGTCAGGAAAAGTGGAGTGAAAAAAGTAAATTGCAGTTAGAAGAACTAGATAAGTTGGTGCAATCTAACCTACAACTAAGTCAAGAAAAACTGCGTCCTCTACAATCCCCTAGTCCACGCGCAAAACGCAATATGAGTAAAGATAATTACCAACAAGCAAACCCAAAAAGAAAAACAAAAGATAATAAAAATAAAAAACAAAAAGAGACTAGCTGCCTAAACCATGACATGTTAAATAATATAATAAAGAATAACATTCCAGATTCACAAAAAAATAAAGATAAAGCTAAGATGAAAAAGCTTGACAGTTTCGCAAATAAAAATGAAACCCACAAAACTCGAGACAACAAACAAACTGATGAACAAATTATAAATCGCATGACTGAACTCCAAAATCTACGAGATGTGGGAGTTTATGTTTATTGCGATATATGTGATAAAATCCGTTATTTAGCAGATTACAAAGATCCACTGGACCTCCCTGAAAAATGGTACTGTTACATGAACCCCGATTTAAAATATAACAAATGTAGCGATCCAGAATATCCATTGAGCAAAGAAACTGAACAATTATTAATTAGGAATAAGTTCAATGCTGGAAGCATTGTATGGGCTAAAATGGAGGGTTATCCGTGGTGGCCAGCTATGGTGGAAGATGACCCTGACATTGAGGATTATTATTGGTTGGAGGACGATTCTGACGAACCAGTAAGTGCCTTTTTTTTATAGGGTGACACAATTTTTTCAATTCTATTCAATTAATTTATCAGAAATAAATGGAAAATCGAAATATGGTGATACACTGTTGTTCTATATATAGTAGGGAATGGTAAAGCTTAATTTTTTACACTTTGTTTTGAGACTTATATAGGCGAGGTAAAACAGTGCCAAAATACAAACACAGAAGTTGAAAGCAATAGCTATAGTTTACAGTTAGTTGATTAGTTTTTTAAATGACACATTTTGAATTATTTTTTAAATAGTTTCGTCCATAATTTTTTCTCTAATACGGTTAAATAGTAACGTTTTGCTTATTTCAAACCAAATCAATGCTCGTGTTTGGATTGTTAAACAGACTTTTGAAGTAATATTCGAGTTTTTCATTTCCCAGCGTGTCATTTTTAAAATATTAAAATTCCAAAAAGAAATTCATTAGAGAAAAATATTTACAATTATGATCAGATTTCAATATACGCGGAGTTCTATTCAAAAACGCCCCTATTAACTGTTATTTCTCCAGTTCTCGTGCGCTATATCTTCTGCATCACATCTTGGGACATGGATAAATGTATTATTGTAATAACATATACATTTTCGGTTTTCTAGACTTATTACCACGTAACATTTTTCGATACTAAACAAGTAACGAGAGCTTGGATTAAAACGGAGTATTTAAGATCATTTGAAATAAATGCAGGAAGCAAATGCTTTTTGTCAAAAAAGAAGAGTATTTATAGCCATAGGGTGGAGATGTCGACCAAAACTGCACAAAAAGCGTATAAAATGCAGCTATTAGATAGGCTGAAGACGTTCGGGTTTGTTAATCGTTTCAGTATTAACAAAAATAGACGCAAAGTAAATAAAAACACGGAGAAGAAACACTTTAAAAGCAATGAATATATAAATGACCAATTACTGATTAATGCAAAAATTTATGACGAAATGATTACGGACTGTTTGGATAATAATTACACTTCCTGTCTTGATATTTCACCTAACCTCTTTTAATTTGCTGCAAATATTTCGCAAGTTATTGCCTAATTTGGTTTATATTTTTGTTTTTTAATAATGGACATATCTTAAACAGTCTTCAGAATTGCATATAATTTGTTTAGATTGTTTAGTCTATTTATAATATTTGTATCAAAAGTTGTTAATAAAAAAACGTTAAAAATACATCGTGGTTTTCAATGAATGACAGAAAGGATTATTACTAAAAAATGTTAATGTAGCACTGCTTTCTAATAAATTGGGGAACATCTCATTCTCTGCAACTGAAATTTTTAGGAGACATTCGTCAATTTTTAATGTACAAAACTTCTAAAATTGTTTTTGCATCTTTATTTAACTTAACAATTTTAAACAAACCAAAATGTTTCACAACTGTTGAAAAGTTATTAATTTTGGCCAAAGAGAAATATCTATATCTAACTAAACTTTATTGGCAATTTGAAACCTGCAATACAATATTCAAGTTCTAAACAGCAAAACTTATACCTACATATCATAACTGGCAAAAATGAAACAGCAAAAATATTTTACAACTTCAATAACTGCGTTTATGTACAACTTTGAAAAAAAGGTAAAATCTATCAAACAATGATTATGCGGAAATATCACATTACATAACGTATACCTTCTCCACCTTCTTGAAGGGAAACACCTCCTTTGTTTTGGGACAAATCACTTGCCCATTGTTAGCCTTAGCCATTACTTCTAATGCCTGAAAAAAATTGCTTAGGTATGAATACACAGGAATTTAGTCCAACATTTAGTAAACTCAAGTTACAGTACTATTAAAGACTAAACTATTGCTCAATAATATAAATTTGGAATATTATGACAATTGCAATTTTCCAATCCTAACCGGACAAGATCTAATAGTTTTGAATGGTCAATGCCATTGATACAACATTATTCACATTTATTCACGTTTCTGATGTCGCCAGTGACAAAGTAAAAAAATACTTCAATTTTATTTAAAATTAGCCAAAACCAAACCAAATCATTTTTTCAAAGAAAATCAACAAAAAATTAGTAACATAGTTTTATATATTTTTCAATCAACAACAATTGGTTCATGAAAAACATTTAAAAAAACTGGTTATCAGGACAAATAGCAATTAATATTAAATTAACATATAATATACTAGGTCTAGAGTGTCCTTTAAATTTTAAATCTGTCAAAGTCATGCCAAAAAACTGTGATTGAAGGGACTAAATGCAAAAATAACTTTTCAAAATCGGTGGATAAAACGCTTTGAATTAAAAAACAATGTTACCTGTTCTCCATATATATAACCATTTGGAAGCATCATGGGTTGATTGTTTTCATTCAACGGAAGTCCTGTGATATGGCAGTATAGTCGAGAATGTGAGCAATGAGCATAAGGTAAGGGTTCCGCCAGCTTATTCAAGTCATCTTGGCAAACAGGACAAGCAGGATTTCTGTTCTCATTATTCTCCGAATAACAATAAGTATGTTTTTATTAAGGAATTTAATATAATAATAATGAAATATTTGTTATTATTTTTGAATGAGAAATATTCACCTAACGGTTGGTTTAAGTTTTGGATTAAGTTTAATGTGTAGAAAAAACACAATTTTTTTATAAAAGAATGCAATGCTTAAAAAAATAAGAAAGCATAAAAAGGATATGGGGTCTTCAGTGCTGAAAGACCAGCCTGCAGAGAAACAGTAAACACAGACTGTGATGCAAGTTGGAACAATCTGTAATTCTCTTGTCTGAACTCCTCAATTAATGTATCCCAACGACCTTCATCCAATAAAGCCGCATAGGGTCCTATCACTGAGGCAAAAGTTTTTGGTTATTTAAATTGCAAGCAAAGAAACAAAAAACACCATTTTTTAGTATCTGATTATTATCTAATGTATTCCAAAAAATAGTAATTTGTTAAAAAACAATTGTATTGTATGTAACTTTTATTTAGGAGGAAATGTGCCCACTAATTGCAATGTATAGGTATCATAAGGTGTTATGGAATATCCGCAGTCAGTTAAAGTGAATGGAAAAAAGCATGATGCATTGAGAGAAATTAGCATTCTATTAGTGTGTCCCAAGCTTTTGCCCCAAATAGTGATATCATTGGTTTAGAAAGTTTAAATAAGTACATAGATGTCTCCAGTCGCCAAAAATGTTATTTCTAGCTGTTCCACAACAGCTGTTCCATAAACCAGGTATCAAATTTTTTAATCTTTGGACTCAAAATCACAATTATCGTTTCTTACATCTACTAATAGTCACGTTCCACTATATCTACATCTTGTTTGTAAGCTATGACAGACCCAAAACCTCCTTTTTTACATCATTCCTTTATTTTCTTCGCAAATAATTATGCACGCGGCTGCTACAAGCAGAGCCTCTTTCTCCAAAAATAATTCATTATTAGTAAAATTATAATGTAAACAATCGCCTTAGGCCTCCCATTTTCTAACATGTGAGGTCTAAGATTACATGTTAATTATCAATATTATGTACTATATCGTGAATGTGGAAGCTCCTTTAATTTACTTATAGATCCTTAATTTATGTAGGCCATTTACATAATTACAAAATATATGAAATATAAATAACAAAAAGACAGAATGAAATAAACTCAAATTGCAAACTATAATTATGAGTACCCACTTGTATCCACAGGAAATGCTAACAGAGCCATAGCCTGTTGTATAGTTGCTAAATGTTCTTCTTCAAAAGCTGGAAAATGTTTTCTGGAATGTTTAATAGCATCCATTCTTCGATCTCTTCGAATAAGCTCTATAAACTCCTGCACACGAAGATTAAATTCCATATTGGACTTGAGCTTTCTCAGCTTTGATTTATTATCATGGCACCATAAAAGGCATTTTGTTGTCTCCCTGCCAGCTAAAGATTTCTCAACTTCTCGTGAAGTCAAAAATATTTCTACAATATATACAATTTAATAAGTTAAACTTGAATACCTTCCTTGTTTGAACATTACCTATATTGGTCAAATCTTTGATTTCTGACTTCTCAGCCAGCATGATAGCTGAAGTATAAAATCCATTCCTTAAAAAGTACTCAACAACCATCCTATCCAATCTTTTACGTCTCCACTGATTCAAGGTGCCTTGGTTGCCACTACTTGGGGATATGTTGGCATGTTCTTTAAGGTGTTCTAATCTACGTTTGCAAACATTTGAAGCAGCAAGTTCCTCTGAAATGCTTTCCTCAGCTTTTCGCTTTAAAACCTGAAGTTTCTCAACCATGCCTCCTAACAGATTTGTGATGTCATGAGCTCTAACTTCTCCAGATGACAAACATTTTTCAACTTCAGAAACACCTTGCTGCACATGAGATACCTCTCTATCCAAAGCCTTTTGTGCAGTTCGAAATTTTTTGTTTAAAATTTCATATGGCACCTGATAAAGAGAATGACATTTAATTGTTCTTGAAGAAAATTTCAAGTAATAATATTTTTAAGTTCAGGATGGGATTTGGGGATAAAATTTTGAGCTGAACTTAAAAATATGTTTATTATATTGTATTATATGTAAGCCAATAACGCCCGACAAAGCAATTTGAGCACACTTATTCATTACATGGCTAACAGTAGTGAATTTTATTATATTTTTTTGTAAAAGATTCTTTAAATAATAATTTCATATAATATAATTATAATCCTCTTACGGTTTTAAAGTAATGAATTTTATATTTACCTTCAAAGTAGGGTGTTCCAGGGACTTTACATCTGCCATTTTAGAATAAAAATGGAAAATAAAAACAAAATGTTTTCGGTCTTGACCTTGGACACAGCTGGTAGGTTTGACAGATGACGCATCTGAACATAGATAAAATAGAATACTAGAATTGGTCCTAACCTTAACGCACCCATTTTAGCCAAATTGCCTTTGTTGCAAGACAAATAGTAAAATAACCGTACCCGTTTATTAATTTAATACTGTAGACGAATCCTTTGGCCATATTTGAGATTCTGTAGTTTACTACGGATAGAGGAAATTTTAACTGTCATCCTCAACAAAGAGGTGCGCGGAATTGCCAAACTATTAAAATTCGTCCATTTAACCAGGAAAGGACGCACAACTGTAAAATAATGGTTATTTAATATTGCCTGTTTCCATTTTGCAACTTAAAAAATACAAAAAAATTTCAAATATATATAAATAAATAGATATATAAATATAAAACTTCTTTAAACTATTCTAAAATTACAAACTAAAAAGGTTGAACATCCTTTGAATAGTACTACACAGAAATTAAGAAAATATGTTGTTGGTAGCTTTATATCTAGTTCTCCACACAAATTTATAGAGATTAGAGTCAAAAAATGTTAGATTTACTCAAACGCTTTATTATAGTTGCTTCCTCTACCACCTATTTTCAACGTTCTGCGTCCTGGCATATCTCCCAGATCCTCAATACAATGGGTGCAGTAACTGACAATTCTGTTATTCACGACCGCATCCACTATAAACAAGAATCGCAATATATAATCTGTGGTCTCGAACTTGCGGGAGGTTGTGAGTTCGATTCCCACCGGGAGGCTTGTGTGTTGTGGGCGTGGAAAAATTTGTATCGGTAAATTTTTCTCGGCTGATGCCGGGAAATGGGTACCCAATTAAGCGCAAAAAAAATAATCTGTTGTTTTTAGTATAAAGCACGATAGAAAAGGCGTTAAATGTTTGACTGGGCTCCATTATTGCCAAGTTCTAGTTTCTCTCCCATGTACATATTTTTAAATAATGGTTTAAATTCGTATATGCTAACCAGAATAACATAAACGAACCGAAACTCACCAGATACTTGTTTATTTACCGCACAATTAAAGTTAAGCTAACAGCAGGATTGGACCACACTCACACTTTTTGATGTCTTAAGGCGCGTATTCACGTGAGCACGAATGCGAACGAGGCAAGCCGAGGCCGAACGCATGCCTCGTTCGGGTATAATTTTGTCCAAACGCGAGCTTGGCGAGGCATCGATCCGGTTGTACGGGATGTACGTAAGCGGTTAAATAAAATCCGTGGACTGGAGGACAGGAATCGTTTAGTGGCTAGTGCGGGGTGTATTGTTATAGCAAGTTTGGCAAAAAAAACGAAAAAAAGGAAACGTTGGTGGACAACATCCTTATACTGAAATAGGTTTACCACTGAGGACAGTCGTTCCTAAACAGTATGCTAGAGGAGGAAGAAAATGGTCATTTTTACAATTTCCCTTTTTTGGAACTGTTATAATAAAACTTCTCTGATTTTCCCCACAAAATTGGACGATTTCATATTCTTTGATGAAGCTTAAAGTTCTTTCGTTATCCCAGTTCATCTTGAATTATTAAAAATGGGACATGAAAATTATCTATTCGGCCGCACTGCAAGGCAAATGAAACAACTAAATGCGGTCCCTCCCAACACAAGCATATTTTCATTTGATGTACCGACACCGTTTGCGTTTGCCGCGCCTGGAAGACCCGTCCACAAACGTATGCTCGTTCGGCTTCGGGTTGCCTCGTTAGCATTCGTGCTCCAGTGAATTACGCGCCTTTACGTGATACACTCCGGCAAAGCGCAAAATGAGACGCAGGTTAGTGAGGTGACCCAGGGTGAGTCACGGCGAGTTTTTGTGAACTAAAATAATAACGGGTGGTTAAATTTCAAGGGCCGATGTTGATTTTGAATAAAACACAAACTATTTAGGAAATTATTGTAATTTTATTTTATTATGATATATTGGTATTACTCAATTATGTATGGAATAAAATATCGGCCAAATGGGCGCCGCGACCACGGCGGCACACCTCCATTCGATGGTCCAAATTTTCGATGACCCTGAGGCATAATGGAGGTTCTATGCCGTTAATGTGCCGAATTATCTCATCCTTTAGCTCTTGAATTGTTGCTGGCTTATAGACGTACACCTTTTCTTTCAAATAACCCCAAAGAAAAAAGTCCAACGGTGTCAAATCACATGATCTTGGCGGCCAATTGACATCGCCATTATGTGAGATAACACGACCATTGAATTTGTTGCGCAAAAGAGCCATTGTTTCGTTAGCTGTGTGGCAAGTGGCACCGTCCTGCTGAAACCACATATCGTCCACATCCATATCTTCCAATTCGGGCTATAAAAAGTTCGTTATCATCTCACGATAGCGAACACCATTCACAGTAACTGCCTGACCGGCCTCATTTTGGAAAAAATACGGCCCGATGATGCCGCCAGCCCATAAACCGCACCAAACAGTCACTCTTTGGGGGTGCATTGGTTTTTCGACAATCACTCTTGGATTCTCATTCGCCCAAATGCGGCAATTCTGTTTATTGACGAATCCACTGAGGTGAAAATGTGCCTCATCACTGAAGATGATTTTCTTCGAAAATTGATCATCCACTGTTGCCATTTCTTGCCACCATTCTGCCCATTCACGACGTTTGGAATGGTCAAGAGGCTTTAGTTCTTGAGCCAATTGCACCTTGTAAGCGTGTAAATGCAAGTCTTTATGCATAATGTTTATCAACGACGAGCGTGAGAGGTGCAATTGTTGGGCACGACGACGAGTTGAGGTGGACGGCTCTTCAGCCACACTATCGCGAACAGCAGCAATATTTTCTGCAGTACGAGCTGTACGAGCATGCACTGGTGTTCTCACATCTTCTACAGACCTGGTTTGCTCGAATTTTTTCACGATTTTTGCGATTGTATGCACATTTGGACGATCAAATTGACCAAAAAAATCACGAAGTGCACGATATGCATTTTGATTTGAACGCCCATTTTCATAATAAGTCTGGATAACTTTAACACGTTGTTGGATTGTGTATCTCTCCATGGTTCAAATTGAGTAGTCTGAAATAGAGAAATGTCAAATAAAATTCGGAAAAAAACTTGGCGTTTAGGTGTGGTTCACATTCAACATCGGCCCTTACAATTTAACCACCCGTTATTTAGCAATACGCATGTTACTACGCAGCGTAACGTGATGCAGTTTTAGATGAACGTGCGCTTGAGAAACGCAGTGCCTGTTGATGACTGGAAGAACCTGGAAGAAAAGTTAATTGAAGTTGTGCACATTCGAAAACTGTTATGAAACAAACAATGCTGTTGTATCAACAACACTTTCTCTCTCTCTTTGTGCACTTCAAGTGTTTGTTACTGGTAATGAGCGCAACTGCTTTATGCAATAATTCTATAGCTACTTCCTGTGGTTAAATATCTATAACAAAAATGCATTTAAGACGATTTTCAGCTGTTTTAAATAATTTTCCCCCATTCTTTCTAAAATTAAAGTATCGTTTTAGGAACTGAGGCAAAGGTAACCAAAAATGTTTAAAAATGGTGCACCAGCAGAAACTATCAAAAAATGGAAGTATCAGAAACAGATGGGCTTCCTGCAGATTACATGGCCAACAAATTGAGAGAAGGACATATCCAGGACAATAAAAATGAAAACATCACCGAACATTTTGAAGAAAATTTTGCATTTGCAGAGGTAGGTGATGACAATGTAGAATAGAAAACATGAACACTCAACAGCAGGATGAAAGTGTTGATCATGAAGTGCAACAAAAATCTTCAAAAACATTGCCTTCAGGGACAACTGAAACTCAAATATCAAATAAAACCCTGTAATCCGCTAAAAAAAAAAAAAAAAACGGAATATCGCTGCCCTGTTGCATCGATTTCTCAAGATGATGAATGAAGATCTTCAAATTGACTACGGTTTATCCGAAAATAATCGATAAGCTCTTCGTCACTAAATGCTTTAGTTAAAGGGAATTCTCCATGAGTTCCTCTTCTTTTTAAGTACAAGGTCCTTCCTGATTTTTTTCTTAACCGAGTTCTGGTAGATATAGGACACCATTTCGAACTCGCACTCGTCTTTTGATTCAGATTCAGAACTTATTGGAAAGTCGGCAGTACTAATAAGAGCTTTCATATAATAATTGTTAGCGTTAGCCATGTCAAATTGGCATGCACTACTAACTACCTTCGCGAAGTGCGAATTGAAAACTATTATCGTATATGCGATGTAATCGTTCTAACAGTTTTATTTCGTGACTCGTTCACGGTCATTCACGCTACCTGATCCCACTAGGTTGCGTCTCATTTTACATCTTGCCTTATAGAAAAATGACTTCCGAACGGAACGTGAATATTGACACTATTTTTCGTAGAGATGTCAATATTTACGTCTATCATTTAAAGAAATTCTTGGTAAATTATTGCTATTCTGGTTAATGGGTGCTCGAGACGATGAAGAATTTAGAAACGCCCTTCGCGATATCGCGGAACATATACATAATCTCGACTGTACCTTTGACAGAGTGCGTTGTGCGGAATGGGCAAGAAAACTCACTGCCAAATTATCAAACGATGATCTAGAATGTTCCAAAACTAGAAACGAGTATGCACAACTTCTGCGCATTCAAGTCAGGAACAACTGTCTTCATGGGCCATTTGAACACACACCACCGGACAAATATCTTACACCTCTTGCCGAATGTCTGGGCACCATAATGTGCAATGAAGTCCCATTCCTTCCTAAAATGGGCCCCATCAATCCCGTTTTGCAGCACAAATCACCTGACGGTAAAGCGTTTGTGTGTGCTAAACAAATTCCCGGAGGCGGAGTCCTTTGCTATATGGCAATCAGTCCAGAAGGTTTTGATATCTAATCTTCTTTTTATCCTAGACTGAATAAAAACTCTTACTATTTGTGCAGTTATTTATTATTATCAAATTTCAGTAAATATGTAAAGTAACTAATTCTAGCTTCTTTTTATTCTTCAACCTTGCAATACATGTAATGCTTGAGTTGTTCTTGGGTTGAGGTTGTTCAACAGCAAAATTCTTAAGTTTTGTTAAACGTTTCCATTACAATGTGGATCTTTATCAAGAATATACAATACATACAAATATTATATAAAGTAAATATTTCATATAAAAATATGAACATACCTTAGCGATATTTTCAATGAAAGTACAAATATGAAAATACTGTTGAATCAGTTGAATAAAACATACAAATTAAAAGAATTTTGCTATTGTATTGAACCTCAACTCAAGAACAACTCGAGCATTATATGTAAATAATTCTATAATGTGACCAATATTTTTGAAGATTACACACGATATTTCTACATACTTTAAGGCTAAAAACTGATAGTGAGTTGCCGACCTTCGAGCCGCGAGTCGACGTGTGCTCCCATACAAAGTTTAAACAGAAAACGAAAAAGTATCTCATCCTAGTTTAAAAGTCAAGTGCGTCAAAGTTACTATGAGATTTAAAGAAAGGAAGCGAAATGGAAAATGTTGAACGGCACCTCGATGCAGACGTTTACTGCTTGCTGTTTGCTTATTCGCAACGCAAAGATCTTTCACAAATATGATAACAGTCTACCTATTCTTGTCAATCTTTGATTCCAATTAGTTGGAGTTTCATTTAGCACGAGAGGCACGAGTGCTTAATAAAAAAGTTACACGAATGACTGAAGAAATTTGTCAACGTGTTGCATACTATTTTTTTTTATGACAATTAGTTTTAGAGTACATTTTTGCAAAACAATACAAGTCCATTGATAACGAAAGCATTCTACCGCTCCCAAATCTGCGACTAAATTACCAAAATCGTCCGAAATGCAGATAACTGTAGATAACGAACCCACAGACTATTATGGGAGTATTGTGATTGTAGTATTCTGTGACGAAGTTGACAAATGACTGCACGAATCAAGTGTACTGAAAGTAGGGAAATATTTTTTTATATTATGTTTTAAAATGCATTCAATCCGTTTTGGTGTTCTCGGGCCTACATCCCTTCTCATCTTCCTGTTGCTTGCTGCTTGCAAATTCAACCGCTAGATTCGGAGAATGTTATAATATACAGATTTAATTTTTTAAAAATACTTTATTGCGCTTAATGCACAACTTGTATAATACGAAAATAATTTTAAAAATTAACCTTAAAAGCTTAACAAAACAGACACTGATTTTGGTAAACTCTGTAGTTTAAGTATTGTTAAAATCTTAACTGTGGCATTTGGGAACCAAATGACATCATCATCATCATCATTTCAAAAAAAAAAAATGCGCAATAATTTGAAAATGTATCCTAATAAAATGCACATCCACTTAGTTTTTCTATTTCAGACATAAGAAGTCAAAAAGAAATCAAATTTTTAAAGAGGCTGTTGCCTTAGCAAAAATTTCTTTGTTTTATTTACATATCGTTATTGTTATTGTAAAATTATTTGCCAAAGGAATGTATTTATTTTGGGTGTATCAGTTGTTAGCGCTTCAAAATTATCACGAAAACACTTATCACACTTATGCGTGTAGTATAAAAAATAAGCAGACTATCAGCGGAAATTCTACGGCAACAAAGTTAATACAAAAATTATTACAATCAACAGAATTGAATTGCAATTAAATAGAAAACAAAATTCTTAAATTGTAAAGACAAAAAATAAAATCTGTTAATTCTCAACCCAAAAAATGAATTTTGCTGAATAATGCTGTAATACCTCATCAATTTACAATTTACAGGAATGCAACTTTGATGCGTTTAGCATCATGCAAGACACACACATCTATTACAAAAACTTAGCCAATACGGTGAAACACTTCAACAAACATTTACAAATTTTTCAAAGAAACTTCCACAGGCTGTAACACTTTTTATAAAACTTCTGGATTCCTTCTGCGCCGATTTTTGTTGAATCAAAGTATCGCCAATCATCCTGTTGGTTTCTTCAGAGCTTGACTGAAACCGAATCGCGTTTTACTCTGTACCTGCTATTATATTGTTTGAGGGAGACGAAGCTAAATGAGAGGCATAAACACCGTCTCGGATGATTGATTCCCATGTTGGTGACAGGTAGAGACCTGAGTCGCAATCTTAACCGCGTTCGCCCCCCCCAACCCATCAAAAAATATAAAAGCAGGTACAGAGTAAAATGCGAGCCAGATGCAGTCAAGCTCTGAAGAAGCAAACATAATGATTGGCGAAACGTTAGCTAGTTCGACTCAATAAAAACCGACGCAAGAGGAAACCGGAAGTTAAAAAAAACAGTTTCAAATATTAAATATTTTCGACCGATCGCAAACTATTTGCAAATGTGTATGTCGTGACCATATTCTATGATTTTTCTGTCCCCTTCAGAAGTACGAGGTCTTACTTGGAAAGGAAAAGTTATATTCAATTTTAATGGAATTTGGCATGCCGATATTTTTTGATATCCTTAGAATATTTTTTAGAGGTCTGTGATCGTTATCTCTTCGAGTAACCGACCAAAGGATTCTATGTCTGTACATTTTTTTTAAAATTTGTCAAATGTCAAAGCAGAAGGAATCAATACATAATTTTGATTTTTTTGTCATTATTTTAAAGCAACATTTTCTTCGATATTTTTAAATTTCGCCAGATTTTATTGTTCATATTGTTATTGGGAGATTCACTCTTCTTCGCTATGTCTCTAAACCCGTCTTCACCAATATTTCTTAAATGTTTTAATATAACCTAATTCAAGTTCAAATAAAAAGGAATATCCACACTTGTGATGCCTGAGCAAAGTAACGATTACCGGGTAGTGGTGTTTGGGGCCGGGGGTGTTGGTAAGAGCTCATTAGTATTAAGATTCGTAAAGGGCACATTCAGGGAGAGTTACATCCCAACTATCGAGGACACGTACAGACAAGTAAGTATTTTTTTCTTAGAATTACGTTATTTTGTATTTGTTTTTTATTTTAGCCTTTTGTATTGCTTGATTTTGGTTGACATAGTTTTTGTTTTGCTTTTTCTTATTGGTAAGTTATTTATTGTTCAGTAAGTATAGGTAATTATTTGTCAAAAATAATTCTGTTGATCAAGCCCTATTGTTAAGTTTGTAGATATATTTAGTCAAGTTCTCAAAATTTTCTTTACTTTTATGAAGTTAACGTTGGTTTAAATAATGTCTTGTAATATAGATATGATTTTAACAAATATTATTATTAATTAATTAATTATTAAGATTGAATTGAAGTAATGATTTTGACTTATTTCATTATATATAATCAAGTTACCTACATAATTGATGTGTACATTGTTTTAAATTTTTAATGTGATTTGCTGAAACTGGCTTTCTTTCCGTTGTAGGTTATAAGTTGCAACAAAAATATATGTACCCTACAAATTACGGACACAACAGGTTCCCATCAGTTCCCTGCTATGCAGCGACTCTCTATAAGCAAGGGACATGCCTTCATTCTTGTATACTCAGTCTGTAGCCGACAGAGTTTAGAAGAGCTGAAGCCAATTTACGAACTCATTAAAGAACTTAAAGGTCCAGATTTGAGTCAAATTCCAATTATGTTAACAGGCAATAAGTGTGATGAGAGTGCAGAATTACGTGAAGTAAGTTATAACTTACCCACTGAATAGAATTTCGATTGCCACATTCTGCCATATGCTATATTGAATTTTTACAGGTAACTACAACAGAAGGGCAGGCACAGGCAGCAGAATGGGGAGTCAGTTTTATGGAAACCTCAGCTAAAACAAATCACAATGTTAAGCAGCTCTTTCAAGAGTTATTGAATCTGGAGAAATCACGAAATGTAAGCTTGAATGTGGGCGGTAAGGCACATAGTCGGGTTGCGAAAGATAAATGTGAATTGATGTAAAAAAAAGAAAGAAAACAAGATTTGAGTTATCTCTAATCTTTCGTGGGAATGGCAATGTGTCATAAGTATTTATAAAATACCTAATGCTTTTATTATCTGCCAATGTTGCCAATTTTCAGAAAAATTGGGCTTTTTGGTTTTGATTGTATAAGGTAAGTAGATTTAAAAAAGTAATAATTTTATGGGGCCAGATGTAATATAAATTCTATTTCACATACATTGAATGAGATATTACACAGTGGTTTTGGATTTAGGTTTGTTTAATTGAAAAATTTTTGTGCCAAACAAAGAATTGCAGAAATAACAAACGAGCAGCAAAGAGCAAATGTTTTTTATTTTTATATTCATCCTGTAAGTGATTTAAAAATTGTTTTGACTAGAATTAATATATGCATCTTTTGATATATTCCCCATCTAACCTTCACATAAAGCGTATCAAAGACTTAATAGAATAGATAATTTTGCATTTCCTAAATTTTAAGCTTTAGGGGCCACATATTTCGGACCATACCCATCAACTTAATATGGATAATACCATCTCAGTCCACATTAACACTCTCGTTTGTAGGTAAAATGTAAATATGCTGATTTATTTAATATAAAGACTTCCTTAAAAGTAAACATTGTGAGGAGAATTTGCAGTTCAGGTCAAGTGATTCAGAAAGTCAAGCAAACAAATCAAAATTATTTTCAAATTTTGCCTATTCAGAGCCAAATACGATATTTGTTTTGATGGTTGCTCATAGTGGCAAAAATAAAAATCAAAATATGTTGTACACCCACGATTAATGCACATGCTGAGCAGCTTCAGAAAATTTAAATATCTTTAATAAATTTAGTTGTAATTCTTAGTTAAAGTCTGAAAAAAAAGTTTGTTAACAAATATGAAAACAAAGATTTTGCTCCAGTTCATGGAAGATGTTTCACAATACTTGACTTTAGTTGACCTTAATTCTTAGAATTGGAAGGAAGTATTATGGTATAACATGGTGTTATTCTTTAAAATAGTAAGCAATCATTCTATATAGAGCCTAAAAGTACCTGTGAATCCATTACAATGATTTGCGCACAGATTCACACCGGACCAAATACAAGACAAAATTTTGTAGTTTTGTAATACTATATTAAGTAGAACTTAGACACAAAAATTGTCTAAAATAATTTTAGGCATTTTGAAGGACACTTGCTCTCTGTTGTTTGGTTTGTTTTTGCAGTAAAAAAGTGTTATCAGCAATTTCTTAAACATTTAGGTTCAGTTCAATTTGTTTATGTAGTATTCTGTAAATCAGCACTGGTGAAAAAAAAACAATAATTTAGTCTCTTCTCTTTAAGAAAAGCAGAAAAGGGAAATGATGGGTTTATAGAAAAAAAACTTTATTTTGTCGATATTAATTTTATTGCTAAAAGAGATCATATATATTTCAAATAAGTAGTGTTAGTAAATGAGCAGCAATGAACTTGCATAAAATAAAATTTTTAACAACAAACCCAAAGAAGACAAAAAAAATAAGGAAAGAAAAAAAGAGGAAGTAAATGTATACAAAACACAAATTGTCTATTGCTATTCGTGTTCGATCTTGGTTAATTATATATCGAATAAAAATTACAAACGACTATGAAGTTAATAAGGGTAAAATAGAACTAAAAATATTTTTAGTGTACTATTCTGACAATTCTATTATTTGTTAACATATATACTTTGCCTTGTTCTTCATACAGAACTCTTAAAACTGGTTAAAAACCTTCTGATCTCATCTCATCCAAGGTTCTTTTTTTAAGTACGTTAAAACAAACTCTTTCATGTTCTGTAAGTGTTGTTTTAAAGTGTCTTCTAGTTTGTCCAATATAAACTCCTTTGTATTGATTTTTCGTAAATAATTTTTAGTTTTTGAATGCAAAGGAATTTGAGCATTAGTTTTTGGTGAAAAACTTTTTTTGAATGGTGTTCTTACATTTTAGAGGAATTTTTGTAGTTCCTGTGGTTTAGACATAACTTACTTGTTCAGAAATGCATTTAATATATGGATTTTTTTTATACTTAGGGTAGTATTTTACTACTTTTAGCTGTTGTAGTTTGTGTTGTGTTATTGACTAAAAGTTTGTTAATAACACTGGGGAGTAGTTAAGATGTTTTTAATTAAGAAATTATTTACTTTGTCTAGATTGATTGTTCGTTTTAGGTTTTATACAATATTGTTTTTTTGGGAAAAGAGATAATGTGAACCATAATTCAGGTTGTATATGATATCAATAGCGTTATCTGGTCCAACGTGTTGGTCACGTCTAAAAACGAAAACTTCAATTTTTCTTTTTCTATTGAAAATTGTACTATGTTACGGAAATAACCGAAAACATTTTAAATTACATTACTATACCTAGATTAATTTGGCTGAAACCTCTTTGGAATTAATATAAAATATCAAATCAAATACCAAATACTTGACACAAAATTATTTAAACAATATCAACGAGTTTATATTGGATAAACCATAGGACTAGATAACTTGCATTGTCTGTATAATTTGTATTTATTTCCTTTTTTTTTTCTTGATTTTTCCGCTCATAATAAGAAATTGATTTTTTATAAATCAAGGCTAAAACGCATACTTCCTTTAAAATAGTACTGGCGATGTTTAATCGTATTCTTCACGCTAATTCCCGAATATATGTTTATAGCGTTGTGGCTATGTCTCTACAAATTGTTCATGCATACTTTGATTGTTCGTAAATATTTGTGAAGTCCAGTCATAATTGTGCCACTTAAAGTGAAACTGCTCTAACAAAATAAAAAAGAAGCTTATTCAGAATGCTTCCAGAAGAAAACATCCCCAAAACCCTTATTTGGAAACTCCAAAGTTCCAGATACAAATCTTTAACTCCACAAATTCTCCAACTACAGCTATTACAAATGAATTTACATTTGACCCAAATATTTCTTATTGCAATGATGGTTGTTTTGGAAATACAGGGTGTAGAAAGTTGAAGTTTAATTTCCATAACTTGTTAATGAAACGCTTTGTGTAATCTAATTCGCATATATTTAATATTTATTTATATATAGTAAAATAAAAAGTCAATTTAAAAATTTCATCTTACATAGCGATAATTTTTAAATAAATAATGTTTATATTTGCTATCTGCCATTGGGTATAAGTAAGGGAGGCCTGAGCACACTTGTTGCCGAGTTTGAAGAAAATTGGAATGTCCAATTTTTACATAAATTTTTTAGAACAATATTTATAAAAAATATTTGTGACCAAAATACGCCAAATTCGAAAAACGACGTGGAGACGTTATGCCGCCAAAAAAGTCTTTTATGATTAGAAAATAATATAGCTCGTAGCTGATATAGCTAATAGAGATATAGAGAGCCCTGCTTATGCCTATAATACAGAAACTTGTGAAGCAACTATGAAAACGTTTTTGAGAAGATCCATTCAACATGCGCATGCGCGAGATTTAAAATCTCGTGGCTGTTGACAGATCGTTAATAGGTTTAGTTTAGTTAGTGGGTGAAATGTAGAGGTATGCGGGAAAAAACAGTCCGTTTTCTACGAAAATATCAAAACCACTTGAGACGCATCAATTTTTACTAGTGGGCCCACTATATTATCTAAGCTATATGGTTCAAAACAAATTTATGGAAGTCACATTACGGTTCAGTGTAATATGCATTATACTCAATTGTTCTACTATAAATACAAAAAAAATAGAAGGCACAACAGCGTTATATACCATATATGAGAAAGATATAATTAAACCTCAAATTTTAAAACGTCACAATTTATCATTCCACTGTGTTCCGAAATTTACTTTCATTATTTCAAGAATTATTGAATTAAATATAAAGAGACAAACGACCAAACAGCAGGTTACTTTCAGTAACATTTTGTCGCTTCCCGATTCTTACTTGAACTAGCTGCGACCTGGGTTATTCGGCTAAAAAATGTCGATGCGACTAATTTAGTTTACTTAATCATGCTTAACTTCGCCATAAATCGCCTTTTGTTTGCATAAACACAAGTGCTGGTTTTCTGATACTACTGAAATATAGATTTTTATAGTCTTCTAGCATTAAGAATGGATGGCTTGTTTGATTTTGCTACACACATTGAGGGTATTGAGGGTATCTAATTTTTTTTTTATTCATTTTTCATTAGATTGCAAAATAGTAATTTTAATTATTATTGTTGTTCATTATTTTGCAATTTCTTTTACTTTTCCTTTGTGCAGGAGGAATTGTAAATAAAAAAGCACAAATGCTTTTTAGCATTTTTTTGGATTCAGAGTTAAATCGATATTAACAAATAAAACTGGTAGATACCACATCTTTAAGTTGGCGACAATATTTTGTTTTATAGTTCGACTATTGGAGCGTCGATGATTTTATAAATACTGAAGACTGCGTCATTTCCTTGCGAGACCAAGCTTTAACTACCGGGCAAGCAAACAAATTTCATTCTGAAACACGACTCTTATCCAATAAAGTGCCCCTGTTGTGGACAATATTTAGCTCTTCTTCTATTTTAAATCTTTTCTTATGATAGAGTTTCTTCCCTTGCCCGGTTTTCACTCACTTCGAACATGGGAGGATATACTCTTTCATTTCTCTTCTCTTTCTCACGATTTCAACGACATATATGCAACGTGTAGTAAATATACTTTTAGTTGTTGTAATCGAATTATATCGAATTTTTTGATCACTTGACATTAACATGTCATTGTTACGATTGCAATGCCCTCTTAAGTCCAGCTTACTTTTCATTCCGTTTTTTCAATACAACTTTTTGCGTTTTCAAGCGAATTGGATCATGTCACTATAGCATATCAGTATTTGTAGTTTTGAATTATAATAGTGTTATAGTTCTAGGAGGACCTGTAATGTTAAGTTAGGTTCCTCAAAAGTACTTCAGTGATTTTTGACAAGTTGGTAGAAATGAGGCCACGTTTTTCGATTTATTAAATTTATTTTAACCATGAATATGTGGGGCCACTGCTAGGTATAACGAGCATTTGCCAATGAATAGAAATAAAAATTATAAAATTATATCATTTGAACGTTTACAAATATGAGTGTTTTACCAAATAATGTTTAGCGATGGGCAGTAATTGAAAAAATCAGATAAACTAATGAAGTACTTTTAAGGACTGTTAATTAAAATTTTAGACTGGGTGCTAATGCAAAGAAAGTTGTTCGTGTTATTAAATAATTATTGTTATATTCACGCTTTATAGTGTTCACTATATGAACTGCAATTGTGATCAATTTGTAACGTATTTATGCAACGAAGTATGTTAATAAAGTAATGTCGATAGAGAAACAAATAAACATGATAAAAAAAAATCCGCTCGTTAGAGGCTGTTTTATAAATTATTCTTTACATCAAACTAGAGGAATTTTTGCTTGTACGTAGCTGAAAAACTAAATTGATAAAAGTTACAGATTGTTTGTCCTCAAAATGGAGCTGTCAAATCTGTAATTGTTATAATTTCACAGGAAATTGTTATTATATAGTGAACTTATGGAACAAATTTGTATACTTGTAGATAATTTACGGTTTACTCAAAATTACCTTTAAATTTATTAAATATTATTCCTACCAACAAACTATTTTTTATTTTCCTTCGTGGTGATTTCCCAAATGTTGTTTTTATTCGAAAATAGGCACCAATTGAAGGAAGTATGTTTTTTATACATTTAAAAACGCTTACTTACATATTATGCCGCAAACCTTATTGATATTAGAAAAAAGCGAATAAACTAATCGAAATGACCTTTTATGTCAACACGCACATTTACTCGAGGGCGTCATTCTTTTATTTCTTTCGACATATTTTCGTTTTATTTTTACATATGATCGGGAAGAGATCATTTAAAAATGACAAAAAATAATTGATTCAAACTTTAAAACTCATGACTGTTCTTATTTTCTAGTGATAACATTAAACTTTAGCTTAAAACAACGCTCGTGCTTTACATGTACAGTTTTAGAAATAAGAGTATTAGATTTTTTACATTAAGATGGTGAAAACAGGAAATTTTCCCAATTATCAGGCGGTCCGATAAAATGTATTTATAATGGTCGTAAATTTCATTGCTATGAGTATATTCTTTTCGTTTCCCTCCAGGTAATGAAGCGATTGCCTTGAGCGTTATCAGAAATAAAGTGAATGTTGATTATTGTCGCTCATCTTTACGATATTAACGATATCACCTGACTTTCGAATTTTTAAAATCGGATAATAATCAAGAATCCAATAAAAGGGTGCCGTTTTTTGTAGACAGTCTGTACATTAATCTTTTCAAATTTCAATCCATTAACATTATTAAGTGTCTTTACTGATATACTGAACTAAATCTCGCTATAAAAGCAAACGTCTTTTCAGAGAACTCTATTTATTTGGAATAGCTAAGCGATCTAGTGCCCCACCAAAAATGCATTGAATTAAGATTATTATCTTGACAGGAAACAGCAAAATTTGTCAACGAAATTATTTATCTCGCTAATTATGATATGGCGAAAAAATAAATGATGTACCATCCACCCCTCTGACCCTTGGACTTTGAACCGCGATAACAATTGCCGTCCACGGGATTTTCAGAATAGTGATTTATTAGTTTAATAAATTTGGAAAACATCTCGGATTTTCACTAGAAAATTCAGCATGGTCGTCATGAATAACAGTGTATTTTTAAGCACGCTAATGTATGTTATGAACCAAAGTATTATCCAAGAAGAAAGTTCGTATAATTATTACTACATGCAAATTGGAAAAGGTTAGGTAGTGCCTTTTAGTTCATATAATCGAAATCTTGAAGTGTTTGAATTTTAGAAACCAACGCAAAAAAGTGCTACGGGATGTACGGCTGTTTTGAGCTTTCTCCGCCTTGGACTTCCAAACATAGGCCCGTGTCATTATTCCCTAAGGATTTAGATGAGGTAAAGGCCTAATTATTATTATATAATAAGGCGTGTATATTTTTTTACTATGATTTATTACATCAAGCTTTTAGTTTAGAAATTTTTCAGTAGAATTGGTGTCGTCTTCATACAATTTTTAATTCATCCAAATTTAATTCTTCAAAATAGCGCTTAAAGAAAATATTTCCTCTTATCTTGAATGGGTCGAGGTGACAAGGAAAGGGCTGAATAAAAAAATTATATGAAACATTTACAGGACCAATGCTGAATTTGGTTAATTGTTCTAGGAAACTTCTGGACTACTTGCAATTTTTGTTTTCAGTATTAAGGTCCATTTATTTTGTCGGTTTTCGTAGATTTTACATTCTTGTATTCAAAGGTCAGACCAGTCGTAAAGTTGCAGCTTTTAATATTTATACATAAATAGGGAGTGCGCCAACATTGCTGAAATAACGCAAATGCTAAGAGATATTAAAAAAACTCTGAACTCTGAACCCACTTTAAATTATAAACGTAATTTGAGTTCTTGTAAAATCAAGATAGAAACATCAATTAACAATTAAATAAACCTCGCCATGTGATTTTACAATAATTGAAATGGAATTACGTTGGTAATTTAAATTACAGTCTCTTGTGTCACATTAAATTTATTATTATGGTTTTCGTGATCACAATTCCTGTTCTTTCGAATTTATTTTTGAATATTTATTCAAGCACTTGTTTGAGTATATGTTCTGGAGACAATGGTCGGTATTTCTATCTGAAGAGCTTAAAGTGTATATCAATAACAAACCTGGTGAATTCATTCACATCAATATCAACCAACTCGCCCTGTATAACTGAAAATAGAGATGTGTCAATCGCGATTGATTCGGTCACTTTGATTTAATCATAGGATCGAACGCCCGAATCCCGCTTGTTCGTAACGATTCGATCACCTTCCCATTCCTTTTCCGTGGCCTGTCTCAGTCACGCATTTAAATCTTAAACCATTCAAATCAATCGTATTGAGTTGCGACATCGATTGGTAGATTTGCTTATATGTTGAATTGAACATTGAATGAAATATCTATTTCCACAGAGGTATTTAATTTATACAAATTAATGTATTAGTGGTACAACCCAATACGTAGCACCTATTTTGATAAAATCAACTAGAACAGAAAACATAACAATAATTCAAATTCAAATGAATGTGACTGTTGCCGCTTATGTTGGCATCAAAAAGTATTGAAATGATTCGATCCTTTTCGAAATCGGTCACTGATTGATTCGGTCCTCGCAAAATGAACGATTGACACAACACTAACCGAAAATGTTATTATTTTATAGATGTTTATTAATTTTTGCAACGTTACATATTTGTTTCGGTCCACATCGACTATTTTTCTAAACCTTATCAAGCCCAAAAATGGACTATGACCGCAACCGAGCATCTCACTGTCACATTGACAATCGCAATGCCTATCAAACAACCCAAAAACTAATTATTTGATACAATTATATTTGGTACGTGGTTATGGTATGAAACTAACCAACAATACCGTTTATTTGTAACGTTGTTATGCTTCGGGTTATGTTATGTTTACAAACTGCAACGATTTCAATTAATAGTAACAAGTAGCCTAAATTTTAGATATTTATTCGATTGGACGATAAACAAGATATGCTGGTTTCATAGTTGTACATTTTCCAACTCACCCGATGTAATTTTCTTATGTATCCATTCCAAATATCGGTTAATAATTTCTTACTGTACATTATAACACAACCATAAGCAATGTAGCAAAATTATCACATAAGAGTACAAGTATAAGAAATAATAGTAAACAAACACACAACACTTTTGCGGACATTGACTAAATTGCATAGCTCTCGGAACATTCATAATTTTTGGTTACTTTAAACCTGTCGTAACGAATGAAATTAAGTGGTTACTTGCTTAAAAATATACAATTTGTCAAAGTCTTTGTTAATAACACAAGAGAACTAATACGCCTAAATGGGTTTAAATATACTGTTAAGGTGCTAGTGAAGAACGACTGTTTAATGTTATGATTTTTCAGTAGAGTTATTTTTTTGTTGCAAATAAAAGTGTGAGAGAATTTGTTTGTAGTGCCAGAACAATAAAAATGAAACTGTTACTTGTTGAATAGTTGCATTGGTGAGTCACTTTCTTTTGTAATTTGGATCGATTAAATTAATAGCATTTCAATTTGTTGCTTAGTAGTGGATGAGACTATTTTTTGCGGATTGAATTTATCATATTAGCAATGTTTATATCAAACATTTATCGGGAACCGTTTGCCGTGTTAGCAGATCAAGTAACGTCACTTGCTAACTAATACGCGTGGAAATGGCATCCACAAACCTTTCTGCCTTTCTTATCGCTGTCATTCGAACTAGCATTTTACACGAAGTTTTTGAAGCATTTTTTCCGGAGTACCAGACTTCAACCGTTATAACGAGTATTTTTGCTATTTGTCCCATGAGATTCATTCATAAAATTATGTGTTATTATTTAAATAACACCCTGTATAGCAAGTTACTTACAAATATATATCGCATCTTGGAGTTGTGATATGATTTTTCCGATCCCGAAGAAGTAAATTGTGAATTTATTAAATAGGCACGCAACACAGGTTTTAGGCTGTTTATTTTGTAGAATAAACAACATTGGCTCAAACCATTTTTATCGCCTCCATATTAGAAAATGCATTCTGTCGGTTGAAGAGTTGGAAAACAAGTGGTTCTTCATTCATTATTTGTATTGATGCAGTATGATAACATATTATTTTATTTGGATATACTGATTTATGTTACGGTACCTTACAATACTAATCGTTATTGTTGTGTTATTCTTATAATATTAAATGTGAGATTAATAAACTTTGATTTGTGTTTTAGATAGATCCTAACTATTTTTTGTTTACAAGAGAGAAACGCCATTCACCGGAATATATAAACCTTAACGATTTTGATTATGTTGAATCCTCCAGTATAGAACCTCTAAAACCCATATATGTCATTTCTCATGGATTTGTTGAAGGAGGGAGCATTGATTGGGTAGGTACAACTCAGTTATAATTAGCAATAACAAGTACACACATGTGATCTGTTCATAGATATAAGAAAGTGACTAACTGATACGAATTAAGGAAAGATATATGGCCGAACAGGTCCGTACTTTGCTTAGAATTTAATTATTTATTATTTATTATTTAAATATTTATTTATTTATGTATGTATTTATGTTTAAATCTAAAATAAAATTACCAATTTTACTTAAAAATATTCACATAATTTATCAGTATCACTATCGCTATAATCGCCTGTTCTAATTATTATTTGTTCTATATTATTTGCAATATGGATATACGACTGTTCTGCTTTTTCTATATGTTTAACAGAATTTGCCCAACTTTGTGGAGGGATGTTAAAAACTTCGGTTTCTATAAGTCTGAGGACATTGGAGTTAACACGGGGAAAACATTGTTACGACGAATGGCAGATTTTAGTTGGTGCCAAACATGTTCAATGGGATTAAATATACAGTGGTAAGGTGGAAGCCTTAAAACTGTATGCCCTAAATTTTTTTCATAATTATAACAGACGTATTCCTTTTGTAAGTTCAAGCTTTGTAGAACCTCAATTAATTGTTTTTTGGTATAATCTTCGTGAAAATAAATGTCGTTATTATACATGTAGTTTTGGATTCTTGCTTTTGTGTCACATGAGGAAGGCGTTTTAGTCAACTGTCTACTGCGATAACTTGCATTGTCCATTACAATTACGCTATTAGGAGGAATGCTTGGAACTAGTTTGTTTTTAAACCAACTTTCAAATAAATCAGCGGTGGTGTCTTCATGGTAATCTGGAGAAGAATTTTTTATATTTTTCGCAGGCAGAGAAAGTCCATTTGGAACCCAACATCTTTAGAGCCAGCATGCAAAATAGTTATTCTTTTACCTATTTTTGATGGCGCGTTTGGTTTACACTTATCAGTTGAGTCAACCCAACCCTTTTCCGTGTATCATAAGTGTCGAATTGGCCTTTGTTGTTCTCTGTAAATCCTAATTTTTTCTAGATATTGCAGTGGCCATTTCCGAATTATAAAAGATTCCATTAAAACTTGCCTTTTGTCAATTTTTTAAAATCTAAAACCCATGTGTTGAATATACTTCCATAAGGTAGTTCTGCCACATTTAACACCGGTTTCATCTTTTTCAAGCCTTCTAATTAAGATATAGAATGTAGGCACGCTTTGTACCTCGTAACACTGGTAAATTTTACGCCGTATTATATCTTGATCACTTTCATCTACACTCGAGAAAATGTCAGCATCGCTTCTTTTTTTCATCGCTGAAATGGGATTATTCACAATTTTCCATACAGTTGATGTTGGAATTTTCGTCAATGTGGCCGTTTCTTCTAAAGATGCTTGCTTGCTGGCACCACGTTCAATGAGAGTCAAATAAACATTGTTTATAACTTCCTTAGTCTCAATATAATAGTGTTTTCTACGTTTGGGCGGGAGCATCTCCTGAGCTACACTAGATTCGCACATATTTTGCATAATTCGCACACGATTCAACACATTGTGTTAAACCTAAACTAAGTAGTATTCAGAACCAAAGAATATTAAGCACAGCTAGATAGATAAAATTATTTTCTATTACGGATCACAATTTTACCTGAATTTAAATTCCGAAACTTTAGGTAATAATCTTGTTGCATTGTATGTTAATAACCACCCTTGGATAATCCCATTCAAACGCAATTGGTCACTTTCTTATATCTATGAACAGACCATACCTGTTACAATTGGCCGATTCTACCTGCTCTGTTAATAATTTTTCTGGTTTGTCGTTTATGGCTTGCGTGGCTGTAGAGAAGAGTAAAAAAAACAGATGTTAGGTAACATTAAAAGTATTTTATGTGTTTTCATCAGATATTTGAAATGGCTCAAGCTATTTTAAATGTGGAAGATTGTAATGTAATTGTTGTGGATTGGCATGGAGGCTCAAGCCCACCGTATACCCAAGCAGTCGCCAATATAAGATTAATTGGATCTGTAACTGCTCATCTTCTCTACGATATCGCTCAATATACGGGAGATTTGAAATTGAGTCACGTGCATTGTATAGGACATTCACTTGGAGCACATATGTTTGGTTATGTGGGCTACACCTTAGAGGTCAGCACTTGTGCAATAGTAAAGATATCTGTATCATAATATTTATTTATTATACTAAACCTTTAAGGAATTTGGCCTCAAATTAGGTCGAATCACAGCCCTGGATCCTGCCGAACCCCACTTTTCAAAATCCAACAAACCCGTAAGGTTAGATAAAAGCGCCGCCGAATATGTCGATGTTATTCATACTGATGCAAGTCTGTTTATAAAGGGTAGTTTTGGTATGACTGAAAGTATAGGACATGTTGACTATTATCCAAATGGAGGTACTAACCAACCGGGCTGTGGAAAAAGTGTTATGCAGTTCATCAAAGATGAAAAAGGAAGTTTTTTTAATGGTAATCATTAACTTGATATTCACCTAGGTCGGAATTTACACGTTACCTTTATTTTCTTACATCAGTTTGATCAAACTCTATATAGTTATTTACTATTTTCAGGTATGAAGAAGTACATTAGTTGCAACCATGCTAGAGCTCATCAAATATTTCTTGACAGTATTAACCCATCATGTAAATTTTTAAGTATTCGTTGTGCTTCTTATCAAGTAATTTTGCTTAATATTTTTAAAAAAGAATTAGTGTTAAAAGTATATACCTGATTCTAGGAACTTGTTAACGGTTCATGTTGGGATTGCGGAGAGAGTGGAGAAAAATGCCTAAAATTTGGATTTTATGGAAAAGGGCATTATGACAAGTTATATGGTAAAAAACATTTAAAAGATACCAGTTTAATCCAGTATCTGATGACTAGTAGTGAAAAACCCTACTGCAGTTAGTGATTTTTTCAGTAAAAATTATACCAATACCAATAATCTATCAATTATATTTTTATTGCTTGTTAACTAAATTTAATTTGAAAAACTTTTAGGGGGTCATTACCGAATAATAGTACTAGTATCAGATAGTTCAGAAAGCAAGAAACATGGAGGTGAAATTGGTCAGTTGTTTTTTACAATGCATAGTATGAGTGATGGCTTAGGCTCCAAAACTGCACCTGTGGGTTTTATAAGTGGATATTATGAGCCAGGTGCATTTTATGTGGGCGTAGTTGCTACTGACGAACTTAGGAACCTTAAAGCAGTAGAGATTGAATGGAGGTATAATAGCAGTTTATTTAATCCATTAACCTGGAGAATCTTAGTTACCCCCAAGATTTACTTAAAGAAGATAACTGTTGAATCTTTAGAGGCCAGGCAAAGGTATATTTTTAACTTTATTTATGTAACAAATACATATTCTTGTCAATTGTTTCAGCATCAATGTGTGTCCAAAGAATCAGAAACCCCTCATTAACGGTGTACCCCAACTTCTTATCTCTTCCTATTGTTAACATTATTATGATTTCTTATAGATTTCCACTTACAATATTGAACCATCTTTTTTGCGAACTGGGAAACTTCTAGCAAGTAAGATCTAAGTAACCTTCATTGTTCCTGTGTAGGATTATATTATTCATTTATGGACAGCTAAGAAGAGGAACATTGGTAAAACCATACAAGTTGCTATTAAACATGAAATTTTTAATATGTCTAGTAAATGTTTTACTAAATTTAAGTAGATCTGGAGTGTAACCAATCAAAAGACCTCTTCAAAACATTTAATGTAAGTAAATTTTTTTTGAAATTTAGAGCACGAAAAAAGGACACAAGTTCCTATTAAATAAAAATAAAACTAAAACTAAATATTAAATTAACTTGTTAAAGAGCAGCTTCCATTACTTTTTGGACTCATATTCCATAGAGACAGCCTACAGAAAGAAAAATTTAGCAACTTGTCATGATATTTTTTGTGTTGTCAGAAACAAATCTGGTTTAATTTATATAAAACAATTATACAGGGTGCGACAAACTCTGGGATTGAGACACAACACAAAAAAAATACCATGAGTTCCTAATTTTATATATATATATATATATATATATATATATATATATATATATATATATATATATATATATATATATATATATATATATATATATATACAGTGATGCTTCTGGCAGTAATTTTAAAAAGTTAGTATGTAACTGACATCTCGATTTACGACAGACCATTTTATCGTTATTTATTATGTCATTGTCATTCCAAATAAATTGTTGAAAATTATTTCGCGTGTATCTTGAAATCATTATTTGAAGCCATGTGAATATTTCCGTATACTCTGAAACGTCACCTTACTCCTTTGTGCTTTAGCAATTAATTAATAAAACATGAAATAATAAGAGTAATCTTTTAAGGACCAAAACACATCCAAACAGTTATAGCATTAAAGTTTTCAGATGTTTGACCTACATTTACAAAACTATGTGGAAAGATTTTTTTCATTAACATTTTACGTACCAGGTTTTAGGGAACTTCAGGTGGGAAACATGCTTGGAGAGATTTCCTTTATTGGGGAGTCAAAAATGTATTTAAAACCAAAATGTTGAAATATAAAAATGTTTCAGTCCAAAGCTGTACCAATTGTGTAGCTGTACCAGTTGAACTATCCCAATAAATAACTATGTAGATATTTTCAGGAGACAAAAGATGTCTGATATATGAGATTTGTGATTAATGGTAAAATAGAGAATCTATGTACATACATAGAAAAAATTAATCGAAAACTGTAATCGAAAGATTTTTGGTCTTATAATTGTCAAACTTGTCCAAAGTCTTGATGTCCATAAGTGCAGTTAGCGCCACAACCAAGGCGAGTCCCAGAATTGAAGTTATAAACAGACCGGACCATATAGGCACCGTCATAAATGGAACGCAATCGTAAGCGTCACCAAATTTTCCATTTTTGGAGTTGACTTGAACTTGAAGGTCATAAATACGTAGCTCAATATCCGCAGTAGCATTGGAAAATATAGATTGACCATTACAATGGTATGAAAATCCCGACGGTGCCATAATGTCCTCCTCGGTAGACAATATTTCATTTATCTTTGTGTTCGAATGGGTTATTCGAACAGATGGTAAATACCAGTAACCACGGGACCAGGAAAAGTTAAATCGCAATGACACTTTTTCTCCTTCTCCAAGAGGAATGTTTACGTTTAGCCTTGTATCTACGTTAATCATATCTTTCGCAATGTTGCCAAGATATATTCTGGTTCTATTAATAGTCAACATCAGTGGTTTGGACGAGTAAAGCAAGGCGTATAACTTGGTTTGTTGGTTTTGCCCTCTATAAATAACAGCTTCCTGAACTATAGAGCCGTTATTTAGTTTATCCAAAGCGAAGTCGTTGGAAAGGTCCCTCTTTCGTCTACTATAACTGATATCTATCACAGCTATAAAGTTGATGGTATTATTTACGCCAAAGAGATGGTTCTGGATTTTCGAAATATCAATGCCGTTACATTCTTTTGACACTTTTAGTTCTAAAAATGTTACATTTAGTTCCGGTTAGTCTGAGTAAACACATTTGACTTACCAATAGCTTTGGAGGTGGCAATATTCCCATTCGGATTGTAAGCAGAGTGATAACCCTTCAATAATTGTTTTATATTCGTAGGTATATTATTTCTATGACTTTGCAAATGAACCTTAAATGTGAATAATTTCGGGTTATCTAATTTATGAACCAAATTTTCTAAATCTTCATCGTCAAACGGCAACAGCGGTGATATATGTAACTTTTTATTACTCCAAAACAACAACGCCGCATTTATTGCGTATATATAAATACAAATCACCAAAAATACACTTTTAAATAACATATTTTTTGAAATATATAGATGAAGATATTTTCTTCAATTATATTATAACGCCCCATAAAGCACAAGCGCTGTTCTGTCGATCAATATTTCCTTCCCGCCTGAATTTTAAAACTGACAGAAGTTTGGGCTAGGTGATGGACGTCGGTGAAATTTTAGAGAACGAAAGGAGGCATATGACACCTATCAAAGCATGACATTGTTGCATATTTAGTTGACTTTGAAATTTCGTTTGCAAAACTGACGAAATTGTGACGAAATGTGAAAAAAAATGACTGTCTTTTTTCTTTTTTTATTTTATTTGCTTTCGATATTACGATTTTTAATAACGAAAGCGGCAGAAGCGCCTTCCTAAAGGTATTTCAATGTTTTAAAGTATGAACGCCGCCGCGTGATAATACGCAGCAGTTACGCACGGTATAGCCACGCATAAATTAAATTTGGCACGCGTTCCATATGAACGTCCCTTTTGGCGCGCATGTTGATGGAACTCACAGCAGTCGGGAATAATCGATACCCGCCTTAAGCACGGCTATAATTAGACGACTATAAATTCGACCTTAAGAGAGACTGCAGCCAAAAGCTAGACATTTGACTATATAATGATCTAATATATATATATATATATATATATATATATATATATATATATATATATATATATATATATATTTTTTTTTTTTTTCACGTATTGATTCACGGATGGAAAAATGTGATGACACTATATTCCGGGATATCATCCGTTCGCTTGAACTCCGACTGGAATCCCGCAGACGTTTCGCCAAAATCTCACTTGGCATCTTCAACGTTCGCTCCGTGGATTCCAGTCGGAGTTCAACAAGCGAACGGATGATATCCCGGAATATAGTGTCATCACATTTTTCCATCCGCGAGTCATATATATATATATATATATATATATATATATATATATATATATATATATATATATATATATATATATATATATATATATATGCGCATGCGTAGCGAAATACCCTTAACATTTTTTCCATGGTGGGTCTCTGTATATTTAGCTTAGATTATTTTTACCATTTATTTCGGAAAATATTCACCCTACATCACTTACTTTGGAGAGATAGAACTAAGGGCACTGTACCAAAAAAAAAGTATTTCTGTTGGCTTTAAAATAGTATTCACTCTAACTACTGCAACATAAAATTAAATTTTTGCAGAAGCCGAGGTTTAAAAACCAAGATGGCAATTAAGCCGCCGTCATTCAGACTGGAAACTAGTATTTTTACATTACATTATTACACTTGCACTGAAGTTACTCTGCACAGATGCGTTTTTGTGTGTGCGCATTTGTCAGACAATTTTTTTATTTCATATCAGTAATACCATATACATCCCAGTTTTGAATTAGGTACATTCTGTATAACTTGATATATTTTGGAAATGTTGTATAAGATATTAAATCATAAAACTTAGAAATAAAACAAATAAACCAAAGAGCGCGCTGCTGTCTCTTAAAGTCTACGAAAATCGTAGGCAGTTAAAATAATGAGATTAAAATTAGGTACTTCCGTCCACTGATATTCATACCAAAAACTTTCACATTCTCAGAATATTTTTCGGATTTTGTTTTTTTCATTAACGAGTTTCGTATTTCGAACCACAAACCGCAATACAAACAGCTCGATTGTTATTTGAGTTTAAAGCCTTGATTAAATAATAACCGACATCGCCGCGATAAGGTAACAACACAATAAATAAAGTGGGGCGTCTTAAATCGAAAATAACACTCACACGCCTGCTTATTTGTATCAACTACTGTAACCCAGTAATAATTGATTTTCACTACGCCTTTGGCGTTTTCCTTTTCGAAAAGCCACAGAATAAGCAAAATGTCAATATCAGCTGATCAGAAACGAGCGTTGGACGCGCAAGCAGTGAATAATTTTCGTGAATATTTGCAAATTCCTTCCGTTCATCCTGATGTTAATTACGGTAAGTTTGATTCTAATTGTAGTTATATGTGATTCGTCGCTTAAGTGTAGCAATGTTTGATCATATCTATAATTTTTTCCATTTGAAAATGAGAATTTTTGGTATCTAGTCACCTATTATTGGCAATGCTTGGCTTGGGTTTTTAGGCGTGGATTTTCCAAAATTCAGTAGTGCTGCTCTTAGGCACGGATGCGTTTTTGCATATTTTATTTTTTTCAAACGTACATTAATTAAAGCAAAGCCAATTTTCATGGAAAAGGTGAGAAATTCATAACTAAAATCAATCAATCGCGACCTCGCCATGGTCAGCCGAATTGACTTTTACGACTCGCTTTTCGATTATTGAATAAAAAAACGAGGACAACTTACTTGGAAATTTTATACAGCTGTTTAAAAATATTTAGATAAGTGGGTAATCTAAATTCGTCACAAAATTGTGCACTATTTAAATTTAAAAAATTCGTACCTATTTTTTATTTTATTTTATTATAAAACAGTTATTTGTGCTAACTTAAAGCTATAAACTTTACTAATATAGATGATCAGCATATTTAGCAATTTTTGATTTTGTGTGATTGCAATTTTATACGTATCCATTTGAGTGTAGGTAGGTATCATTGGTGCAAAATTCTATTTTCGTTTTTAACAAATTTAGCATTGGACGCAATATATATAGTAAAATTCTTCAGTTTTAGTTTGGGTTAGTTTAGAGAATATTCAAAACCTCAAATTTGAAAAAAGCAGTTAAAGGGTATAGGATGTTGGCGTATTACAGAAGCGAATAAAAGTCTAAAAGTTTATTTTAAATATGTGTCTGTATGTATGTGTTAACTAACTGGATGGTACCTAATAAAAATAAAATATCGGCCGAAAGTGCAATACACAATATATTTTTTCTACAATCCAAAGGATAATATCAAAAATTATCAAGACAAAGAAATAGTATTTACGGAAGCAGGTAAAGGTTTGAAACGTTTACCAAAAATATTTGGTCAAGGCATTCCCGGGACTCCATTGGAATTCATAATTATCATCTGGAGTGTGTGAGAAACTAACATGATATCATAGTTAACATGGCAAATTTCAACAAAATCCCCAAAATATTTTTTGACGTCCATGTCCCTGGAATTACGATTTAGGTAACACCGTGAATAATAATGTATACAAATATTTGTCAAACCTGTACTTATGGAGTTGGAATCAAGACCATAAAAAATCGGATTGTTTCATCATTTTTGTTGATTTTTTTGTTCTTGAGTTAAACTTTTGTTAGTAGCGTATATACATAAATACAAAGATATTAGAAGTTATTCAAATAAAAAAAAAAAAGAAAAATGCAATGAAATATTAACAATGTCAATAGAGCACACTATATTAAAAAAAACAAAATAGTGTTACTATAATCCAGCTATAAGGTGCTTCCAAAAATTTATGGAAACAGAACAACCATTTTTCAAACGGCTATTGATCAGTCGATTATGCTGTAATTGTAAATTGTAGTTCGGTCTTAACATATCTTAGTTTGGGCCAGTATCTCTGGTTAAGTTTCTCAAATTTTTTTGCAACATACATCAAGGCATTAAATATGTATATAAAACGTTAAAAGAACATTACTTCCAAATTAGCAAGCAGAGGTATACATGAAACAGTCAAATACTTAAAAAAAATTATTCAAATACTTCATTTTTGTAGAATGAATACTTCATTGGCTCTGAGACAATTACCCCAACAGAACATCACTTACAGTCTTGCGTGCAAGGTATTACAAAACTCTTTACTTAGCTGCTAAATAACATACTTATAGAGAAGTAGTTTTTTGAAAATATCAACTTGAGAAGTGCAACAACAGCCTTTTCTTGTTCAAAATTGTTATGATGGAACCTTTTATTAAAATTGCGCAGCAAAAAATACAACAGCTTAATTTTGTTACTGTCCTCTATTACACTGTAGACGGCGTAAGAGTTCATTTCTTCAATCTAGACAACTCACCAATGGTATGTTGCTCAAAATGCTCCAACTGTATCATCCGCAAATAGCGAAATATAATAATCGTGAATATTGTTTCACTATTATTATATTTTATTTATTATGTTATATTTATCGTTAACAAATTTATAAATAAAATGGGACCGATCAGGCAACCCTGTGGAACAGCAGATGAAATGGGTAATGGTCTAGAAATATGGTTCCAGCTATCTCCCCTTACGAGACCTTTTTGTTCCCGTTGAGTTTTCAGCAATATTGGGCAGAACATGAGCATACCAATTTGAGCCAAGATAATAATTTGAGTATATGACTAACCTTTGACTTTTATATGATTATCCCATAATAAGAATTACTCGTTAATATTAAATTGCGTTCTAGTTAGGAGTCGGGAGAAAAATACGAACAATAAAGGTAAACAGAGGCAGGACAACAGGAAACACATAGATTTAAATGTTCATGGGATTTTTAGTATCATTTTTCTTGGGGCTTCTCCAAGAGAAGAGTAAAATTGCGTAGTTTAGAGGTTTATTGCATTTTTTGGGACTCCACCTTACAATCAACTTTGACTCACCAAAATGTAAAATGCAACATTTGAGCTATAAATTGTTTACTGTTGCAGCGTTTGAATGCATATTAATTTACATATTTCGTTTAATCGGCGGCATTTATGTATTGATTTTTTTTACAGATGGCTGTGTTAAATTTTTGCGATCACAGGCACAAAGCTTGGATTTACCCGTCAAAATTATTACCCTTGTTACCGGCAAGCCTATAGTCATACTAACATGGATTGGTAAAGAACCTCACATTCCAAGCATTTTGCTGAATAGCCACATGGATGTAGTGCCAGTTTTTGAGGTAAATAGAATAACAATTTTTTTGCTCAATAAAGGAGTCACATATTCAATCCATAATTGACAGTTTCTGGAATTTTACGTTGCTTTTAAATTTGTTCATGACTTCTGCTAAATAAAGTTTTTCTATTTCTAATTAGAATAAATAGTTGATTAGTAGTAATAATAAAAAAGCAAAGTCTCAAGCCAATAATACAGTGCAGCGGTATACATTAAGTTGCAGTTTCATACAGTTAACTTAGTACTTCTTAAAATGTTAGGACAAGTGGAAATACAAGCCGTTTAGTGCAGATATAGACGATGAAGGGAACATCTATGCTCGTGGCACTCAGGACATGAAGTCTGTGGGAATACAGTATTTGGAGGCCATCAGACGATTAAAATTGGAAGGAGTACAATTAAAGAGGACCGTGCATGTGTCATTTGTGCCAGGTTTGAATAGAAATAAATTTTTTTGCTGTAAAATACTTTTGTAATTTTTTTTTTTATTTAACTTCAACGTTAATTTTTGCTTGCAAATGTAGTTTTTGTATTTTTATTTGGCTTATTAAATGTATTCTATATACTTTTTTTTGATATTGAGTTTATCAATTAAAATTAATTAATTAAAAATTAAAAAAAGTTTTGGTTAGTTTTTTTTATATTTTTTATATGAAATAAACGTACTCAGTTGAAGCAGGTTTAAAATTTCGGAAGAAATATATTTTGCCAACATTTTTAGATGAGGAAATTGGTGGTGTAGATGGAATGAAAAAGTTTGTGCATACTGAAGAATTTACAGCATTAAATGTTGGGTTTGCTTTAGATGAAGGAATGGCCAGTGAAAACGACGATTTTGTATTATTCTATGGAGAGAGGAGTATTTGGCGTATGGAAAAGTAGAGTTTGCCTAATTAGAGTACTGCTACAATTTTTTTGTTTTCCAGATATCCATATTCATTGCCCTGGTACCCCTGGACACGGATCTTTATTGTTGAATGGTACAGCTGGTGAAAAAGTCTCTTATATTCTAAATAAATTTTTTGAATTTAGAAAACAGGAAAGGCAAAAGCTAGAGGATAATAAAGAATTGACTCTTGGTGATGTAACAACAATAAATTTAACGAAGTTAGAAGTGAGTGTATTATAATAAGTAGGCTCTATTTTTAGAGTAGATTTGGAGCCAACACTTGAGTGACATTGTTGAGGGCTAGTGTTGATCCCAAATTAGAAACTCAAGACTGTGGTGTTTTCCAGAATTGTTTAAGATGCATTTCAGGGTGGTGTTCAACCCAATGTAGTGCCTCCAGAATTAACTGTGGTCATCGATTGTCGCATACCAGTAACCGTTGATCATAAAAAGTGGGAACAAACTATTAAAGGCTGGTGTAGAGAAGCCGGGCCTGACGTATTTATTGAATACAGTCAAAAAGGAACACCAGTACCAGCAACCAAGTTGGACAATTCTAATCCATTTTGGATTGCTTTTAAACAAACGACTGATGCTCTGTAAGTTTCTGTGCATCTCTATTTATCGCATTATGTTTTACCAATTTGAAGTTGCTTGAAATCACAAACTAACATGCCCGTGTCCTGTTACTCATGTTGTAAAGTTACTCTGTAATTTTGCAGTAAAATTGCACTTGTGGTGCTTAGAAAACGCGCTTTTTCACGTTTGTTACATTGAATATCCTTTTGTAAGATTGCTGTGTATCAATTAAGTAATTGAGGCTTCCTTCAGTATAATTCGGTATTCATTTGGAAATTTGGTTATGCTTTATAAAAAACTGTTGCTGTTACTAATAGGTGCTTGAAAATGTTTTAGTTTTCAATGTGTGCGTGAAGTTTCTGTGATTTAAAACACATACCTTAAATATTTGGGACATGGATATTTTTCAATATTTATACACAGAAATTTGAAGTGAACTTGGTAATGGGGGCTAGGGAGTGAGTGCATGTTAATTTGCACTGGATTTTTACATTGTGAATGATTACTGTATGCTTTCATAACCTTTTTCCTTAATGTAAGTTCAAAATTTTTGTGACTATAAAAAGCTTTTCTTTACCTTTAACTATCATTATTGCATGGTCACGTTTAAAAAACAATGGCATATTATAACTTTTTTTTTATTTTCCAAATTGGCTGTATTATAAAACTCGGGTAATAATCAAAAGGTAACCAAAATAATGATTATATTTTACCATTTTACATTTTTCTTTTATTTGATATTTTTCTATTATCTGTTCCTTTTTTTTTCTATGTTTTAATAGGTATTAAATATTTTGTGCGCTCTGAGGAAATCTGTTTGCTGCGGATCTAAAATGGGAGCTGAAACTTTTTTTTTACTCCCTACCCAAGGCGACAGTTTGAAACGCCAACTAAAATGTCCAGTAAATTCTAGAGTTTCCATTAAATTAGTTACTTGTCAGTTTGTCAGTTTTAACGGTTCTGCATGTGTTCTGCATTTATCACGTCAAGCAATATATGTGTGTCGTATTTTTTTTCGTAACAGGTGTAGAAAAAGTATAGTATGCAAAACTTCCTCAGGCAGTCGTTAATAAAACTTATTGAATCATATATTATTGTATCTAATAAGTACTACTACTAAAGTAGTATCTCGAACCACCTTTTAACTGAATTAATTCATTTAGCTAGTTAGAAAACACACAGACCCAAAAAGTTGGTGTTCAAAAACACAAGATATGATTAACAGTATTCGGAAATTGTAAAATAAAATAAATTATTAGTGCATCTGTGCAAATACTAAATCTCAGAAGCAAATATGTTTTTATTTAATTTTTCAACTAATCTATTGAATGGCGTTTTTAAAGTCAATCATAAAAATTATACTTTGAATATCGATCAACTCGGTCAATGTATTAAAATTATTTATTTCTTGAACTCAAAGAGAAACTTACGAGCAAACATATAAGCGCAATAATATATTAATGTAACACTCGATTGCAAATTGTAATTTTAGTTTTTGCCAATATGTACCGTTTTTTATATTTTTTTCTGTAAAGGTGCAAATTGTAGATTTTGCTACTACTGCTTTTATGCATTAATGCATAAAGTTTTTCCGAAAAATTATGTGTCTGTCGATGAAACAGCATTTTTTTCCATTTGGTACTAGTTATAACAACCATGTGGAAGGTACATGATCCAACCGGTTTTTATTTTAGTGGCCTTAAAATAAAACCTCAGATTTTCCCGGGCGGCACTGACAGTCGTTTTGTGCGGGGTGTTGGTCTGCCGGCGATTGGATTTTCGCCAATAAATAACACAGCCATACTATTGCACGATCATGATGAGTATTTGAACAAAACAACGTTCCTGAAGGGTATTGATATATACTGCAAAATTATAGAAGCCCTGGCGAACATTGAGCACAGGACAGGGTAACTGACGGTAACATCGTCTCAACCATATAACTAGCGAAATTTACATAATATATATTTTTTAACTTGTTAACCAAGAAGCTTATCACCTGTTAAGTAATATATTATCCTAAAAAGTAATGATGTTTGATGTGTGCATCTCCTTAAGGTAAGTTCTAATTAACATTTTGTTTTTCTTTTAAATCATTTTAGCAGCCTTAAGATAAGAAGTATAATTTGTCCGGGTGGAACTGATGTTCGGTATGTGAGGGATGTTGGCATACCTGCTTTAGGATTCTCACCTATAAACAAAACAAAAATTTTGTTGCACACTCATGATGAACATCTGAATCGGGATGTATTCCTCAGAGGAGTTAAAATTTACGGTAAAATAATAATGGCTCTGGCAAATGTACAATGAACTTTGATTAACTTGTTTCTTGAACTAAATAACGAAATAAATTCTCTTAGATATGTTTCTTGATATAACCACCATAAAATAAACTGAAATCCGAGTCCATTCGTTTGCTATGTTTCGCATTCTCTCATTTGGCTAATCAAATTGTTATTCACTTGATACTCAATTAACTCCAAATGGCTTGGAAAACAGTAAAATGCCAGTAGTATAGCTATATAGTGTAGCTACACATCAACATTGACGATAGTGAGCAACAACATAAGTCCCAATTTTCTGTTTTTTAATAAAACTACAAGAATGTACCGAAATATTTAAGGTTTGTCGGTTGTTCAATTACTTATTATGCAAAATCAAAATGATATATCAAGGTCAGAAAACTTTTTTATCTGCTGGAAAATTTATTTAACTGGAGTTTTGCCCGTTTCTTACTCTTACCATATGCTATGGAAGTAATAACATTTAAACAAATGGATCAGTTAAAAAAAAAATTATTTAACCATTTGTTAGACTTTCTAGGGGACATGAATTATTATTGCGGTGAAATGCAACGTGTGGTCTAAGTCAGTTCATCATTTTTCAGAGATAATTTTGCAATGCTTTAATTTACTTATAAAAAACTGACTTACTCCTCCTTGCTTTTCACCTGGTGATATATATTTGAAAGACGAATTTCTAACTTATAGTTGAAGTTATTGAAGTATTTCCATAACCTGTTAAAACACATTAGAGCACTCGCGCCAATGGTCCTTCCAGATATGCACTTTATGCGCTTTAAAAAATTTATTTTAAAAGAAATGATAGCTTCACATATTAAGCCAGGAGCCTAGGGTTTTTCCAGCGAAACATTTTAATTTAAAATAAGTGACTGCGACACCGTAATTCAACGAATTCATAAAGGCAGTACTTTTTTTTTTGTTTCAATGCAAATGTAAAATCTAAAATTGATTTTGCCTAAATTAAAATTTAAATTTTGGTCGTTTCCTTTCAATTGAAGCTTTTAAAACTTTGTACTGTACATGGTGGCTATACTGAAGTCGAGGCTATTGCCTACCATATTATTTAAGCTACGAAGTCGACACGCGACCTTCAATTGTTTTTCTGTTACAACAACTTCAATTAGGGGAAAAACTACACAACTCCACTAATTTAGCTTCTTCGTATTTTCAATACTAAATAAGTTAGCAATAGTGCAGGCTCGAGTTTTTTCACCCTGTATATAATTTTTAATTTATTTTACCTAGGTAAGTATTATTTATCCCCAAGTACTCCAAAATACTTGAAATTCCGGTAATAAACTTTTGAAATACCTATACTGTTTTTCTTTTTTGTTTGAAACCCTTGCAGTTAAATTTTTTTTCATGCTTCGAAAAAAGGTTTAAACTCATAAATTTTGCAAAATATCTATATTCGGTTCAATGGAACCGCACAACGAAACGATTGTCAATAATAGTTGATCTGCAAGACCGCCATATTTAAAAGGCCATTACACCATTTCCCGGTAGTGAACGGGCATCCAGCTTGTCCTTTTGCATGTTCGACAGCGCAAGGCGTTTGTTATGGTGTTCGGAAATGTATATTAAAAGATTTGTTAAATTGCGACGAATAATTTGGTGCTAATATGTTTGCAAATAAACCCTTTGCCTTTTTAAAAAATGAGGTTAAATAAAACATCGGGCCGCGTGGCCATGTGGCTACGTCTTCGATATTGTCTGTCGTTTGCTTTGGAATTTTTATCGACCAATCAGAAATGCGCGGGAAGCACTCGTGATCATGGCTGACGAATAAGCGGACTGGGATTTGAATTCCCTCTTCGTCCTTCCTCATCAACTACAATTTTTGTATACATTCGTTGGGTGTGCAGTGCTGTCAGTGGTAAAAATCTATTTATGTCCAATTTTGCTTAGAATACAATTGGACAACACAAAACAACTTTCCAAAAAAATTCCGTAAGTATTAGTTAATATTTTGGTAAGTTCTCGAACCGGCGTTCTGTTAAAAAATGCCACCAAACCCGGTAAAAACAGGATTTTATTGTATTTGGGTTTATAATGGACCCGTCAACGTACGATCCCGCTCTTTTGTGCAAGCGCATGTTTTCTTTGACTCTTCATCGATTTCTAATTTTTTATATGTTTTATTACAAATATCCACATATTGTGTGGTTATTTTGTTTTTTAAAGTATTTGACGCTATGTTCCATGTATAACTGTTTACTGCGACTTCGTTTGTTGTCGTTTGCTGAGTTTCGTTATTTACGTCGGCGTAATTATCATCTGTGCTTAGTAAATTAAATTGAGAAAACTAATTTCATATCAAAATTTGAACATAATTTTATTTATAACCACGTTGGGCGGGAAGCCTAGTCGTATTCAAGGTCATTTCGAAATTAGTTTTCATGTGAAACCAAGAAAAACGTACGGTGCTCTCGCCGCTCCCGCCATTTATCGAGAGCGATTATGCAGTTTGTTTACCTTTTAAATTCCGATCAATTCTGTTGATATTGTTTTTGTAGAAAACATGCATTTTTTTATGGGGCAACAAAAAAACTGAATTTGTTTCATTATTGGCGTTCGCTTGGACTGCTCTATGAGCTTTTCATGCATAGTCACGCTTCATTCTCTCATCCTTTCGGTTGCCATGTTTTAGTCCCTTCTCAAGTTTTGTCCGCCATCTGTCGGTGTAGGTACAGTTCCACCAAAAGAAAATTCGCGCCGTAACATTTTACCCAGGCTACGTGCAATCGGAAGTGATATTATGGCGAACGTAAAATATTTCGAGTTTGTTGATTGAAACCTGAAATATCTGATTAAAACTGGGACGTTTTTAATATATGTTTTACTTAACTATAATCAAGTGTGCTTGATTTCAAATTCACCTTGATTGAGATGTTAAATTAGTGATTGATTTTTTCTGTATCTTTATTGTGAACCACTAAATTTAATTTCGAAGTTGTCATATCCACCTGTAACCTTATAACCACTTGGCAATGTAGTTTTAAGTTTTGCAAGTCTCGTTCCTGAATTAATATGAAGTGGAACATTGTTTGTTTCCTGTGTGATGATTTTTATTATATGAAAGGCTACAAAAACAATGTTTGACCGGACGATCGTTCTAGTTCCGAAGTACATTATCTTTTCATCCTATTATTGTACCTATTTATTTTGTGACAACTAAGGTTGCAAACGCAGCACACGGAGACGGAACCTCAGATTTCCTTGTGTTCGTTTTGTATAACGTCGATCAAAACAAAAATTATGACTGATTAGGCACATGGCGCTTAATGTTGCCTTTGTTAGCCTGGTTTCTGGTACATATGGAAATATTTTTCGATTAAGGGATGAACTTTACACAGGATTTAAAGGTTACCTAATCATATTGATTATTATATATTTTATATAATTTTTTTATTTTAAATACCTAAATTGTGAATTTTCATTGAACTCTTTTGTTGTTACAGTTTAAGATTACACATCCGAAATATGCCGATGTCTATTTTCGTGATTATGCTGCTCTTTATGGAGCACCTTTTTTGCAAATTGTTATTTTCGTTATTAGGGTGAAAATGTATGGAGGTCCGTTTATTAGGGGATGACCCTTAAGACAATAGTTTGGATTTACTTTTAAAATATTATATTGTTCGGCATACATATTTATATTTTCGTGGACAAGTTATTTTTTTTATTTTAAATAGAATATATTATGGAGCTTTTGAATTCGTCGGAACTTATTAGACATATTTCATATATAATACCCTATTCGTAAGTCTATCTGCGTCGGTTTGCTCCCCCATATCTTAATATAATGAAGGTTCCTGATAATTCTCAGATTTTTATCTTCCATTCCCCCCGTGTGTCTCAAAACCTCCATCCCCTTTTGATGCTTATTTTGTCGAAAGTTTTTTGATAGTTGATAAAACAAGCGAAAATATCACAGTTCGTATCCCTGCAACATCGAAATAATAGCGCATCCCTTGTGCCCACACCCTTCATAAATCCAGACTGGGTGTTTCCTCGCATATTCTATACATTCTCCGATGGATGTTTTAACACCTTTAGCATGTGATTCATAAGACTGATAGTTTGATAGTCACCACATGTTTTAGCTTACTGTTTCTTTGATAGTACTATAAATTCTGAGATGGGCCATTCTTTTGGGATGTTCCCAGTGTTGTAGATGTTATTGAATATACGGAATTTAACGGGTTTGTCATCAAGAAGTTTAAAGAATTCTGAATGCATTTCATCTGGCCCTTTTCCTTCTTTTAATAATAATGGCGGCTCTAATTTCATCTGCCATGATAGTAGTTCCAAATTCCGAATTTATAGGGGGTGGGTGCCTCTTTCATCAGAAAATGATTGTTGTATGTCTGTTATGTCTTCTCTACTTAATATGAGTGTTCCTTCATCATTTAGAAGCTACAGTTTTCTTATTGAACCATCCTGTAACTGCGCTCATTCGCTTATGCATATTGAACTCGTATCTGTTTTGCAAAACTTGTATGTCGCGACAATTCTCATCCAATTCTTTTTGTTTGGCAACTCGAATTTATCTCTGTATTTCTCTCTGAATGTTTTTGTATATAGTGAGATTGTTCTTCCGCTTTCGTCTTTCTTCCATGAGTGTCAAATTATACCGGTTATAGGTAATTTGTACGTATAAAGTATTCATTTTTTATGAACGGGGATCAACTTTTAAAAATGAGATGGAGCTGTCAATATTTTATTAATATTAAATATGTAAATATTTCAAATTATTACATTATTTTAAAAAATATGCTCTTGTATGTAGTTTTAGAATTATAGTGAGTGGAATTTCTCATCAAGGAATCCAATATGAGTACCCTGAAGGCAAGAGATTACTACTCCTCAGGCACACCTTATTCGGGGTGTTTTTACAAATTTTCAATTAATTTGTAATACAATTTTTACCATCTACTTATTTTACCAAAATTATCACGTTGCTAAACATCACAATGTTTATTTTATATATAAATATGTATTTTTTATTATATTTATGTATATATTTTTTATACAAGATTATTTTTTTGGTGGATTCAGTTTCTCACTGTCCATGGAAAACTGAGCAACCTGTATAGATGCAATAAGGTATATAATATATAAGTTCCTTTATAAACAAAAATGTATGTAACTTATTAAACCTTTTTTCTTCCTAGTTAAAAAAGTTGAGGGATGGTTAATGTTCGTATTTTTGCCAGAGTCTATAATTTGGTGGTACTATTTATTGGATAAACAAAACGTTTTTAATTTTCTCAGGGTTGCATGTTAATAATGTCGGCTGCAATGGACATGTTCTTGAGCGCAACGGATTCTCTGCCTTTCCCAGACGTGTTGGACATTGATATCAAATCTGAAATCGATACACTCGTGGGAGGACCTAGCGATTTCTCAGGTTTCAACTTCAATGATCTACAGCCTCTCGAATTTGAAGATGTTCATGAAATAAAATGGTTTAACTCTAACTCGAACCACTCGAATCTGGATTTTAGTGGAGAGGACGGTCCTACCATGGTCAATCCCAACGCCGTAATGCCTATTATGTCTTTGGCGCAAAGCATAAGGTCACCATCTCCGTCATTAAAAGAGAGCCACTTGACTTTCTCGCCTGCTGCCATTAAAATAACCTCCATGAAAGCTGAAGCTTCATCAGTCAAAAAAGACCTTTTGAACCGATTAGAAGGGGTCGAAGACAAGAAACCCATAATCAAGACAATCACTAAAGTAACCCCCATTCTAGCTAAGCAACCTATTAAAACGATTACAACAAAAACTTCGACCCCCACATTGGTATTTAGAAATGCAGTGAGGCAAGTCACCACACCGATCTTGGCGCAGGTTAGCAACGTAGGTACTTTGAGAACCGTTGCCCCAACTGCCAATAAGAAATCCATAATCGCCAACTCTAATATTATATTTGACGACGAAGAACGAGCCTATCCAAAACCGGCCTACAGCTACAGGTGAGTAATGTAAAAAAAAAATTAATTAAATAATGTTGCGACAAAGTTTTAAAATTAATTTTGTTCAGGCAGCAAGTTCACTACAATGCATACATATATTGATGTGCCTTTAACAGAATACAAGGGAGAAGTCATTGTCATTGGGAAATTGATAAAAAGTATATCTTTACTTTTACTCACATTGTAAAGATATGTTCCCCAAACTTCATGGTTAATTAAAGTTATATGGTGAAAAATTTTGTAAATAATTATCAAAATTAAAAATATCAAATTTTTAATAGGGCACATATTTTGTAATGGCAATAGAATATATTTTGAGCGATTTTGTACTTAGAAACAAAAACAATTATAATGTAATAAATTGAAAAAATATTAATGGAAAACTAAAAAAAAAAATAGTTCTATTACAGATTTTTGTTATTGTAGTGGAAAAGAAAAAGTTGGTACCTTGTAGTAGTAGGCAACGCTGCTATGTTACAATACAATTTTGAAAATGTCATCATATATGGATTTAGTTTTGAAATAGTATTTAGATAAATATTTATAAAGTTAAATATAAAGCTAACGAAGAATCACGCTTTTATTGCAGTTGCTTGATAGCTATGGCTTTGAAAAATAGTAGAACTGGCAGTTTACCTGTATCGGAAATTTATAATTTCATGTGCAAACATTTCCCATACTTTAAAACCGCACCCAACGGCTGGAAAAACTCCGTGAGGCATAATTTATCTCTAAATAAATGCTTCGAGAAAATTGAAAAGCCAGCATTAAATGGAGCGCAACGTAAGGGTTGTTTATGGGCTATGAACCCTGCAAAGATTAGCAAAATGGATGAAGAAGTTCAGAAATGGTCGCGAAAAGATCCAAATGCCATTAGAAAAGCCATGATTAATCCTCGTAAGTTTTTTTCCGTTTTACATTATTTAATTTACCACCCAAGATGTTTTGCCAGCTTTAATTTTGGTCAATTGTATTAATAAGTTTGTTACAATTATTTTTTAGATAATTTAGAGGCACTGGAAAGAGGGGAACTGAAGTTCTCATGTTCATATGATGAAAGCGAACATTTTGGCGACTCATGTGGCAGTGCCGAAAGTGAGGAGGGATCAGATTCTGAACAAGAAGTTGAACAAGAGATTGATGTAATGAATACAACAGAATATCAGTACATCCAAGTTGGGGAAGAAGAAATAGAGGATGTTGAGGTATGATACATAGTAGCTAGCTAGAGTATGTTTTCTTTTATATATTGAGAACATTGATGAACGAAAAGCAATTTCTAACTAAAATCGAGTATAGCAGAAAAGATCTGTGAGAAATTTAATGTTTTGTGATTATTCTACCATTAAAAGCAAACCGCAATTTCTTTTCAGATTACAGAAGCAACCATTTACGAGGGAGATATTGAAGATGACAAAGAGCTGCTGAGAGTAGAAATGGCCCTGGCGCAGAAGGAACTGTTAGCATATGAAAGGACAATAAATAACAAAAGGAGAAGGACATACATTATTCAGCAACACTAACGTCCTAATGTAGCTAATTCTAAAATGGCAAACACGTGATAGCGTGGTGTTAGTAGTGATAACGCGCTGTTAGTAACAACGTGCGGCTCTAAAAGTTGTGCTAAGCTCGTAAAAGCCGCGAATCCATCATTAGAAAATGAAAAGCTGTGTAAGATTGGTGATACATTTGTACATAGTGTGTAAATTTGATTCCTGTAATGTCGTTTAGGATTAATATGTTTATGTTCATTAGGTTTTACTACTAAGACTGCCAGTTTCGGATAATTTGGTTTGTTAGTTTGGGCCGTGAGAGCGGAAATAGAATATTGTTAGATATTTATTTGATCTGTTATTTTACAGACTCCCTGATAGATATTATTTTTGAAGTTCCCTACTTATTCTACTGAGTGTTGTGTTCTTCTCTGATAGATTCAAATCGTGAGTACTTTTGCTTGAAAATTGCGCTATCTTTTAGTACACTTCAGTTAGAAAATAAATGTCACAAAGGCGAAAAAAAATATTTTCTATTGTTCCTCAATTTCAAGACTTGGGACCCAGAACAGAAAACTATCAAACTAACCAAAACTAACCAATTTTTGCTCTGCTTATTCTTTTTTAAAATTCAACTACATTCCAGTATTTATAATAATTCTGCGTTACGTAATAATTTATTGTTTTAATTTTTGACAAGATGGAGAAGTGCAATGGATCATAAAATTTATTCAAATACATAAAAATAATTGTATTGAGGTTTAACTTTATGTAATTGAAGGGTGTAAGTAAATATAAGTCTGAAATTTGGCTCAAATTAATTATTTTAGTTATTTTCAGTGCTTTTGGCTTTTTGATTAAACCACGAAACCAAGATGTATAATCACTCACAGTTTATTTGCTATGTCAATCTTTACATCTCATTTTTCTAATGGCAATCGCTCTTGCGGCCTAAACCTGAAAAAAGGCGAGTTTTGTGCTGAGTGACCGCAAACAGTATTTGAATGTTAATGGGCGTAGGGCAATTTAGTTCTGTCTTGACTAAAGTCTAAAATTATTATTTTTAGCCTGTAGTCGAGGGCGAGGTCATGTATTCTTTTCTACTTGTCAAATGTGGTGCCTTTTTCTCGAATCTGAACAAATTTTCATTGTTTCCTCCGGGACCAGAATACCGATCGCTTTTTTTTGGTGTACATACGCGCTTAAAGTGTGATTACATTAAAATGGTTGCTAGAACTTTTTCAGTGCTGTTGTGTTACTTGTGTAGCAGCTCCAAAACTTTCCAACCAATAAAATAAAAAGCAAAAGGTCGACTGATTGTTATAATGTTTTTTCAGTGAATTACCAAGTCGTTTTAATCCCATTATTATAAAATGGTGTCAGTTTGTGTCCGTGAAAGCCGCTTCTATGATGAGCCCCAAATAAGCAAGGTTAGCGTAGTATTGCAAATTGTATTGGTTTTATTCCTCTACAAAAGAATACTGACCTATTAGTTAACGGCCTAGTACAATTTGAAATCGGCTTTGCAAGGTGTCCACGAAAATATGAGCAACGTTTGGCATTTTCATAAATTTAATTATGGAGATAATATGGGTAGCTAACAAAGTCAACTGGTCTTTATTTAATGAATATTATATAATCAGATTTTTTTATTTTCCACCCTCAGGTTATTTTAAAGGTTTGAAAAAATATTTTGGCTAGGTTGAACCTGGCTGTGATATTTTTTATGATAGAGATTGTTTCGAATGAGAAACTTGTTTGGATTGATTAAAAAAAAACAATGCCGGTAAAAATGTAGTAGTTTATAATAATTTATTGTTTACTGCACCTCGACATTTTAATTAAGCCTTTATAAAGTGGGTGTTAAAAATATAGGTAACGTTTTATACTTTTTTGCACTTTCGCAAACTAAAATTGCTAAATACATTTTTATTATTTTAATCAAGTTAAATTTGAATTTATAAAAAAAAGGTTTTCAATCCATTTCTCCATAACGAGGGCTGAAAAAAAAATTAGGAACTAGCGATGGTATGTTTTGCATTCTCCTTTTAAGAGTTTTTTCAGAATCTCTTGGAAGGCAAAACCAAATAATTTATTTAAAACTGTTTGGCTATGAATGAACTTTAGAAACCTTAGAAATTTCCAATTGAAGGCCTTTTGCATTTTGTCCGCCCTTTTATCGTCCTAACAAGATGATTTCGTAATTTATTTATTTAATATTTCTCAGTTTCTAGCCGACTATTTGGAGCACATTGTATTTATGGCCGCAGCTGATGCAGGATTAGGAGCATATTCTGTATCAGCTGCGACGAAATCTATCGAAGACACCACATAGTGTTTGTAACAATCTAGTGAACCTTTTTTTTTCACTTTTCTTTTATTTTTTACTGTGTAAATGTAAGGTCCATGTACAAATTGTTAGTTTTTAAGATGATTATACTTAATAAATGCAATTTGTGATTTTTTTTATCGGCATTATTTTTATTTCAGTGGCCTCGAGTGCTTTCAGTTCTTGTGCGAATTGTGACTTCTGAAAGTCATATGATACATTTGTTACAAGTATACATGCTTTTGCACATAAATCAAGGTAATAAAAAGAAAATTTATTTTTCGCATTATAAATGTCGGCTTCCTTATGTTCACTCTCCCGAGTTTCGTTTTGGGTATTATGGGAAAGTTTTTTTTTGTCTCTTATTACTTATTGCAATTCTTGCAATTTTGTCATTGGCCACGTTTTAGACGCATGGAAATCGACTTTTGCATCCCTTTAGTAATCAATTATGTGATTTGATTATTTATTACTATTTACAAAACTCCTGCATTCCTCCTGCGTCGATCGTTGTTCGAGTGGAACTTGCTGACGTTTCGCGAACATGAAATAATTCAAAATTGATTGCTCATGGAATGTGATGTGAGACTCGGCATCATAATATATATCTGGGGTAGAAACGTTTAGTTTTTGTAATATCGTTTTCAGTTTAAACAAAAAAAAAGAACATTTAAAACAGTTAAAAAAAAGTGAAACATAGCCTTTTAGCATTGAACGACAACCAAAAAAGTTTAATAATAATTAATTTTCATCTTTTTGTGTCCCCCACTGTAGAAAAAGGTTAGTTTTAGTGAGAACATATCAACCGGCGCCGAAATAATGATGAATACAGAAAACACTTTCAAAGTATATTACAAATATATTGTAACGTTTTTGAACCGGCAAAAATTGTTCGGGTTCATCAAACGCGATTGGGAAATTAAACCAGTCATTTTGTATAAAACTTAAAATTTATTTCGTTCGAAAATAACAGTCACTTCACTACTAATTAAGTTGTATAACGTCTTTATTTATATAGGTCAACTAATTTTTTTTCGCGTTCGAACTTCCTGTTTCGACTGACTTACAGCCAGCGTGGCACTGCGCATTTATAGAACGCACCTGGTTCCTGCCTAGGGCAAAGGTGAAACATTCGAGACAGCAGCTTCCCGAAAGCGAGAGCTTGATCTCCCTGTATCACATGCGTTCGCCTCCGGGGTTGGGGGAAGCTTTTGCCTGGGCCGGGCTCAGCCCATTAGACTCCCTCGCCACAACATAGTCTCCAGAATTTAGAAAATTCCAAAATGTCATTTTAATTTGCATATTTAGTAGGTAGATGACGTTAACATTCCATAACTCGAATCAATAATTGAGAAATAATCGAAAATATACTAATAGAGCTAATATTAGTCATAGTCATATATAATATCTTGTTTGTTGTCGTTTTACTTTAGAATATGCTGCTACAACAACACAATTTTTTATAAAACGTTTAAATAATGGAAAAGTTATATTTTCACCTTTATCGTCCGAAATATCGCTGTGCAATGCGTGTAAAACACATAGATTCGAACTTAAAATGGTCCGGGAACGGACCGACAAAAAATGTATCGAGTATCTAACATTTTCGCACACGTTGTCCCGCCACTGTTTTGACGAATGTTTGCAATAAATTATTATAAACTGCCCGAAGTATTAAATTAATTAAAGTAGTCATTAACTTTTAAGTCAGGAGAAATTTATTTGTTGTTGGAAATTATTAAATTTTGTTTACGAAATCTGCCTAAGGCCTAAATGTAGACGATTCACGAACGAAAAGTGTTAACAATTATTGATACGACAAACCATTATTCGCAATTCGACAATAATTCGCGCACTTCCTCTCTTGTTGCGGAATACCGAAAAAAAATGTGACACAACGAAATTAAAAAAGGAAGCACTTTATTATTAAAACCACCTAATTTCATTTCAAAATAAATAAAAAATAAAACTTATTTCGAGTTTAGCAGTATTTGTCGGAGACAAAGAAGTTAGATAAAGTATGAACAATCCTAAAAAAATTGAATTTTACTATCGATAATTGAGCACTAACATTACATTTTAAAGGCAATTTAAATTACTGGAGTTTTAGTGATTAAAAAAAAAAGAAAAAATGAGAAATAAAAGTTAGGGAAAGTAACAATCTAAATTCTAAATGTTTAAAATTGCAAAAATAAAATAATTGCCCCCCCCCTCCAAATAATTAAACATTTTACAACACTTTACTTAAATAGTAATTATTTGGCGGATTGAACATATTTTTTTCGAACATAAACTTTACTCCAAGCGCGATTATACCTAATCTTATCTAAATAAGATTAAACACACATTTTTAGATTACGAAGTTCAATGGTTAGCAATTATTGCAGACAATAGGTCTGATTATTAAAGCCAATCACATACGTAACGTTTTACAATTAAGTATATAGTGTCTTATTGCGGTCTAAATACGTTCTATACAGGGTGAACAAATTACGATACACTTTTAAGACGTTTTTTTCGAGCTATCAGGTAGTCTGGAGTGTGCTCAAAATGGTAAAAAAATATATTTCTCGAAATAAACCTGAGCCATTTGTTTATTACTTTGAATGGCATTTAAAATACTGCGCGAAAACGCCAGTGAAAGCCTATTAACCAACATTTTTGATTTAGAAAGTGCACAAAGGAATATCTGTTTTTTTTTTAGTTTTCACAATGCTTTGTGCGAAATAGTAACAATTAGCAGACATTCTAAAACAAAATCCTTATCTATCAAAAAATTCTGTAAATAAAGCACAATGTAGATAATAATAATAAATAGCCTTTATTAAAGTAGAACAAAAAGAATATACTACAATAGAGTGGAACAGGTGGCGAGGTCTAGCAGCGCTACAACACGTAACCACCTATACAATGTAGTAATAAGATTGAGAATTAACAAGAAAAAAAAACTAATAAATATAAATAAGTCCACCAAGATTCACAATTGAATTGATAATTTTAAACAAATCAAAGGGGGATAAAAAAAGAAAGAGAAAAAATAGACACTGGAAAAAAGCAAGTGCAATATTCAAAAACGACTAAAAGGAAAATAATAAGCAAAAAAAGAACAAATATAAAAAAAATTAAGCGGTTCAGCCTCTCCTTAATCTCACAAGCTCTTTTAATTTCTTTTTAAATGTAGAAGTGGATGAACAAGTAATAATATCCAGTGGAAGTGAATTGTAAGTTTTAATATGTGAAAGAGCTCTGAAACGCAGCCGTATTATGCTTGGGAACATAGAACAAGTTACGGTGACGAGTCGTCCTATTATGTATATCATTACCCCCTGATCAGCCTATCATAGAGATACCTAGCAATTTTATACACTAAAGTAGGCATATGCACAAAATACCTTTTAGACAGATTTAACCACTGAGAATTCTTGAGTGGCGGCGTTATATGATCGAATTTACGCAAACCATAGCTGTATCTCAATTACAATTTTTGTAAGCTGTATTGGTCTTTCCGTCTTGAAGCCGGCCAGTATACAACGTCCGCATATCCCAATAGAGAGAGTATAAGAGTAGTAGATAAGTAGTCTTTATACATGTAAAGTACTTTCAGTTTCCCGTAGGACTTCTGCAGTAGATAAGATAAGTGAGAAGTAAAAAGCAGCTTACTACCAAGAAAACAATATATCTATTAAAGTTTGGGATGTAGTAGTTATACGAATGGGCTATGTTACTAATTGATAAAGGTTGTATTTGTCCAAAAAACGGCTAAGACATTTATAACTATTACTAGCCGTATTAATAAAATCAACATTAAAGTCTGCTCCAAAACATAAACAATCAAACTGCGGCATCAAAACAGTCAGAGTATCCTAAATATCATCCAAGCAGGCAACCAAATTAGCGCTTGGGGGGCGATAGAGAGTTGCCCAAACAAAGACTTCTGCCGTTCACCTTATCACCAAACCAAAGCTGCTAAAATTCGCTATTACTCTGCTGTGCAGGTATTATTCTGAACGTGAATAGATCCCTAACATAAAATGCAATAACCCCTTCCCTGTTATCACGGTCTTTTCTATGTAGACGGTAGTCAGAAATAGCCACACTGCAATCAGTAGTATTTGTATTTAGCCACGTCTCAGATAGCCCCAGCACATCAATTTGTTCATCTATTAAAAAATCCTTAAATGCCACAAAGTCCGAACACAACGAGCGAATATTAAGATGAGAGAAGCTGAACAGCCTAAACTGATTCTGCACTTTCTACAACAGAAAAAAAGAAACTAACAAAATATAAACTAAATCGCCAAGCCATAACTCCGTTTTTTTACAAGAATAAAAAGGGGAATTGGTATTATTAATAGAGAATAACAGGGAAAATGACATTGAGGATTATTAAAATCATCACTATGAGTTGCAGGAGAAAAGAAGCAAAAAAAAAAACGTGGAATAGTTATTACAATACGTCATAACATAAATTTTATAATTTCAACAAGGAGAAAAAAAGATTGCAATCCTCTGCTATAAGTAAGCAGGTACATCCTATACATGAATTTTCATCGGAACGAAACTAATGACTAATTTCTCTACATTTAAATATGTGTCGTAGAGAAATAAAAAATAAAGTTGCTATAATAAAAAAAGAAGCAAAAAAATTAATATGCGACTCCACACAAAAAGCGTTAAATAACTTAAATGTTCAAAATTCGGGAGAGCGTTTTTAAAAACAGTTATTTATACAGAAAGCAAAAGAAAGTTTTATTAGGACTAGTCGATACAAAGGCTGGAATAATTAAGAGCAATATGACAATCCAATAAATAGGGCGTTCGATGCGGTGTCAGCGAGGCTTATCTTCGCATAGCATTGGGCTTCGTCTGCACGTTGGGGCATATAACTCCTCCCTCCTTAACTTAAAACGTTCCGTTATTTTCGAAAAAGCTTCAAATATTTCTTCTTGACAGGTTCTTCAATTCTCGTACCTTTTCCAAGAAGAGCTTGTTAATGATGAGAACTAAAATTAGATCCATGATGATTCCAAAAACAATAACAAATATTTGGAATGTATATTTTTCTTCTTTCACTGGTGAGTTTTTTCTTTACAAAAGTAGATTTCTTCGATGACGGGACATGTTTCTGCGGTGAATTGTCTCTTGTGCCATATAATGGTATTGGGGTATAAAAATTGATTGATTTTGGATTATTGGGAAAATATGATAAAAGGAAAATATTTCGGATCTTAAAATTGGTACATGGACTGCAAAGATCACTTTCGAGTCAACAAAATTTACCTGAGTTCCCAAAATTTGATAAGAAGATAAAATACTTTTAAATTGTGGAATTTGATTTTCTTTATGAATTGATGCTAGATATTTAAGCATTTTATTGAACTCCGAAATCGGTAAAATACTATTATGAAGCGCATTGACATTTGCAAATATAATAGCGTTTTCTAGGTTACCTAGAAACATTATAATATTTTGCCAATCTAAGTTTAATTGCGTAATGATCCCGTGAAAACTAAGATAGTCTTGTAAACGAATTTATCGTCATTAATACTGCATTTTGGAATGATTTTAAACCAGTTTTAAACCAATTTCCGTCGTCAGCGTCGAGGGTGGAGGTGTGGATGTAAATTTTCAAGATTTTCCACCTTAATTTGTATTAAATATTCAGTTCTTAAAAATAAATTTTCGGCAAGTCCATAATAAGAAATATTATTAGTTATATTTTTAACATTAAACTTATCTTTAATTATTTTGAATGCCTTCTCTATGCTTTCTACGTGATTAATTATTTGACTTAAATCTACAAAATGGATAAATGTGTGTTTGTTATAAATTAACTTTGCGTTACCTATCTGGATAAGAAGTATATGATTTACTAGTTTGGTAACTTGTACGTCTGTCTTTACTATTCGTTCGGTTACAACTGCTACGAGTAGAAGAGTCAACATTTTGATCTTCATTGGTTTCCTGAAAGAATAGATTTTTATTAGCCTTTGGCCTCTTTGCACTACTTTTATGATAGCTTATCTTTGGTGTCATTAATTTATTTTCCGTTTGGTTTATTAACGGTGCCTTTTTAAATTTAGGAAGTTCTTTGTTTCTAAATTTTGTTTTAATGAAAGCATATTTTTGTTCACTAAAATCTGGTGGTTCTTCACGATTTTCGTTTCTCTTTGAAATAATGCCTTCTTTCGTTTTTTCATTTAATTCCTTTATTTGTTCGTACAATTTACTTGAGTTTTTTTTATGCGATTGAACATAAAAAGAAATAATAGCGTTATCATTTAGATCAAATGGGTTTTGAGGATTTAAATGACCTATAACTTCGTTCGCGTCTCCTAAGTTGTTAAATATCGAGTCAGTTTCAATAGCGTTCATATCTATTCCCGCTGCTTGGTTGTTTTTACCTTTTTTGTTTTTAATTTCGTACTCATACTCCTCAAGTTTAAGTCTCCATTTAGCAAGTCACGAATTTGGTTCTTTTAATGACAGGGGTTTATGATCCGTATAAATATGGTCTATAATATTTACAGCTCCAAACAATTGAAGAGGTGCTTTTCAATTGTCGAGTTCAGCGTTCTTAATGCGTAGCATATTCGTTGTCCGTCTTGGGATAAAATTCCTGAGATGGCATATTTTGATGCGTCGGTTGTTAATTCAAACTTCTTTGTAAAGTCCGGATAAGATAATAGTGGCTGCGAAGTAAGCACATTTTTGCACGTGTTAAAATAATCAATGAATTCTTTTGTGTTCGACTTTGCTTTCAGTTACTGGTAATTTCTTTAAAGATGTTTCATGGGGATTTACAGTTAGAGTAAAGTTTGCGTCTGATTGTTTTTTATATTTGAATGGAATTTCGTTGTTAAATCCTATTAACTTTTTGTTTATTAAATGGATGTTCAGATTCATATTAATTAAATCAGTTAAGCCTATTACTTCGTCAAAAAGTCATGAAAATCAAATAATATAAACTCTATTGCTACTACTGTACTTAGAAAATCCGTTCCGACTGCGCCACGTAACTGTTCAAAATTCGAGAGAGCGTTTTTAAAAACATTTATTTACACAGAAATCAAAATAAAGTTTTATTCGGACTAGTCGATACAAAGGCTGGAATAATTAAGAGTCATTTTACAATGTGACAATCGAATAACTAGGGCTTTCGATGCGGTGTCAGCGAGGCGTTATCTTCGCTTAGCTTTGGGCTTCGTTTGCACGTTGGGGTATATAACTAATATGAACATTTTACAGGGCCATCACATCGACATACTCACGAGTATGACTCACAAATCATTTTTTAGAATTTATGTATGTTTTGTTACCTGTAGCTGCCAAAAAATAAATTTTTTCTACTCCCGTCGTTAAAATATCTAATTACCTACCGATCTAGCGTGCGGGAAGCGTCACTTTACCGCGCCAGTTTTATTTCCCACGGATCCGAGCCACTTCGGACATTTCCGAGATTTTACCGCACGGATTTGGGAGCAATTGGATGTTTTCGGAGATATCTCCCACGCTTTGAATTTGACGTTTGCCAATTCTGACAGCCATGTCAGTGAATATATTCGTGTTGTTTGGCCAAAATGTACCCAAAAACTAACGGTCGTAGACAAAGTATAGTATGCAACACGTTCGGTAAACTTTTTAAGTCAATCCTCGCTCCGCTCGTGTCAAATAAACTCGTGAGTCAAATGCCGTTTACCGCACTTGTTGCATAATATATTATTGCCGCCAGACGACCAAACCTTATTTTGACCGTATTTCTTCTTTGCGGCCATGGGCAGATCATATCTCAACTGAGTTGAATCTTCGTGAATGACGTAGGAGGAACCTTTAAGCTTACTTTTCGCTTGAAAAACTTCAGCTCTTTTAGTGATAGATATGAAATTGACGATTAGCAAAAAAAAAACAATATAGCAAAGATAGTTTAATAACGCCACCGAAGTTTCCAGCCAGTAAATAAAATTAATATAAAAACTACAATCCACTCGATGTCCTATAACCTAAAACGCGATAGTGTATGGACGCCTTTGGGTACTCTTCAGAGAACAGTTCGAATTCCGTCGTTTATTCAAGCCCGCTAGTCACTAAGCATAAGGTGAACCGCAGTCGGAATAATTACTACCTCGTACTACCTTGTCGAATACTGTTAAACGAGACGGTGTACTTAGTGAGACAACATGAATTTTCAAGCATTTGTGCTGTTTTCGATATTGGGTAAGTAAGCTTTCAAATTTTGTTATCAATTTTTGCTTCGATTGAAGTTTGAGTTTGTTCCAAGTGATTGAATCAATTTATGCGCAGGGTTTTTGTTCTACAAACGATGCTTTTGCACTTTGATGTTCAACTTTGTCACCAGATCTCAAGGCTGGACGTTTCCAAACAAGTAGCAAAAACGGGTTTTTGTGCTTTTTTTTCCGTTCGCGCTTGGTAAAATATTCAACAAAAATGCAAGTGGCACTTTTTTGTATGTACACGGATTCATTCGATGTATTATTCGAATAAAATGAAAAAAAAAAAAACTTAACTAGATTTTCCGTTAATCCTCAATAACAAAGTTAGGCAGTACCAAATGGGTAGCAACATGTTAAAGAAAATGAAATATCGGGTATTTCGGCATAGCTCACGAAGCTATCGCTTATTGAATTTCGATTCTTCATATGTTTTAAACATCTTGCCAAGGAAATACAAGGTGGCAATTTTTTTCAGAGAAAAAAAAATTTTTGCATTATCTAAGAAACGATTGTGGATATCTTTGTCAAGAAGCATTTTTAGTAGTAGTATGTAGCGTCCGTCCGCGGGTTTGTATCGTATATTTTCTTTTGTTTTTTGTCTCACAAGATTCATGTACCAAATTTCATGAAAACATCGAAAATAATTTCTTAGATATTTTTTCCTAACAAAAAATCAACTATCGTTTGAGAAGATAAGATAATTTCTGCATAAAAATTACACCTTTGGTATGAACGACTCGATCTGTATTGGTTAGTTTTTGTTTCTACACTTCTTTTAAAGTGACACTGAGCATGAACTGAAGATGTGACCACATCTTACGATCGCAACACTTTTCTGAAATGAATACTCAAGATACACAAGGTAATGGTGAGTCAATATTGAAGGCTATATGGTGGTAAAGTTGGTAATAATATAAGTGATGTTCCGCTGTCATTTACTCAAACTCAAGGAAATAGAATAAATAATAGATACGTTAAGATGGTTATGAAAATCAACAACTTATTTTTTAAGTCATTAAAAAGTGATTTAACAGTGGTGTTTATGAACTGTAATTTATTCCAGACAGACTCGATTTGTAGGTATCTTTAAAAATTGTTGACCAATTTACCGAAATGCAGCATTTTAGATTTAATTATTTTCGTTAGGAACGCATAAAGTATGCCTGAGAAGTACCATTTTTTATTAAAAAATATACGATACAAATTGCAGGCGGATGACACTGGTAGATACTTATTTAGGTTAGCTAAATACAAGGATACATTGTAAGCACAGAAACTTGTATTTATTTGGTTCTCCTTAATGCAAGTATTGTTAACCCTGAAACTATGCAGGATGGGCACTCTTAATATCATGAAAGAGGCATAAGGCATGGAAGCTACCAAAATTAAATTATCTGAGGTGGAAATATTTCAGGAAACACAAATTTATTGGTTTTTAGAAAAAGAAGTTATACACAAATTGTAGTTTACAATGAGTTTCACTTGTTTGTACATATTTGAGCTACTACTATCAATGTTGAAATTCTGACAGAACACTTCGTATTTTTGTGCAATTTAATGTTTTTTATAAAAAAAACTATGCTAAAATTTGAATGTTTGTACTAACAGTTTAAAATTCAAATTGTAGACAAAACGAATGAATTTCAAAAAAAGTCATTTTAAATTCTCCAACTTTTGTATAACTTTGTTTTGTTAAATTTGAAATAAATATTCTATAAGAAAAATCCAAAATTAGAAAATTTGGTTATTCTAGATTATTTTTTAGTTCACCTCATTTGGTAGCTTCAAGTATATCTAATGGTTTACAAGTTACCCCAATGGCTACTATGTATGTGAACTACCGAACCAATAATTATCGAGGACTTGCAATTTTTTTTACCATTTTTTCTAGAAACCTATAGGGTTCCTATTTTTGAATTAAAAAGCAATATTCTTGTTATTCTAGAACCTGGTTATTCGATGTAATTGATCAGTTAATTTCAATAAAATTTCTGCTATTTCTGAAAAATATGAAAAAATCGATTTATCATACATTTTATTAGTTAATATGTTCAATTTAACTATAAATAAAGAAGTCAAATAAACGCAAACCAATAAGTAATGATGATTTTTAATGTTATATTGCTTACGTAGCTAAAATATGTAATAATTTAATACGCTCTGTTTGTTTTTCTAGGCTTAATCGGATGTCAGTCTCTAAACGACTTGGACTTGAACGAACTCGAGAAGACAATCAAAGAAAATGGCGGGCCAGATATGAGCGGGTTGGAGGGCAAGTTGAACGACACAAAGCTTAATGTCGAACAAGTCGAAAAAGTCTTACGAGAAAAATGTGAAAAGCAGGGTGCTGGTGATGCCGTCGAGTCCTTGAAGGTTTGTAATATCGTGCATTTTGCGTAAATAATAAAACCAATACAGTTTGCTTGCACAACGATATAAATTTATTTGTTTTGCCAATATATGCTCAGATAAAAAGCTACGGTGCGAGACAGGGGTTCGTGTCTAACGACATATCGGGCAGGCGGGAAGTGAACTCGCCCAAGACAACCCCAGTCATAGGCGTGCTAGTATAATAATAATATATTTGGTACGTATACCTCGTGGTCCCAGTAAGGACAAAAACAAATTTAAAACCGCATCTCAATATTTAAAAAAGGAAATTAACGCTCATCGCATCATCAGTCTATTATTTTTTCACAACTCTTGGAAAAATTCCCCTACACGTGACCTTGAGCAACGCAAACACAAATTATAATCTGTGTAATTTTAATTAGAACAAAACAAATCAACTTCTATAGTACTCTCTGAAAAAAAAACATATTGATAATTATCAATATAGCAAACATTTCTTGTTTTTAGAAATCTCGTTTCGTTTGACACCTGTTTTTTTTTTTTTTTTTTCAGAGAGTACTATAGAAGTTGATTTGGCTTTGTATTGTAAATTGCACTAGTTTTATCTTCATTTAATATGAGCCAATTTTGATTGAACCAATTGTTTGTCTTATATTTTTTGTAAAACTTAGCTTTAGCATTTTTTCCTGAGATCGTGTCGTGTCGTGTCGTCAGCGTAACATGTAGTTTCCAAATTTTATTCGTTCAAAGCACTATATAAATCAAGAATAATACCGGACCAAGAATAGTCCCCTGACCTATGCAATTTTGTTATTTTTGGTTTTGGATTTTATGAGAGCATCATCACTCAAAATCACATGTTAAATTTCACACACAAAATTGTTGTAAATTGAATCAAATAACAAAAACCTAAACATTCTAATTTTTGCAGTCTGAGTGTCAAATATATGGCATCTTTTACATGGCACTGTTCATTTGATTTTCAAACAATTAAAAAGATAAATAGGTCACGGTTTCATTGCAAACACTCAAATTTGCAGCATTAACGTGTCTGCTTTTGCTTTGATGTATGTATATATATATATATATATATATATATATATATATATATATATATATATATATATATATATATATATATATATATATATATATATATATATATATATATATATATATATATATATATATATATATATATATATATATCCGAAAACACTTGGAATACTCGAAGTGTGAGCATTGAAGATGCCAAGTGAGATCTTGGCGAAACGTCTTCAGGATTCCAACAAACGAACGGATGATATCCCGGAATATATTGTCAGCATATTTTTCCATTCATGAATCAATAAGTAGGTCAGAGGAAATAATAAAACAAATAAATAAAAGGGAATGTAATTTGTGTTTGTTGCATGCGCAAGTTACCCTTTAAAACTATTTAAATGCGTTAAAATATTTTGAATATTTATTTCACCACCTTCATAATATAATAATATAAACAAAATTTAATGCAACGAAAACACGAAAAATCCGCAGGAACTCTTAAAACTTTATGGGCTGACAAATTTGTGTTTTATTTAAGAAAATATTTTTTTGTGAAGATCACGTCACTCACTGTTTTGGTTTGCAAAAACTAAGAGTCGTAAAAAAAGTATAACATACAACATATGTATAATATGCAGATACGCGATATTAAACACTCAGTCTGCTCGTTCCAAAACAAACTCCACTAACACCACATCAAACTTGTATGAATGCTGTATATGGTGCACTAATATATTATGTTATTTCCATAGTCGTTTTAAAACAATCGTTGTTTGTTGTTTCCCTGCATGGGATAAACTACAACATTTTTGAGGAAAACTAGTTTTACATACCTACACTACCACACAGCTGTCTTGGAAAGTTGGAAACCACCAAACTTAAAATACTGAAAATAACACCATTTTTAAAGAAAATAATAATAATTATTATAATAAAGGGACTTTAATGCGTGAGGCAGGCACTCCGCCCTCATGCTCGTCTTCCGCCCCTCTGGTTCACTCGCGAACACTCTTTTTAGGCGGGGATCGCAAATATTCCCCTGTTGCCACCTTTCACGTTAATCGCGCACTGCATGGTATTTATTTTTTATAATAAAATTCCATGTTTTTGCAGGGACAACAGGAACAACTGAAAAATTGTGTCACGACTCACGTCAACGCTTCCCAAATACAAGATGAATTGGAGGAGGCCAAAAAAACCGGTTCGATGGACGAAGTGTTCGCAAAATATTGTAAAAAATGGCCGGACGTTTACCAGTGCGTCGAGAACGTCACGTCGACAGTTAGACAATGCATGAGCGATCAAGAAGAAAAGGCATTCAACAAAAGTTTGAATATAATGCAGGAGCTTCAGGAGTTTATGTGTTTTAAGGATGGCGACCGACTTGCCAGTAAGTAAGACTTACATAACATTACATTCAAGACTATTATTTGTGTAAAGTGGGTAGTAACAACAAAAACAAACTCCCGAGTTTCCGCCATCTTCAGAAAAGGTTTATAATTATAGGTACCCAATTGACTGTTATTCATTGTATATCATTTTTGTTGTAACATTTCTTTCGTTTAGTATTAGATTCTCTTAAAAACTTTAGGGAAGTTTAATGAACCAGCCAACCGATATGATATGGATATACAGGATGTCCCAAGTTTTAATTGAGAAACCTCAGGAACTAGTTTTAGACTTCTCCATTTATTTTTAAAAAATGTCAACGATTTGTTCGTCACTATTTTTTCAATGTCGTTTCGAACTTTCCCTTTTAGATCTGGGACCCCTTGTGTATTTGATATTATCGTCTTTTCAGTTTTCACATAATATTATTAAACCGTCGTTCTGCACTGAGCAATTTGCAGCAAATGGCGCCTAAAGAATTTAATGTACGCAAACGACAAAGAATGTCGTTGCAACTGGGAATCAATATTTATTCTCCGAAGTTTTTTTCATGCGAACAACTTTCGTTTGTAAATGAGAGTGTTTATTTCACATGTGAGTTAATGGTTTATAAGCAAACGTAATTATCTGCATGCGTTTATAAATATTTGGCTAATTTATTGCTATATGATTGCACGGCCAAGATAATTAGATATCCCTATTAAATAAATAAAAAAATGAAAATATTTTTCGAAATTGAATGGACAATTTTTTAAAACTTAAACTGCTATTATGAACTAAGTCACATTTTATTTAATTATAAGTCAAAAACTATAATTATGATAATTATTTATTTATTATTAATTATGCATATTTAATATATAATATAAAAATTAATAAAATACTATAGGTTGTTTTCAAGATGCAGAAAATCCGGTTCACAATGAGATGCGACAATTTTGCACACTTTTGATTTGTAACAAAATAAATATTTATATAAATATTTTGATTCTTTCTTTATAAAAAAAGATATGCAATAAGCAAAATTTTCCCATGACAATTTTATCAAAAAAGTAAACTTTTTGCTTATAATGGGTTATGGCACAAAATTATAGAAATATTATTAAACTTCTCTTGATGGAAATGTGAGCACTAATATTTTGAAAACTAGACATTGAGCCCAGGAAGAAATTTGTTCGGAACGTCAAAGACTACATCATAATATATTTTTTAATTGGCTGAAAGCCATTTTGCGCATATTATAATTTTCAATTAATATTATTAAACCGTCGTTCCGCACTGAGCAATTTGCAGCAAATGGTGCATAAATAATTTAATGTGCACAAACGCCAAAGAATGTCGTTGCAACTGGAAATCAATATTTATTCTCCGAAGTTTTTTCCATGCGAACAACTTTCGCTTGTAAATCAGAGTGTTTATTTCACATGCGAGTTAATGGTTTATAAGCAAACGTAATTATTTGCATGCGTTTATAAATATTTGGCTAATTTATTGCTATATGATTGCACGCGGCCAAGATAATTAAGATATCCTTTGAAAATATTGTCATTTCCCGTTATACGGGAAATGAGTGTAAACTTGATTATTTTAAATTGAATGCTGTATAAAGTATTTCATTTCTTGTTCATGTAAGACGATTTACGTCTGTGAAGAATGCTGTTTAGAAACAAAATGACACAAAGTTCAAATTAATGTAAAAAATTTAGGGGCCTTATCGCCTCTGTATTTTTTTCCGTTCAATTAACTGGAGCTCACTGTCAATGCATATAAAACCAATTCGCACTTTCTTTTTGACCGATTAAGATTTATTGGATTTAGTGGATAATAATGGTCATCAACAGAAAGTCGAAATTGACCTATTTTTATCTACATTTGATCTATTTTGTAGTGTTTGTCGCTGAAGGAGGAGTCGAATGCGTTCAAGAACAAAGAGAGGGAATACAAAATTGCGTAAACAAGACGGTGGGCAGCAGATTCCCATCTCCTGATGAGTTTTCTGTTACAAATTTGCCAACATTTTTATTTTCTGAACAAGATTGCGGGTAAGTTTACTTCGTACACATTGTTGTGAGATGAGTGATATAATATTTGGGTTACTTAAACGGATTAACAGATAGTTATTTTTCTTATACGCGACAAGTTTCAACATACGGGAGATTTATAAAAATGTGTTGCACCAAATTTGCTAGTTGATAATGTGACATATATACAGGGTGTTAGTGAATTACAACTATATAACTATATAATATAATAGTTAGCAAGATGAGAACTGTAAATGATTTCAAAACACTTTTTCACCTTTTGTCGCAGAACTGCAGAATATTCTTATTATTAATTAGTAATTTATTATTATAAAAAAAGATACACGAAAAAATTGCACCTTTCTGCAAGCATTTGCTTGTACACACTACACAACACGATCTGAGTTAAACTTTCAATATTTGCATTGGGATAGTCGATCAACCACGAATTAACTTTCACTTTCAAGCTTTTCCTAAACTTTATTTCTTATATTATATTGCGCTTGCATCGGAATACTGTGGTTGGTAATCCCAAATAAATTGATTGATTCACATAGACGTTTGTTTACTATGTTTCCTATGTTATTTTTATAAAAATAATTAGTATACCATGTTTATACTAACTAGTAGTATTATATGTAGGTTGTCATTGATATCACATCATATAATCTAATTAGTGAACCTAGAACTCTCCAAAAACGACGACTATTGTAGCTGTTTTACATGTTATTGCCAATCTGACAACCGTGATAACGATCAAACAACCCAATGTTAACAAATGCCAATAAGTTGTGAAACATATTTAAGTCTATTTAGCTGGTACGTGGTTATGCCTCGTATTATACCTTGTTTACCGACTTCACCGATTAAAAAGGGGAAAAATCTTAGGAGTTATAAGGTCGGACGATCAACAAGAAACTCACGATATCACTTAATGACATGGACGTGAATCAATATTCGCTACTTACAAATCTCATTCCTTTTATCCATAATATTAACCTTTTTATGCAGAATGACTTTGAGACCAATCACTCTACTCTGGAAGCTTGAAAATTTCGGTGTGCACGGCAACTTACTTCGTTTGTTGCAAAGTTACCGATAAGTAGTTGTGAACGGTGGAAAGTCGCTTTATGCGAACGTAATGTCCGGGGTCCCTCGGGGATCACACTTCGGACCCTTATTTTTCAAAATTTTTATATTAGATATTGGAAGCGGTTTTCAATATTCAGTAACAGCCTCATTCGCAGATGACTTTAAAATAAGAAAGAAATAAAATATTTTGGAGTTCTTTCTTCTGACCGTCTCTGGCAACGTCTCTCAAAGCTCTCTGACTTCGCGTCGCGCCGCCCCGCCGTCGCTCTAACTTCGCACTGTTAGCCTTGTTGACGAGTCTTTCACAGAGTCCAACAATCTTATTGAGTCTAATCCTTATTGAGTGCGCTCTAAGCTATACTTTTTTTATAGAAAGAATCAGATCTAACTACTTCTTACTCTCCGCCTATTAGATGTACTCGCATGTAAAATAACTGTATTTTTCTGAACAACGAAGATACGGACTTATTCAACTTAAGCCTAAATCTGTTTAAAAGAAGCGTATACAAAATTTTGTAACATTCTTTGAATTACTGTCCATTAGCTTAGGAAATATCTAGTTAAGTTTCTTTTATATTCCCGATCATGTGTAATCTTATATTTAATATGCGCTATCCTGTAATTGGGCAGTCTCGCCTGCCTCTTGGTTAGCCTTTGAGTTTATAGAATAAATATAAAATAAAATTGAAAATAACATCGGCAATTGCTAACAAACTTAATTTAAACAAGAATTATTACACCATAAACAGTTTAACAAATAAACAATGATAGAACATGGGGCATACTAAATTACAAGAACGAAAAATTGTCAACAAATGGAATGCATTTTTATCCTAGAGTAGAATTTATCATCGCGGATATAGGGTGTAGTATGTAAAAGATTAAACTTAACTTCCATCAACTCCCATAAATTTAAACGTTTTTAGCGAACAATTTACGCGAATATACCTGCCTATTATCTCAAAATATTTATTAAAATTAAATCATTTTCAGCGATTTTGATACCGTCAGACATTGCATCATCCAAGAACTAGATAAGTGCAAGGATACAACTCCGTCCAATATTGTGGATGCATTCTTTAAGTTTTTGAAGAAACAAATGCCCTGTGAGAAAAAGGTCCTAGAAGTCAAAGAGGCCTCACCGCAAACCAGCAGTTCATCAACATTTTTTATTTCCAGCTCTATGCTATACGTCATTTTTATTTACAGACTGTTGAACTGGTAGATTATTAGGGCATGCAGTGTCGCGTAGATGTGATTAATTTCTGAGTGTTACTGGTGTGTTACATTCGAGTTTTAAGTGTTTTTACGTTTTTATTTTTCTACAACCAAATCATGTTCAGATTATTTAATTTTATCTATCTGCGATTTCGTCTGTAGGTAAGTTTCTTATATATAGGTTTCCTTATTTATATAGTGAGCGAAGATATTTAATATTCCCAAAGATTGCTTAAAAATGTTGTACAAATAACATCCGTTAAATTATATATACTTAGTTTTTGATTGTGATATTAGTTTGTTTGGTAAATTGTTTATAAAAATAAAAGACATCTGTACTGTAGTTGTCGTAACTTAATATTTATATCCATTTCCCTTTTATCTGCATTCTTGGTTGTTGGGAAGGGCGCAAAAAGATAGTTGCTGCGATTGCTAACCTTGCCACCAGATGTAACCATACACCTATTTTTATGTCAATATATAGTCAAATAGAAACCCAACAACCCAGTAAAAACTTCATCTCAATATCATTAAAATTTAAAATAAGTTTAATTTCGAGAAGCGTTTGTACTTCATAATGTCTAATTTAGGCTAACCCTAATTTACCAAATAAAATGTTAATTAATTATTTGGGATGCCAAAACGTATACAATATAGTATGAAATGAACACACATTTTTATTACAGTGAATATAGTGTATTATGCTCTTTTACTACTGTTTTAATTAAGAGAATACAGTTGAATAGTTATAGTTTATAGATGTTAGGATAAAAGTGTCTTCTAAATGGATTATTATTGTAAAATGCATCTACTAACTACATTGAAACTGTTATACGATTAAGAACTCTCAAATTTTCATCTTCTATTCTATACTGCTTTGCTCAAAAGTGTTATATAGGAGTAAGAACCTTTTAACACCTGAAATAGAGTAAAAGACTATTAGAAAACTTCTGTTAATACCAATTAATTGTTGATTTGAAATATTAAGTAGAGCAGATAATTAGAGAATAGAACGTGTTGGTTAGTGAGTTAGGTGGTTTGTAAAATTTTTCGATTATGAGATTATGAGATTAAGTCACTGTGAAAAAAATTAACGCTTACCTTATACTTGTTGTTCTCTGGTACAACTATCTTAAGTCGGGTGTATACCTACTAGGTTTGCCACCAGTGTAGCGTTACCATATTATACATAACAGGAACATCATGTATACCATGATAACGCTATACTAACCAAAACTAAACTAATCAGTCTACCTCGTGGTGCGACGTGCGCATGGGTATCCAATTTGAAAAACTTGTTGCCAATACTTACGGCAAGTAATAAGGAGTAGTTCATTGGCGCTATCAGAGCTTGGGAAGTGATCGGGTTTCTGCACTTGAGAAGCATGAATATGAAATCCTTTTTAATTTCATTGTCAAATTTGTACCAATCCGCTGTTAGCAAAATGTTGAATAACTCTTCGCTCTAAAAATAATACCTTCAAAAACGCTATTTTCTCTTCATCTAGTCAGGAAAGTTTCAGTTGCGTCAATGCGATGTTTAAAACAATTATTACATCTAGAATAGTATATTATGCAATAATAAGAAGTTTCTCAACTAAACTAACTGAATTAAACTTGCACAAGCGTACCGTATGTAACGAAAACATCAGATCCTCATAACTGATTATTTTAAAGTAGGGAGTAGGAAACTGTATATTTATTCCGTTGATGAACTTCTTCAGTCACTCGTTTATTAAATATTTAATCTCCTTGTTCCAAAACAAATTCGTCATTGAAACGGTGTTCATCAAACGTGTTGCATAATATACTATATTAATATTACAGTTATACAAGTTACAAAAGTTTACAAAAAAGCTGTAATAAATATGAACTTCTATTGGGATTGTTATATATACGTTTCTGAAATAGTTGTAATACTGTTAATGTAGGATATTTTATAATGTTATAACCTGAGATAATGTTCTCCCAACACTGAAAAGCTGTTTGTTTTAGCTTTTACAAAGTAAATTTGTATTTTTGTAACAATAACAATAATAATTAGTCGAGTTGCTTAAAAATTATAAAGTGATACTGGTTAGTTGAATTACGATTATTTATTTTAATAGTTATAAGTGCTATGACGCAAAAAAATTGTATTATTAACTTTTGAAATTGAGCTAAATATCGTAACATACTTCGTCCATTAACTTCTGGCCTGAAATGGTGGACATCGACAATCCGTTAACCCAACCGATAAACAACATGGATGTAGGAATAGAATGACCCTGAAAATATGGTACGATAAGGGGTCGTTTGCTGCCAATGCCGATAATATCTTATGAAGCAACTTTGAAAATTTGCTTGAGTGGACCTTCAACATGCGCATGCGCCAGATTTAAAATCCCGTTTTTAACATGCCTGCTACCAGATCGCCACGTTTGTATGTGACAATATATGCGGCAATATATTGTCAAAATAAGCCTAGATATCGTTAAATGTTCTGGGAAAACGAGTTAAGTTTGTGCAATTCACTGTTTAAAAAAAATGGTGCAACGTGCAATATTATCTAATAGTTATAAGATGGTAATATATCAACTTACGTAAAACATGCGAAAGAAAGAGCAGCCAATTATTGCCCCGGTCAGCAAGACGTGCAGCAAAATTGTGCTCGCAAAGCAATCGTTCAGTAAATTTACCATTCTGAAATTAAATCTTCTTACAGCACCTAAGGACTTAAGAACGTAAAAAATGATATTCATAGGGAACAGAAAAATTAAGGTGCATCATGCAGCGACGAGGGTTCATATTTATAATAACTTGGCCCCTCTGACATATTCATAGAGCTACTAGATATATATAAGAGGCGTTGCCTATACAGACAGAAGAAACATTTAATATGCTCATGCGCAAATCTTTACCTTTCAGTATTTTTTCAAAATATGACCAGATCCAATTAAATTTTTATCAAAAAAAAAACGAGTTAGTTTTGGTTAGTGGAAGCAAATCATAAAGTGCTGGTTGGTATATGTGACATTTATGGCTATACGAACATGTCAAAGCGGACTGAGATAAGTAACCTTAATTATAATATTTAGCTACATCTGGATATACTTGGGGCCAATAACAACGTTTTCTGTTGACTATTTGATGGGATCTGGGCATATTTTAAGGAAATTTCCTTTTTCTTGTGCCTTATTCTCAGTGCACATTGGTGATTACTATATCATATCCAATTTTATGCAGCCATGGTCTGAGGTTTTGCAACCACGGTAACTCTTTTATCTTTTAGCTTGCCCTGCATAACAAGATGAAGTCGGATATATTTCTAGTTTAGTTTCATATATCCGAAGTAGGAAAGTTTGCGTTCTATTGTTTTGTCATTCGCAATTGGACCTCTTCGTTGGTTACACATGGTGAATTCAAGATATTCTAAGCATGTGTTTGTAGCAGCATCTAAATGGTCAGTGTCGAAACTTGCACCCCATATGTTAGTATTGCGAAAACGTATTACCTAAGACTGCGATTAAAAGATGTTCTACTCTTCTCTATCCGGATTTCAATTCAATTTATTTCTCTCCATTTGTTTTAAAAATAATGTCAAGAAGGTAAAACAAAATTGCGGTATTCTTGGTTAAAAAAGAATTGGAAACATTTTCTGATGTTGGCTTCAAAAGTGCCTGTATTCTCAGCCTATGTAACGTCTCTGTATATTTAGTAGCTATATGGGACATAATTAATTACCTAATAATTTCATTGTGATATTTTATTGCGGCGGTAAACTTTTTTCTCATCACTTTATTATTTCTCTCAGCGAAAGCAGTAATTAATTGTTTTTGCATATGCCGAAATCTAAAGATGATATACTGTATGATCTCGGCGTCGGACCACGCGATGAAGGCGCAGACTATAAATGAAAACAGAAACACCAGATATTGAAACAGGATGATCGGCATTTTGTAAGTTTCGCTGATTTGAATCGGAAACCAGGCTGGAGCTAGCAGACCGCATAATTCAGTTAAATTTTTCTGACGGTTTATCTTCTCACATGATGGGTCGAAAACGCTGAAAATCACGTAGGTATGTATGGCGAAAAATATATAAATCAAGTGGAGAAATGAGTAAAAGTTCATTTTTTTAGTTAGAATGTCCCACTCCGGGGGCTTTATGGAACTGGTGAATTTGGAAATGCTGTCGCGCAATTTAAACAACGTCTTCGTATTTTTGAAGAAAAACGCGTTAAACCAATAAGCGCCCGCGAGGCTAAGCAATATAACTAGGTCAAAATCTTTTTCCACGTCCAAGTTTCCTAGAAAAAAAAGGTAAATCAATTTACGTAAATCTCACATAAGCTCGGTTTAATCACGTAGTTGATATTCCGACATATTACTGACTTTTTTTTTAAACGAAATCCAAATTTTAGTGTCAATTTATTTACCGTTCCAAATACCAAGAGGAAAGTCATCAGAAGGAAACAGAGATTGTAATTAGCAGAAACTGTTGATTATATTCAATAGTCATGGTCCGGTAATACACTTCGAAAAATTTTGCTTAGTAGTTAAGTGACAGAAATTTACCAATTGGTATTCAGCGGTCAAATTTACTCCTGATTGTTATTAATGTCGTCTAAACTGCGAATTTGCGTATACGTGTCACATATATTGAACTGAGGAAATAGTTTTAAAAAAGCGATCTTTATCGACATTGAAATATCTATACAGAGCGAGTGTCCAAAGCAAAATAAATTCCGGAAATCAAAGATAGTTTTTTTTTCGGAAATATGCGTGTTCCAAATTTGAGATATTACGTCCTCCGCTATTTTTATAACTATAATTATTTTTAAAAATTTAATTTAACCATTTAACATAAACGTTGATTCAACAGAAAACAAGATGTGTTCTATATAAATATTTCTGTCGAGTAGATAAATAAAAAACTTAATTTTTTGTTCTTCATAAGCATTTATCACTAAAATGTATCTGGGATTCAGTTAAGTACAGCATCTACAAGAATACGTTCAAATACGCATCGAATGCGATGCTGCACTTTGGGAATTCAATTTTTTAATTCCAAAAAATTGAATTGAATGGAAGTGGATTCCTTTATTCCTCGAATCAGATAATATTTGTTAAATCACTTTTATATGAAATTTGGCACCTTGTTTTAATTTTATTTTACAACAACTTCATCAGTTGCTGACATCGCTGTTAATTAACATGAAAATAACATTAACATAAAAAATTATTTAATTTACTGAATTTACACCATGTTAGAGACTAATTGTATAAAGCAGTGATTTCAACAGAAACGATTTTGTTGTGTGAAAGAAACGACCCGAGAAAGTGATAATAATAAGGGAAATAATCGTCCACGAACAGGAAGACCGACACCAGGAGAGTGATTTTAGTTTAACAATCTCAACACAAAACTATTTTGACATTAAGATAAGCATTATAACGAAATATTCCTATTGAAGAAATTTATATATATATATATATATATATATATATATATATATATATATATATATATATATATATATATATATATATATATATATATATATATATATATATATATATATATATATATATATATATATATATATATATATATATATATATATATATATATATATATATTTCACGTATTGATTCACGGATGGAAAAATGTGATGACACTGTATTCCGGGATATCATCCGTTCGCTTCTTGAACTCCGACTGGAATCCTGCATATATATATATATATATATATATATATATATATATATATATATATATATATATATATATATATATATATATATGTATATATATATACAGGGTTTTTCACTTAAAACTTCGCATGCCAATAAGTCCAAAACGAAAAGAAATATTTAATTTATGAAAAAGTAGTCAAAGTGTGGGGTCAAGTAGATATTTCCTAAAGTTTAAAAAATTCGACGCCTGCAAAGAGCTGGGCGTCGCGACGCATCGAAAAATTGTTCGATTACAGAGACTTTGGAAATACGCGCATACAAAAGTACATATTATTTAAAAACTTTTTTGTTATTTACTCAAATTTATTTACTTTACCCGTTTCTAAGTTATACCGATCTAAAGTAAACATATCTTGATTAATAAAAAATGTGATTAACGCTTATTTTTACAAGTATGCCATGAATGTTAGTTACTATGGCAACCATTGTTATCGCAGTTGTTTTAAGTGCAATTACAAACAATAGACTTCAACTATTTTAGTATGATTTTATTTATTATTTTTTATCGATTTAGTTCTGATAACATGATAAATAAATGAAAAAACAGTAAAATACCTACAAGTTAATAACCAAAATTATTATTGCAATTAACTACATAATAAGACATTTCAAAAATTTTGTTCAAAATTATGTCCATCTGCTCGAACACAACTATCAAAAACTTTTAACAGATGAGCTTGGGTCACTTGTAGAAGAGTCCTTGTGATAGCGGCACACGCTGCACTAATTTTGTTAATGAGGTCAGCCATATCTTCGATAGGTTCTTCATAGATAACGTTTTTTAGGTAGCTCCAAAGAAAATAATCTGGTGGTGTAATGTCCGGGGACCTCGCCGGCCATCTTACCGGTCCATGAGTACCAATCCATCTATTGGGATATTCTCGGTTCAAATACCTCGTTACTATTTGGGCATTATGTGCAGGCGCTCCATCCTGCTGTAGCCATATATTCATTCTCGTGTCAAGAAGCACTTCTTCTCATAGTTCCGGAAGTGTAGTTTGAAGAAATCTTAAATAGCGATCTGCATTTAAAGTTCCTTCGTAAAAGTAAGGTCCAATAAGGAATCCATCTAATATGCCGCACCAAACATTGATACTAAAAATTCGTTGGTTACCTCTTTCTGTAATCCAACGAGGACGGTTTTCGGACCAAAAACAACAGTTGTGTCTATTAACGATTCCATTATTTTGAAATCGACTTTCGTCGCTCCATAAAATTTTCGAGAGAAAATTTGCATCTTGGCTATACAAATCGGACAATGTCGCTAAGAAATACATTCTTCTAGCATAATCGCCTGGTTCTAGTTTATGAACTAGTTTACTTTTGTACGGGTGAAAAGAGTTTCTATGTAGAATTCTCCACGAAGAACTTATGGTAACACCGGTATTTTCTTTTATCTCTGATAGGGATATCTTTGGGTTATTATCAACCTGCTGAATTACAGCAGTAGTATTTTCATCATTTGTAGCCGTCCTGTTCCTATCTCTTTTAGGTTTTATGAAGCTGCTATATTCTCTTAAGTTTTTACATAAACTTGAAAAGGTTTTTGCATCGGGGACTCTTCTATGCGGATAACGCCGTGCGTAAACTCTTTTTGCTTCTCTACAATTGCATCTGCATTCTCCAAACACCAGTAACATGTTTACTTTTTCCTCATTGCTAAATTGCACCATTTTCACATAATAATTCTTAGTTTTTTTTTAACCGAACAAATTTGGATATTTATTGTGACAAAATGTGACAATTTTTTGATACAGCAATAACAACTTACGTTTGTAATTACACTTAAAACAACTGCGATAACAATGGTTGCCATAGTAACTAACATTCATGGCATACTTGTAAAAATAAGCGTTAATCACATTTTTTATTAATCAAGAAATGTTTACTTTAAATCGGTATAACTTAGAAACGGGTAAAGTAAATAAGTTTGAGTAAATAACAAAAAAGTTTTTAAATAATATGTACTTTTGTATGCGCGTATTTCCAAAGTCTCTGTAATCGAACAATTTTTCGATGCGTCGCGACGCCCAGCTCTTTGCAGGCGTCGAATTTTTTAAACTTTAGGAAATATCTACTTGACCCCACACTTTGACTACTTTTTCATAAATTAAATATTTCTTTTCGTTTTGGACTTATTGGCATGCGAAGTTTTAAGTGAAAAACCCTGTATATATATATACATATATATATATATATATATATATATATATATATATATATATATATATATATATATATATATATATATATATATATATATATATATATATATATATATATATATATATATATATATATATATATATATATATATATATGATGACACTATATTCCGGGATATCATCCGTTCGCTCGTTGAACTCCGACTGGAATCCTGCATCCGACTGGAATCCTGCAAATCTTGCATCCGACTGGAATCCTGCAGACGTTTCGCCAAAATCTCACTTGGCATCTTCAATGCTCGCGTTCCGAAAACACTTCGAACACTGTGTGTTGTGTTCGAAGTGTTTTCGGAACGCGAGCATTGAAGATGCCAAGTGAGATTTTGGCGAAACGTCTGCAGGATTCCAGTCGGATGCAAGATTTGCAGGATTCCAGTCGGATGCAGGATTCCAGTCGGAGTTCAACGAGCGAACGGATGATATCCCGGAATATAGTGTCATCACATTTTTCCATCCGTGAATCAATACGTGAGAATATATATATATATATATATATATATATATATATATATATATATATATATATATATATATATATATATATATATATATATATATATATATATATATATATATATATATATATATATATATATATATATATATATATATATAATTATAAAAATTATCTAAATATTTAAAAAATATTTTCAAAAACGTAGCAAATCAAAATAAATTTAACGTCAAAGACTCAATAGAATTTAAAAAAAAAAATTAAAAATAGCAGATAACTACGTTCTTGTTTGGCTTGATGTCGTGTCATTATATACCAACATACCCTTCGAGCTTATCACATAAGTCATTAAATCAAAATTGGATGAAATTAAACTACACACAGATATTCATCTCGATGAATTTTTAGTTGCTTTAGATTTTACTCTAAAATCCACATTTTATATGTTTTATATGAAATATGTTCTATAAACATGTCGAAAGTTGTGCAGTAGCACAACTTGTTATGGTATATCTAGAAGAAGATGTTATTAAAAACATTCAATTCAGTTTCCCTTTTTTGTATCGATAACACCAAAAAATGAAAACTTTAGGAAAGCATAGAAATTCAAAAAATCAATTAATTACACAACCGATTCTAAAGGCCTTAACAAAATATATAATTCAATTTTAAACTAACAAAATTGAATTATCCAATATATATATATATATATATATATATATATATATATATATATATATATATATATATATATATATATATATATATATATATATATATATATATATATATATATATATATATATATATATATATATATATATATATGTAATTATATGTAATATTTTTTCAAATGTTTTTTAATAATCAATAAAATGTTTGTGATTTTGACAAAAATTGCAAATAACTCACGTTGAACAGAAACACCCAAGTGCGCTATAGTGCTCAGGTAAGTTAACATGCAACATAGGCTTATAATAGCAAGTCTTATGTAAAACCATATGCCAGGGTTGTCCTCTGAGCCATCATCCGGTACTATCAAAAAAATGCGATATAGCCGTAAGGTCAGGTCTAGACAGTTTTTTTCACTTGCCGACATTTTTATTTGGAAGAATGCTTCATTCTCAAAGCTTCGGGCTAGAGGGTTTAAGATTATATACTGCTTATCGGAGCAGGATCGACTTGAAATATTCGCATCACAAGCACATAACTAATAAAAATTAATTAATTAAATCTGCAAAAAGTCTGAAGAAGGAACATTTTTAGCAGCTGGTATAATTTTCTATTAAACTCACAGTCCGCAAAAAACTGATAATTGTTGAAATCTATTCGATAAGTCATGAAAATGTTGCACCAAAAAGTTAATTGCTTTTACTTAAACACCGATTTGGTACATGAACTCGATGAATCGAACAAGTGTTGCGGTTTAAAGGGCTTAATTTATTAATTATGTTACGAGAAAATTTCATCTTCTTTTCGCTGAAATGTCTTGAGTACAGTCCAGTAAAAGCGGCGAATTATATATTTAAGAGCATCGGCAATTTGTTCTATTGTTATGAAGGAATTTCCGGATTCTATTATCTAGACACATCGCCAGACATATTCATAAATACCACCCATTACGAATAAAATACAGTAATTTAAGAAGCCTTTCTTCGGCGCTCGTCACGAAGAATCGACAAAATTTTGTTATAGATTACTAGTGTTCCGGATTTGACACATAAATAAAATTTCGAATTTAGTTTCTACCATCGAATTTTTATTACACAACAAATTCAAATTGGAAGTAAACATGTCGTTTAGCTCACGAGTCGAAATTGACGTTTCCTAAAATGTCCAGCATGGTCTCTACGTTTTTAACTAACATCTGCAGTCTCTCTACCCTTTCCTCATAAATAGACTTTTTTTTCTTGGGGACTATATAAGGTTGTTCCTTAAGTCTGACCTCGCGCATCAATCTGTCGATAATACCTTCAATTTTCAACAGCCTACTATGAAAAACATTTCTTCTTCCTGAGAGGTCTTTCGGAAAAACGCAATTACAGTACGTCTCATCAGTTCTAAATCGGATTCCGTCAAATCTCCATTTCGCTCCCTATTTCGAAGGACGCATTTCGATACTAACGCCATGATGTTTAATCTATTCTTAGGAATACTCAGACATTTCGAGTATCTATACGCGTCGGGTTTTGGAGGTACTAGATAATTCCGAGTTTTATTTTCTTGTCCCCCGCGTAAGTTTTTAAGTCTAATTTTAAGTAAGGTGGAGTAATAGGTCCACTTTTGCTTTAGGTAAGTTTGTACTAAACCTCGTTCGTTACAGTAAAATTCATTCGCTTCCGAATAATATATCGTTACGATGGCTATGTAAGTCGTTACTGTAAATAGGGAACATAACATATACAACACGTAGTATATTGGACCGATTGGATGTTCGGACACAACTTTTATATCAATTCCGTACAAACCTACACCAAGAAGCATTAACGTCGTAAAACTGTTGACGAAACTTCTGAAGTCTACTAACATTTCACCAAATAGCAAGCTTCCAGCCATAGAAAATCCAACGGTATAAATTAGTTGATATATGAAGAGAACGAGTACAGGCACTGCCGAATCTTTCAACGTTTTCTCCACTATTTTAATGATTACCAGGAATCTTAAAAGTTTCCACAGCCGAAAAGTCGCGATAAAAATCAAAAATCCGGCAAACGACGTTAGCATATTGTAGGCTGTAAATAGGTGGAAGTAGTTAACAAACTTATTGTTTGCGGTTTCGGCTAATTCCGACAAATACGCGTCAATTTGGGTCATTCTTGCGGTGTAGAGGTAAATTGTCCCGAAACTGCACGATACAATTACTATATCGATAATACACCAAATGTCTTTGAGGGCGATTTTCCACTTTTTGAATATTCTGTATGTTGTTTTGATAGCATATGTAAGCAAAATCGCAATAAATGCGATATATACAACCTTTCTCATAGCCACTACTTCGCTTTTGAGGAATAACAGCTTTCTGGTTTGAATCTACAATGTATAATATTGTAATCATAATCAATATTACGCTACTTTGAAAATAAACAGTTTTGCTAGGAGAAATTGAAATGAATTGAGAGCAAAAGAATCCATATAATTTATTATTACAAAGATTAACCGAAACTACTGCTAGCTCCAATTTATGTATGCGTTTGAGGGTAATTTAAATGTTTTGACAGCGAAAATAAATAGGACAAGTGGAGACATTCTATGAGAGACACGCGATATTGTTTTTTCTTTAGCTTTGTGATACTCACAGGGTGAACAAATCAACAAATCATAAACAGCATAAAAGCATTAAAATCGTAAAAGAACCTAATATTTTTCAATGAAAATACTTTCTCAAACTTCAGAGGAACTGTTTGATTTTAGCTTTTCATGAGCAAGGAACCTGGGACGACTAAAAAATTATTGCTCCTTGTTGATGGACTCTAAGATATTTATTTTTATATGTTATTTATGGAAAACTAAGACTTAACAAAAAGACCAATAAAACTTTGATTGGGAATTGAGAATTTGGTTGAAATGAATAAGTAGGTCAAGGTCAAAAGTAGGAAAGACATTTTGCTTTAAATTATTCAAGATACCTCCAATTTCTTTTCAACAAGCCCGGTCGCACTGATTTCAAAGACGACTCGGATGGAATTGAAAACGTTGCAGTTGGGGTTATAAGTTAAAAATTCTAAGAAAACCGCTCTCGTTAAAAGGTCCAACCAATTTTTCCGTTTTAAGTACTGCATATTTATGTACGAATTCTTAATAGTCCTACCAAGGGGCGTTATATATCCTCCTCCGGGGTATACAGCAAACTTCCCTAAAAAACTTTAAAACATTAAATATAATTCTACTGGTTTTATTCGTAGGAGCTTTTTTGATGTTGCATCCCTAAAGAATGTTTCAGAATTGCATGTTCAAACGATGGATGGTATTAAGTAACCTGTGTGTGTGTGTGTGTGTGTGTGTGTGTGTGTGTGTGTGTGTGTGTGTGTGTGTGTGTGTGTGTGTGTGTGTGTGTGTGTGTGTGTGTGTGTGTGTGTGTGTGTGTGTGTGTGTGTGTGTGTGTGTGTGTGTGTGTGTGTGTGTGTGTGTGTGTGTGTGTGTGTGTGTGTGTGTGTGTGTGTGTGTGTGTGTGTGTGTGTGTGTGTGTGTGTGTGTGTGTGTGTGTGTGTGTGTGTGTGTGTGTGTGTGTGTGTGTGTGTGTGTGTGTGTGTGTGTGTGTGTGTGTGTGTGTGTGTGTGTGTGTGTGTGTGTGTGTGTGTGTGTGTGTGTGTGTGTGTGTGTGTGTGTGTGTGTGTGTGTGTGTGTGTGTGTGTGTGTGTGTGTGTGTGTGTGTGTGTGTGTGTGTGTGTGTGTGTGTGTGTGTGTGTGTGTGTGTGTGTGTGTGTGTGTGTGTGTGTGTGTGTGTGTGTGTGTGTGTGTGTGTGTGTGTGTGTGTGTGTGTGTGTGTGTGTGTGTGTGTGTGTGTGTGTGTGTGTGTGTGTGTGTGTGTGTGTGTGTGTGTGTGTGTGTGTGTGTGTGTGTGTGTGTGTGTGTGTGTGTGTGTGTGTGTGTGTGTGTGTGTGTGTGTGTGTGTGTGTGTGTGTGTGTGTGTGTGTGTGTGTGTGTGTGTGTGTGTGTGTGTGTGTGTGTGTGTGTGTGTGTGTGTGTGTGTGTGTGTGTGTGTGTGTGTGTGTGTGTGTGTGTGTGTGTGTGTGTGTGTGTGTGTGTGTGTGTGTGTGTGTGTGTGTGTGTGTGTGTGTGTGTGTGTGTGTGTGTGTGTGTGTGTGTGTGTGTGTGTGTGTGTGTGTGTGTGTGTGTGTGTGTGTGTGTGTGTGTGTGTGTGTGTGTGTGTGTGTGTGTGTGTGTGTGTGTGTGTGTGTGTGTGTGTGTGTGTGTGTGTGTGTGTGTGTGTGTGTGTGTGTGTGTGTGTGTGTGTGTGTGTGTGTGTGTGTGTGTGTGTGTGTGTGTGTGTGTGTGTGTGTGTGTGTGTGTGTGTGTGTGTGTGTGTGTGTGTGTGTGTGTGTGTGTGTGTGTGTGTGTGTGTGTGTGTGTGTGTGTGTGTGTGTGTGTGTGTGTGTGTGTGTGTGTGTGTGTGTGTGTGTGTGTGTGTGTGTGTGTGTGTGTGTGTGTGTGTGTGTGTGTGTGTGTGTGTGTGTGTGTGTGTGTGTGTGTGTGTGTGTGTGTGTGTGTGTGTGTGTGTGTGTGTGTGTGTGTGTGTGTGTGTGTGTGTGTGTGTGTGTGTGTGTGTGTGTGTGTGTGTGTGTGTGTGTGTGTGTGTGTGTGTGTGTGTGTGTGTGTGTGTGTGTGTGAAGATCTAATCAAATCAAATATGTCTTAAGCATGATAAAATTCGCTTCAATTTTTTAAACCAGTTTTCTACATTCTTCAAGTCCTAACGTTACTAATTGAAAAAGTCTAAGTTTGCGATTGGATTAAAATAATATGTAGGAAGACGTAAAACTGTATGACCCGAAGAACCAGCATGATTCTTGGCACATATTATGTATATACTTTGAAAGTATTTGGAATTGAGTATTATCTTTGGGTAAATTTCGCCGAAAGTTGGGGTTAGTGCCGATACGTTTCACCGTCGATAGATAAAGTTTGGTTAAGGCATTTTTTATGTAAACTTTCATGTTTTTGTGTTGGTGGATACTGGACTGTCCGAAAAACCAGTATACCTGCATAGGCAAATGTTCCGGTCATCGTTGCATTGGTATAAATCCAAGCAATTCTCATTCGCTGATTGATTTTACCGAGCGCCAGTGTTTGACGATTCCATCTGTCCATAAAACTTCGATATTCTTCCGCCGCAGCGAACCTTGATCTACAAGTGATATTAAAAAACTTCATTTGGGTTGGTAATGCGCAAGCTTCGTATTTGGTCCTGTGTTGCCTGATTCGTGCAACACCCATGTATTTGTTGGCGAAATCTTTTGTCAAACCGGGATAGTCTTTCACGTAACCATCGTACCATTCTCGGGCTTGTAGCGATGGGATGAAAGTCTGCTCAATATATTGAACAATGCTGTAATGTATGAAAATTGTCAACATTTTCATTCATTTCCATTAATTTTTAAAGATAAAAAATTTGATATTTCGATTTCTAAGCAAGGGTTTCAAAAGTTGTTATGAAAATTGACCGTTTCAGAGTTATAGAGCCCATAGTCATTATTAAAATGTTCAATAATATTATATATATCGGCGCCCTTAGCTTTAAGTGGTCAATACTGTCTAATATTTCGTTTTGGATGTTATGGGTTGTTTATTTTTGACTGGAATTATTTATCGGTCTATACTAAACAGTTATAATTCTGTCATTCGTAATATTGTGGACCCATGGGATCTGACTTTGGTATTTTCCGAAGTGAACGAAGATATTCTGGCTCTATAAAAGCACTAGTTCGGTCGAATTTTGAGTAGCTTCGATCGTTTATTTTGGATTGGGTGTATTGTAGTTGATCTACCGGATTGATAATCAATTAAATGATTAGATGCGTTTTAAGCACTGTGTTGTGCATTCTTTTAATATGCCCGAGAGGTCTAAACCTACGGCGCCTGCTCGCCATGAAAACCCGCCGGATACTACTCTCATCCTTTTGTGTCATATTATTTATATTATAAAAATTTAATTATTAATTTACAAAATCATAAAAGGAAAAATAAATTTAAAAGTGGATAATAAATAGATACAGACAGATAAGACAAATTGTTAGCTGTTTTTTAATCTACATAATTTTAAACAGAAATAATATGGGGGGTGTAAGTAAAATTACGCTTTATCTAAATTGTTTTAATATGATAACTAAACGGCGGTATAATTTAGAGTCTGTAGCTATTTATTAAAATATTCAATATTGTATCTTCCTTGTCAAAAATTTTTGATAATTCTTGATGTATGATATAGACAAAGCTTCTATATATCCCGTTATCAGTTCGCATATTCGATAGTTCTCCGTACTGCGATATTTGTCAGGTCTGATTTATTTATTACTTCCACTTCGGTAAAATATATTTATAATATTTCTCAGCTTTTCTATTAGACGATCAAATTAGGTAGTAAGAGTGAATCAGAAATGTATTTATAAAAAAAAACTAAAATAGAAGAGTTTTGTCTAAGCTTTAAAACAAACCCAAAAAATTTAATTCCGCACCTCAGAAAACTGGGACAGTTTTATAGCTAAGGGTGACATTCAAATGTGACTGTACACAAGACGTCAACAAAAACTCTGAAACAGGTTAAAGTATGCGGTTATTATTTATTTAATGAATGGCGACTCTGTCAATGATACTTAACTGGTTAAGACTCCGAACATTGTCAAACTTCATTTTCGTCACAACATGCGACCCAGATACCAAATTGTGCATTTCTTCGTGACTATAAATGCTAAATTTATCTCTGTCTAGTAAAATTACAGCATATAAGAGGGACACGTAGACAACTATCATAATTAAATCTTCCAAAATTTCTAAAATTTTTGCTTTTGCTTCTTGCCATGACTTTCTTTCCTAAAATGAGTATGCATATTTTTGGTGGATAATGAAAGTTCAATATTAATGATTTGGACGCACTTCATACATTTATGGAATAAATGTAAATTATTATGATATTTAAAAAAGTTAAAGTAACAGTTAAAGATGAAATTAGTTATTGGGGAAATATTTTGGCAAATCAACATGAATACATTAACGTGTGGCATGACCATCAGAACTCACAAATAAACAAAAAATCAGTGGTTTAAATTTGTTTGATATTACCTTTTTGGTTTTTTCGTCCAGCGGATAATAAAGGTGTTCGAAATGAGGTCTTAGAGCTAGTTCTCCAAAGCTCTTGTATACTGCTGCCTTTTGAACTTCAATATGTAAAAGCATTTTTGATACTTGGTCTGTAACCGTTTTTTCCTAAAATTTTCTCATATAATATACACCCTTTTCTAGGATTCGCTCAAAAAACTTGCCAATATTTGAAATTTTGTATATCCATTGTAAACAAGTGAGGAAATATTTTGAAAAACCATAGCGTAAAAGATCATACTTATTATAACAGAAATTAACCACAAGCAACTCGTGTTCCAAGGTATCCAAAAGCCAAATGCAATTAGTAATGTTAAATTAGTTGTGATAATGGTTGCCAGAATTACCCTAAAATAGAATCAAATTTTTCACGACACAAAAATATTTCACGCATGGCCATAACCGCCAATATTTTATACTTAAAATCACACTGTCATCAAAAAGTTATTGTTTATAAAAAGTGCCACATAGTCTAAAAATATAAATAAAATAAAGATATAAAATTTATTGAACTCTTTACACGTTTGTCGAAATACTTTATACTTTAATAAAAAAGAAATTTCAATTGTTATTAAGAATTTGTAGATCTGCAATAGTTATTTGCAATTAAAAAAGTTTCCGGTATACATCAATTCTGGTATACGCTTTCTGAAAAAAAGTTACCGACAACCTAGTGAAAACCGCTTTATCCCAATCTAAAATATGATTAAAAGAAGCTTTCTCTTGGTCGATTTACTTAACAATTTTTTTTTTCAAATTTCTAAGACCGTCTGTTTTCCTAATAACTCGTACCTCGTTGCCCTTACTGGGACACCCGGTATATCACCTAACTGCTGACGCTAGAAAAAAATAATTCTTTCGATGCTGAATGATTCAAATCGGTATGACAAACACGCAAAAGTTGCATTCTTGCATCGAACATTTTTTGTGCATCAGACCATGTTCTAGATTACCTGCTTTGTAGTTTAAAAGTTTTTCCTTACCAAGTGCCTTTGACACACATATCAACCCACTTTTCCAATTTATATTCCACCTTTGCCTTTTCTATGAAATAAATAAAAGGAAAATGTAAAACAAATGAAACCACACATCCGACCAGTGGGATCCATACTAAATTGAAATTAAAACCCAAATCATTAAAGTCTATGCCGTCGCTGTTGTCAAATCTGGGACAATTGTAGAACAACATTTCAGTTCCAAACACAGTTACAACAATTGACAAAATTATTGTGCCTCTTTCCTTTTTCGTCATAACTTCGTCTGAATTTCTAACAGAAAAATATTATTGGTGGGTTAATGAAATTTTTAAAATATTTATTACTTTATGCTCCAAGTATGGTATCGCTTCGTATCTCTAAAGAAGTGAGATTTCTTTTTCTTTATTTTCACTTGATCTTCCGTTGCACTTTTTGATACCTTTGAAACGTAAAAAGCGCTGCTCGCATTAAACCAATGTTTAACATCGAAACTCCAAATATTTTTTGATTGAAAGTCGTAGATTCGTACTCCCGAACAGTACCTAGAATGTTTATTATTCGTTAATCGGAGTTCACTTGGGATTCTTCGAACCCTTACCAGCTTGGATTATTTCCAATAGAATCGATCCACAATTCTATTTCTTCCAACTCGCCTAAAGGGTGTTCGGTACTGACCACAAACAAATCTTCATTGTTGCTTTGTAATATCCTCTTTTCGGGATCCGGATAATTCAAAACGTGTTGCTTAAAATTGTCATCCAATTAATATCGGGCATAGTAAATGACAGGAACATTTAATATTCAATATTTCAATTATTAATTAATAGTTATGGGCCAATGTATATATTATTAAAGTCTTAATTTAATAAAAAATAGTATTGGTAATCTTATTTTTAAAAGACAAAAATTTTTGTTGTATTGATTTTGTCTTATTGGAAAGTTTTAGAACAAAATATTTTGTACAAACAATTGCTCTCCTAAGCTTAAACTTAGAAGTGAAAATTATATACCCGCCCTATAAATACAGTGGTAGAAACGAAATCGTTTAAATGGGGATAAAATTAATGCATTTTTGCGCTGAGCTTAAATTCATTTTGAAATTAACAAAATATCGTATATACAGCGTGACCAAACTAAGTTGCGAACTTCTTATATTGTTGAAGCTTCGAGGTCAGTTAAATTAGTGATATTTAATAGGAGCCATTTTTAAATGGAACACTAGTAGATCGGCATAGTTTCGAAGATATCCAGAAAAACCGAAAATCGTAGAAAAACTTACTACTGTAGTCAAAATTGTCTTATTGTTATATTATTATTAGTGTAACAAAACGCATGGAACAATTAACAATTAAAGTATTTGAAACTGAAAAAAGACATGTAGATAGCTCCCCTGCTAACGTCAAAGGTCAATCTTATGTTAAAAATACCTCCAACAATGTTCGTTCGTAATCAGCGTTAGTTAGGAAATAAGACACGTAATAAATGACCTCTACAAGGTGCTGTTATTAAATGTGAAATCACCTTTTGTCATTTTTTTTACAGTATTTATTTTTTTATTAATATAGGAAAATTATTGCAATTTCCCTCTGGTTAAGATTTTTTTATTTATGATATTTTTATCTAATTACATTTCCTCATATATTTGGAGAGAGTGAGAATTGTCTTTAGGACCTTTAGATTTTGCCTCCTCTTACAGTGATGCCAATGGTGCCAAACGAATTTTATGTGGTATTTTACTTACCAAACTATCGGTTTCTGAACCATGCAGTTTTATAGTGACGTTTGATGTAGTTCCGGCATTTCTCTTATTTCCAGTTTCGACAATTATTAAATAGTTGAACTCGTAGCAACGTGGCACGTCTGCCAAAAAGTAGATTTTATCATAAAACTAAAATAACGACTATTATTAACATGAAAGCGGGATTATCGCAATTTTACATCTTTGGGCCTTTCGAGTAAAGCGAAGCCAAGCACAACGCAATAGCATACAAAAACTACTGCAGTTGTTGAGAATATAATCCAACAAATATGTAATTCCAATTTAAAGTGAATGATAATGTCTTCTACTAAATTTATTTCGTTGTTGGTAATGAATCCGGCAAAAATACCAGATTTGTAGCACTCGCAGATGACCTTATCCCCTGTTGATTCTTTGTTGGCCTTAAAATTGTGATATCGGTTTAGAGCCTAGCATACATCGATTAGGACATATAGTCGCCTCAGGGCAATAGTGTGACAACCGCATAAAAATCAGCTCTGGATAAGTTTTTCATTAGCTGGGTAATGCTAACTAAATTTTGGTCAATATTTTATTTCTTACAAAACATACAATAGTCTATCCAGGTCTATATGTAAAGAATTAATGGTTTCTTTTTGATATCAGATTTTCATTACACAAAGTTAACTAGATTTATTATTTGGTGTATTCGATCGTTTTTTGTATATTTAATATTAAATTTAACTTAAATAACTTTAAAACATTTCTGTGTAAAATGTCGTAAAAGTATGCCTCACCGTTTTCTTAATCTCATAATTTTTATTTTGTTCACCTTCTCCTTTCTTCATTTGTTTGACTGTTTTGACAACTTCAAATAAATATCTTGATGAATATGACTTTTATACTGGTGTTTCATTAAATACTAGTAATTTTGGATTTTACGTAACACTATTACAGAACAGTAATATACAATTACTTAAATTTTAATTTTCAAAATAGTTTATTATTATAATTTGCAACCCAAGGTCTTCCATAATTTCGAATTTTTAACTTTTTCACTGCTGCCCTGTGGAAGCAATATATACAGAGTGATTCAAAGTAAAAGTCAAATCCGGGGATACTATACATAAATGTGAAATATTTCTAGTAATTAAATTCATAGATTGCAATCGGATCGTTGAAAAAACGAATAACAAAGTGTATTTCGAAAAAACCGCCATTTTGACAATTTAGTTTTGGTTAGGCAAATATTATTATTATAACTATTTGAGAGCAGTCAGCCTTCTTGTTATAAAAAAACATCGTGGCCAATTTAGTATTTGAAGATGATATATTAAATATAGCTAGTAGAGTAGAGAGAGAGAGAGAGACCCTGCCTATGCTGACAGCACAGAAGCTCATGAAGCAACGATGTAATTTTTTTGAGGTCTATTCAACGTGCGCATGCGCGAGATTTAAAATTTATTTTTTAACCAATAGCAGATCTAATAACAATTTCTGACGTAGAACCCATAAGATCTTGCGGCTTTCAACAAGCAACATGGCCGCTGACAGATCGTCGATATCTCACTTACAGAAATTTATTATCATTATAGTAATTTTCTATTTTTTTTATAAAAAACCTTTCACACACTCTATCTTATAAATTAGCAACATTTGTAGAGGCAAGTTTCGATTAATCGTCATTTAATTCCGTACAGTATCTCCGGTTTCTTGATTTCTCTTTCGTTTTGAATTAGCCTGAAGGAGAGGAATATGAAAGTTTAAACCAACCTTACAAGCAAACTGCCATCGTTTCTCTAAAGCATTCCATTCGAAACATGCAAGAGTATACACGCTAAAGGAATATTTTTGATCGTTATTTCCCTGCAAGAAAATTAAGATGGGCGCGTAAATGAGAAGAACGATACTATTTACCATTTTTGATCTTGGTAAAACACTTAAATAGTAAAATCCGTCATACCGATGATTATGAGCGGTGAAAAAGGTACTATTCTTACTTGACACGTCAAAAGAGTTTTTCAGGAAGTCTAAATATGACGGTTTGTAGAAATCTGTAATTAAAACCTAAAATACCACAAGATCAGTTTTGATACGTCGATTTAACAAAGTATATTAGCAATTATTAACGGATTACATTTTTGGAAAGCCGAGATTAGAGGACTTTCACACAGGAATTTAAATTATTTATCAAGAAAAGGAAAACTTACGCTATACATTACGACTTCAGAAATATTTCGAAATTCCACTATAAAATTTTGATCGGAGTGAACATATATTCTGTGCGTGGATACTTCTCGATAAAAGTTTTCATTATTCAGATGTACCGCCGGCAAATCCGGAAGAAATGCTTGGTGGACTTCGGCGTACGATGTCATATCTTCTCTGGTGGCGAAAGTGAGGTAAAACGGATTATGAAATTTCTTTATTTCCTTATCTGAAAATTTCACATTCTCTACTAATGTGTCGTCATTTGCTTTTTTCGTATAACAAGCCTCTTCGAATTTTACCAACACGATATTGGTGTGTAAACTGATGTTGTTTGCCCACCAAAATGGATTTTTCTGTGACGCGCACATCTAAAAATATTAACTATTGGTAAACGGTACCGCGGACGTCTGGTATTTCTAATATTCCATTTACAAATTTAAAATGTTTATAGTATTTCTGAAAATATTGCTTAATATATTTCATTTTTAGATCACAAAATCTAATGTGTAGTTACAACTAATAAATTCAAAATTGCAGCACTTGTAATGAAAACTGAGACCATTTAACAAAAGAGACAGAAGAGAGAAGTACAATTACGGATTTTTTAAAAAATAAATTCGCAACGAATTCTTAGTACTTTGAACCCAACTATACCAATTTCTATAATGTTTCAATACAGGGCATTTGAAATATCGTTTACGCCCTGCTTGAGGCTGTACATCGTGGTAAAATCTTAGATTACTGTTTGAATTTGATAACTTCATTTTGTCGGACGGACCTCTCAAAAACGCACAAAAATCTTGTGTTTATTTTTACATCAACCTAAAGTTCTTATTCAGGACTACATAAAACCTAACTATACTAATTTTTATGAAGTTTAGGCATTACCCCTGTAGAATGTTTGTTCATGGCTCAATTTTAGTAATTTTTTTTTGCTGGATAGATTTTACTAAAGAGAAATAAAACGGTTTTTTCATATAACACCGACTAAAGTTATGGCTAACTGACACAGTTTTTTGAAGCGAGAGGTACTTTTCGAGATTTTTTCAAATTGACTATGACAACAGATTTGTATTCAGGACTACTTAAAAGTAACTAGACCAATGAACAAAGATTTAATATTTTAAAACAATAAATATTGTAAACTTTGTAAATATCGATTATTTTGTATTGGATTTTAAGCTCTTACACATTTTAATTATACAAATTCCAAAAATAATGACAAAAGGGGACATTTATATTTAGTATCATCTAAAAACAACATTAATTAATCTTAGTATTCGAAAGGTATAATGTAAACAAAATTAAAGTACAAATTAGCAAGTGAATTTGACATATGGTTGGTTGGTTTAAACATGGCAAACTTGGTTTTACGAAGGAAACAGTATGCCGACGTCGATCAATTTTGATACTTCTGTTAATTTTATTATTAGATGAGAATTAAAAACCCTTTTTAAGTAAAAAATTACAGCGTTGTAAAGTCTCTCTAGTTCATATCCAATCCTCTCTAATCATATACAAAAAAAAAAGAATTATCAAAATTCAATCAATATATAGTTAGGTTTTATGTAGTCCTGAATAAGAACTTGTTGACACTTTATTTCTTAAAGAAATCCCTAATAGCCCCAGTGGGCCATAACTTCAGGTTGATGTGATGTATAAAATTTTAGTGCGTTTTTGAGAGATCTATACAACATTAAAAAAAATCAACATCAAATCGTAATCAAAGATTTTACAACGATGCAGAATCTTAACGATATTTCAAACATCCTGTATTGAAACATTATTAAAATTGGTATAGTTGGGCTCTAAGTACGACAGAATAAGAATTCGTTGCCAATTTATTTATTTTTAAATCACTAATAGTGCTTCTCTCTTCTCTCTCTTTCGTTAAATAGTCTCAGCTGGCCATGACTTCAAGTCGAAACAATAAGCAAAACAAGGTTTTAGTGCATTTTTCAGTTTCCAACAAAAAAAAGATCAAAACAAACTCAATAAAACAAAAGAAAGTAGTGTTTGACCCATTGTTTATTCTATTACTTTTTTTTTGTAGAAATCATACAGAAACTTTTTATAGATAAGTGACATACATGAAGCCCGAGTATATTAGCAAAAAAAATGGTTAACGGATTGGCCTAATTTTTTATATCCTGTTTATTTTTTGGTTTTGGTAGTTAAATCGGAAAAAAAAAATTTTTGCCTTTGGGACAAGTTAATGTTTCCTGTATTTTATGTTTAACTCTTTCCCCAATTCTTTATTGATAACATATTGAGAAGGTACTACTGGTGGATCTTTCTAGATTGATTAATCGAATATCTGGAGTGTTAATCCGCTCTGCTAACCCTATTAAGTACATTATTGCAGATATCTTTGTAGCCAAAAAATTATGCAACAAGTGCGGTCAACAGCATTTGAGTCACGAGTTTATTTGACACGAGCGGAGCACAGAGGAGCGAATAAACGATTGACTATTTACCGAACAATACTATACTTTTCCTACGACCATTAATTTTGGGGTACATTTTTGCAAAACAACACGAATACATTCACTGACATAACCGTCAGAATTATCTCCGAAAACGTCCGATTGCTCCAAAACCCGTACGGTAAAATCCCGGAATTGCCCGAAGTGGCTCGGATCCGTGGGAAACGAAACTGACGTGGTAAAGTGACGCCTCCCGCCCTCTAGATCGGTGTGTAATTACTTATTTTCCAGACAGGAGTATAAAAAATATTTTGTGGAATAGAATCACAATCTGAAAATTTAAATGAAGATCCTCCATTCATAATATCAAATTTACGCTTGACCCCAACGCCAGCGATTAGCGCGGGCGGCGGAGTCTGCCTGTATAAGTATGGGCCAGTTCTGTTTTACTTTTGTTTAGACTTGTCTTTGACGTATTTTTCCCGAAAAGAGTTAGTGAGCGTTCTACATTGGCAATTACTTAAATCTGTAATATAACAATGTAATAAATTGATGTATTTACCAGTACGTCGAAGACTTTATCTCCTTGATGGTAGAAATCGTCAGAAGGCTTTAGTAGAATCGATTTGCTTGTTATA